CCGAGGTGCGACTCAAAAAGTGCATAATAAACAGTTCTAGCCACTGACAAGTTAAGCTCCTTAGAAACAGATCTTAATGAATCAAAGAACTAATAGAAAAACAACAAGTACAAACAAAATAAATTACTTGAAATGAATAAATTAGATTCGCTTACTGACAAAAATTAAACGCTCTAATAAAATTGCTAAACGATTTGAAACAAATTAATTCCCTCTGTGTCCCATCGCCTAATAACTTTATTACGGAGCTTATCGAAACAAATTTATGGCTATGCATGCATAAATATGGATATTTGCAACCACCATAAATAATACACAACGCAAATTATCCACCGGTAAGGAAGTTTTATGTACGCTTCAACTCTGTTAAATCTGCGCACATATTTTCTCACATTGAAAATGTGTCATTTTCTCGCGAAAGGCATTCAAGCTAAAAGCGTAATTACACTTTCTGGGCAATCGATTTAGTCGAAGCTTGCAATTGCGACTTTAGTAGTCGTTTCTCGGGATATGCCACATTAAATCGTCGTTTTAGTGTTTTTGTGTTATTGCCAAAGGATTTAAATTGTCTAAGGATGATTTCCCGTGGATTAGTCTACGTGAAAAACATTATTTTGTAATATTTTTAAAATAAATTGTCTTTTTAGGGTTCCGTACCCAAAGGGTAAAAGATTTGCTGTCAGTCCGTCTGTCACAAAGGTCTATCTTATGAACCGTTATAGCTAGACAGTTGAAATTTTTACAGATAATGTATCTATGTTGCCGCTATAAGAACAAATACTAAAAACAGAATTAAATAAATGTTTATAAATAAAAAAGTACTTTTACTAAACATTATCTTTTAAGTAAGAATTTTACATGGAATCTTTCAAGTCCTCGGTGGCCGCGTGGTTAAAGCGTTAGGACTTTACGCTGCTATGACGTTGGAGCCGTAGTAAGGCAGGTTCGAATCCTAGTCAAGGCGATTTTTTTTAATCGTTTTTTTTTTAATTTTTACATATTTATTTTTACTTTTTACATATTTTTTATTGATTAATACAATTTTTAGTAATGTGTTTCTTCATTTTTAAAGTTCTTCAGTTATAAATATTCGGTAATGCTCTCACTACTGTACCTCGAAGCCAAATACAAATCCGGCGTGATAATTTTAAAGCCTTTTCGGCCTCAAAACAGAATACTTACAAGGCTTAAGCTTTGCGAAAATCCGCGTAAGCATAGTCGGGAAAAGCACTACTATATTTCCCGGAAGCTTTTTGCACAAGCTGGAAAACTAGTGGCGTGAGAGCTTTAAGCAGTTTTAAAAGACGCATTTGGCTATGGATTTAAAATATGTGGATTTTTATATTAAATATTAACTAAAGATTTATACAGGTTGAATCATAATGGTGGGTTTAGACTTGAGCACGCACGCACTGATCCTCCGCGAATGCTCAAGCATAGTTTAAGGAAAAGAGTAATTGCACTCTCGCAAATATTTTCTGCCAGTTTTTGCAAGCTGTCGAATATCGGCAGGTTGCAACGGTTGCAAAGCGTTTCAGTTCAATTGTGATCTGTGGTTCAATTCCGTCCGTCGAGCTGCGAGGTTCGAGCGTTGCGTTCCAGCACAGAGACGGATTGATAAAAAATGAGTGCATTACTGTGTGCTGCTATTAATTGTAGTAATAATTCAAAAAATTGTTCTTTGAGTTTTTTTAGATTTCCATCGGATATAAATCGGCAGAGCTGATAGTAATTATCAATTAACGTTTAATTATATTTGGTTATTTTAGAAGCTGAGAAGATATTATGTAATTAATTAAATGTTATTATTTTTTTTAGCATGTGGGCAGATATTAAAAATAGTTTTTTAGATATACAGGTTGTCTCAAATATGCGCATGAAAATATTTTTTGGTCTGGGGAATTGCCATAAAATTTTCATTCCAATAATAGTTTACGAGATAATTTATATAGATTTATTTTTGAAACAATTTTAGAGTAAATTATTCATATTTTTTAATTGAAAGAATTTTATAATAGCAGAATCTCTTATAAATTTAGTGGACTGTATTTTTTTATGTTTCTTTATTTATTTTTTATTATAAGTGGTCGTAATATAACAATATTCAAAATATTATAGACAAAATATTGAGTTTATATTTGAGGGAAGAAAAGTGCCACAACTAGCTTTAAACCACCTTAAATATACAGGGTAGCCCATTAGTGCGAGGAAGTCCAATATCGTCGTCGTTGTGGAAGATGTGAAAAAAGTTTTATTCATAATATGTTTACCTTTTAATTCTACATCTAAAAGAAAAATAATATACAATACATATTTTTACACGAATTTATTCTGGTATCCTTTGTGTTTAAGAAAACATAGCTAAGTATTAACAAAGTTATATTCACTCTAGTTTTTTACCACCTTTCGTATATAATGTTTTTAATCAAAGTTTTAGTAAATAAGAAATAGAATGGCCACACCGCAGTGTGATTTAAATAAAGACGGTGTACTATATGCAGAATTTTATGCCGAATCCAGTTATGTACAGAAAATTAAACTTGTTTTAAATCAAAAAAAAGTTGTAGAAAATCTCTGAAATAGATAATAATATAAAAATATGTTATTATATATTTTTTCCGCATTTCTTCCAATCTGAAGATTTTCAGATACAGAAGAATTTTTACCTACGCGAAATGTGAAAATATTCTGTTTTCAAGCAAGTTTTTACTCGATGATCAATTTTTTTATTTTATTTTATTGTGAACTCATATTTTCCTAAATACATATCTGTGAAACTATGGCGAGTGCCACGACTATACTTTGCCTAGTTAATAGACCACGACTATACAGCTCCGTCAGTGAGCACGGGAGGCGAGAACAAGGTCATATATAGTGGCAGAAAAAGAACAAAGGATTTGACAAGGAGTAAAACTACTAGTTTCCTTATGCTGTGCGCGCACGCTCACTCTGAATCTGTCCGTGCGCGAGCAGCCGCGAACGTGAGCCGTCCGGTGTCGGTTTTTGGTCCGTGCTCAAAGGGATTTTATGTGTGCGCGAACGCTCAGTTTGCACCAGGTGGATGACACTTCTTATGGGAGAACTGGCAATGGTTGAAAACTTGACTACAAGCGATTTTCTAGGAATCTTCCTTACCGATAAATTATTGACAAGAGTGACAGATAAAGCCTTGACGTTCTTTCAGTATTCCAGTTCATCTCTTTTTCTTTCTAAAGTGTGCGTTGAAAGAGACAAAAACAATTTTTGGTGACCCATAATTTGTTATTCGAACACCACTTTTCTCCTTGTCGGGTCGTTGACGTTGACTTGTCGCCATTTTATTTCTTTTGTTTACACGCTGCATTTTGCTTTGCAAATTTAATACATAAATTATTTAGGCAAATATATAGGTTTTTAATAAAACTCCTCGGACTAACGTGTAGGTAAGTGTTGATAATTTTTTTTTCATCTTAACATGCTCATTGTCGTTCTCCTGATTTTAGGTGACAGAAAAGGATCATCAAATCAAATTGAATTTTATATTTTCCTTCCTATTTATCCTTCCTAAATATCAACGAGATGAGCCATCGGAAGAAAGGGACCATAGTACAAAACAGAAAGGTGATCTTTTTTCTTTCCACTTCGGATATTGAAATTATTATATACTGTAGTCGTGTTCGGCATTATGCTCTGAGAAATATAGATAAACAAAGAACAACAGATATAAAGCATCCCAGAGGAAAAGAGAGGCAATACCTGTATGTACTCTCTCTGATATTTGTGAAAGTTACAGCAAAGTATTGTTGTAAATGTCATCTTTTTGATCGACCTGAAAACTTCGAGCAAAAAGATGACACTTTCAACAATACCCTGACAGATATCAGAGACGATACAGGTTTTTCCTCTCTTTTCCCCTGGAATACTTTTAATTTATTATTCTTTGTTTATCTAGATTTCTCAGAGCACTATGAACGAACTCAGCTTGTATGTTTGAAATAATCGTCCAGTTGGCTTAAAAATGATGATCGAAGACATTTCCCATATAATTTTACTTTCAAAATTATGATATATCTTTTATTTCTAAGCCATCTATGACGCCATTTTTTTCAGTTTTGTTATAATTAATTTTGTCTCTTGATCTACTTGTAACATTATTTTTTAATTTTATTAATTTATTGTGGTGAAATTAATTTCTGTTGTATATTTGATATTGATATTAAACATATTTTTAAAAAATGGTGTATTTTTGTGTTTTTGTGTATGTCATAATTAAAAATAAATGAAGAAATAATTTTTTTTATTTTTTTGAACTTCCCGCCATGCGTGACAATTTAGTCCGTCGATTTCTAAAAATTTGGGTTTGCCACCAGCGACGATGTTTTCGATTTTTCTCCTTTTTAATAATTAAGCTGTGCATAACAATGACTGCAGCCTCGACTATTTCTTGGTCGACCATTATTTTCTCCAACACAACTCTTCTGTGCGCGCATAAATGGATCACTTCATTCGTCGAAAAATAAGTTTTTAATTTGAACGGAGCCGAGTTCACGCTCAGCTCTTGCGTGCTCAAGTCTAAACGCACCATAAAACAGGCGACTTTTGCTGCAATTTGGGACTATGTTTATGTAGATTTCTGGGTCCACTATTAATATCTGTCATTAGGTCATTTTTTTTAAGTGGATAAGGTGGATTTTGCAACGTGACGCCTCAAATATAAATACGTTACGTCTGTTAGGTTTTTTCGCGAAAAAAAAATGATAGTTCTGTATTTTTCGATTTTTTTTAATTTTTATTTAAAAAACGTAATATTTTGATAATATGGCAAACCTATAGGTAGTATTTTAAATTTAATGTAATGAAAATACATAAATAAATATCCAGTGGTACTCAAAATTTAAGCAAAAATTTATTTTATAATTTTTTAAAAATATCTTTAAGTATCTGCTGCTGATGAAAAAATTGTGTTTAGTGTTTTAACAAGTGAATAAAAGGAAAATAAAGAAAAAAAAAAACAACTTCTCTATATTTTAAACCGTTTATTTTATTATTACACGAAAAAATTATCCTCAACTAATAAACCGAAATATTTACAACATATTATCCGATACGTTTTAATTTTCTTCGAATTCCTATTAATAGTAAAACTACCGACACTCAGTATATTTTTAAATGGATTCGTCACATCATGCACACGTACGAAACTTGCTTAAGTACTAGAATTAGAAAACGCAAACAAAATTACAATAAATTAATTTAAATTAACCAGTACATCACTATTATAATATTCATTCCATAAGTTTTTCATCGAAAAAACCGCACCGAACACCTTAACTAGCGAGATCTAGTGGAGAAAATCGAAACTAAACGCTCCTGGCGCCATCTCTTAGCCGTAAAGTGAACTAATCATTGATCCAGCTCGAAAAATCAATATTAAATTTCTTCTTCTTCGCTAAAAGACTGTTCTACAGCATCGTAAACCAAGCTGAAACCTTTGCTGCTGATCGTATCGTCTGATCTGAATCTGATCAGGAGAGCCTCGTGGGTGGAGGTTATGTCGAAAGGTTTCTGTAACAGAAAATATATCAGAAAAATCAATAACACGCCATCTGTGAGAGGTATTTATTACTTTAGTGCCGCAAAATTTTCCGTAGGATGGACCACTGGAGTCTAAACCACTAAAAATCTCCACATAATCGTATCCACAGTCTTTTTCGTCTTCTACGTCAAAAGTTAGGAATGAGAGACGAACATTGTAGCCCATTGAGGCTTCTATGGTCCAGTCACAATCAGCTCTAAACAAATACAAGATTATTTATGTTTTAGTAAGATTTTTTCAAAGAAACATTTACCTTTGGTCATAATCTGAGCTCCCAAACTTGGCGTGCGAGTATATATGTTTTTTGTCCACTGTAGCATGTAGCATACCTCCGCAAACTGTAGAATGTGTAGCCCAAAATCCGTTCCTTTGAACACTAGTGTCCGATCTAAAAAAACAGATGTTTTAAAAATGCTACACAAAAAAATCGCTGTGAACAACACCAGCAGGTTATTATTTCTGTTTAATAGTTATTTTTTATACAAGACGATAATGCAATTTTATCCTCGTGTATAGTTACGTTTTAAAAAATATTCAGAAATTATTATTTCAAGGAATTTATTACGAGTAGAAAAAATATTGTGCTGGGTTGGCGTTGGTTTCTATGTAATTTGATAAATAAATAAAGCTGTCTCTTTAGTTGTCAGTTTTGAGTCAATATTTTTTAATTCTCTTTCGTGTCGATTGCTGATTGAATTGGAGCCAGAAATGGCTCAAAACGAAATAAGTAAATTACCAACAGACATTCAGGCTGAGGTGACAAACGCCATATCCAAACTACTTCCATTTAAATCCCGAATAACTTATGAAAAGGAATACAAAAATTTTCAAAAATGGAAGCAATTAAAAAACGTGCGAGAAGAAATAAAGTCTTTAACCTATCCTCGCTGTTAAAGTATCATTTAATCTTCCCTTGCGGTTAAAGTACTATTTTATCTACTATTTTTGATAGATATAAGGCAATTTTAACAGCTGCTATGGAAAAAAACTATAAAATTTATACCTAAAAGTCATAAAAAGTTGGTTTCCACTGGCCACGATCCAGGGAGGCAACTTGGAACCACAAAACCGTCCCAAAGATCGACCTTCTGCCGAAGAACCATCATAAAAATCCACATGGTCATAAGCACACTCTTGGTGGGGCTCCAACTCGAAAAACTGGAACACTATTTTAACTCTATGGCCAGGAGTTGTGCTGAAATGCCATACACAGTCCTAAAAATACAGTTTTTTTGATAAAAAATTATTTTTATATTAAATCCTGTACTTTTCTTGCTGGATAATAGTCTGGATAGTTTGGACTGCCTAAAGTGCCATAAGGAGTAGAGATTTCGTACTTGCAACCTCCTTCTTTACAATCTTTACCGTTTTCGTGCAGTGTGTAACCGTTATGACACACGCATTTGTATGAACCTAAAGTGTTGACACATTCATGCTGGCAGTTGCCGTGATTGATAGCACACTCATCCATATCTAAAAAAATCAAAAATTCATTATTATTAACATTTTTTTCTGACACCTCCTGTTTATACCTACCAGCATAGAACACTGCAGCGAATCCAGTCTTCTGAACACTAGTGTCCGAATAAAACACTACCCTCATCATATTTCCTTCAGAAGTTATCAATGCTGGAGCCTTTGAACCACAAAAAGAACCATGCTTCCTCATTCTACCTTCTTTCAACTTACTGAAAACATCCACGCGATCATACTCGCATTGCTGCTGTTGAGCATTGTTGTTTCTAAAAAAGAAATCAATATTTCTTTATATGTTTTACAAGAGTACGTTTAAAACACACCCCTCCAAATCAAAATGAGTGAAATTAAGGGTTATTCGGTGATTTGGTTGACCCACTATTTCCCAAACGCAGTTTTTGTTGAATGGGTACAAATCTGGAAATGATGGTGATGTAATTGTACCATTGGGTATCTCAAACATGCCTCCACAAGCGCCTGGAATAAAAAAAAAGAAGAATTTAAGTTAATTTAAATGTTTTAAACAAGAAGATTTACTTTACCTTCACAATTTTTCCCATCAGAATGTAGCTCAAAACCCAACCTACAGGTACAAACGTAACTGCCAAGAGTATTAACGCATTGTTGGGCACATCCATGATCTACTTTTGAGCATTCATCGTATTCCTTCATTATATTAGCAGAAAACCCGCCTTTTTGTACTGAACTGTCCGATACAAACTTCACCAACATCTTATTCGAGGTGGAAATTATATCTCCTGGTACTTTGTGTCCACAATATACTAAACAGAGTAAGAACAAAAAGGTTTTTGTGAAGAAATATCATTTGAAATAGAAATATTCAGACCTTTAATGATTGGAGAGTCGAATGTTATGCCGTCACGGATCTCTACGTAATCATAGACGCAGTTGTCGTGGTTTTCGACATCAAAACTTTGGAATTTTAGCGCTACTTGGTAGTTTTCTGGTACAGTGATCCTCCAGATACATTCTTTGTTAGGTTGGTACTCTTCAGGATAGTTTGGTGACTCCAGATGTCCTTCAGTGTCTATGAAGAACTCACCTCCGCACATTGCTAAAAGATTACCTAGATTAAAACGTCACGAAGATTGTGATACGAAAGAAACGTGATAAAGATTAAGTATAGTTTAGGTATGTGGATGATATTTTTGCTGTTTTTAACACACATTCAGACACCATAGATAATTTTATTTCTAAGTTAAATAATCGTTTTCCTTCCATTAAATTTACGCATGAAATTGAGAACAACGACAGATTACCATTTCTAGATGTATTAGTTATTAGAAATAATAATAATTGCCTGGAATTTGATATCTATAGGAAAAATACCACTACACGCAGATATATTCCTAATGAATCATATCATAGTGTTGAACATAAAATGGCTAGTTTAAATTTCTTAGTTCATAGATTACTTAGTTTTCCACTTTCCAGCGAAAGATATGAAATAGAAAGAGATTATATTAGGAATGTAGCTGATGTAATGGATATTCTCCTTCACTAGTTGATAAAATAATTAGAAAACGTAGGTATAGGTTAATGATTTCTGAAAATTCGACTTTTCAAGTGGAGAAAGATGCGTCAAAATATTTTTCAATACCGTTTGATAGAGAGTTATCCCGTGGTCTAAAAGGAATTTTTAAGAATGTCAATTATAAACTTGTGTATAGTGCTAATAATAAATTACAACAATTATTAGGTAATCCAAAGGATAAAACACCTCCACTGGAAAGGTCGGGTATTTATGAAATTTCTTGTAAAGATTGTAATCAGAAATATGTTGGGCAAACTAGAAGATCAATATTAACAAGATTTAAAGAACATTTAGCTCAGATAAGATATGGAAGACCGGATAAATCTTGCGTTGCCGAACATATTGTTGATAAAGAACATTGTATAGATATTAATAATTTAAAATTAATTAAACAAGTCTCAAATTACAGGCAATTAGATGCATATGAAAGCATCAGAATGGCGGTGGGCTCTGACTCGGTTGGCTAGATTTTGCCACGCCCACTCGGTGCCCCCTGAGCGAGTATATAAACGCTCTAAAAGTAAAAGTGTTTTGGTGTATTGTGGTGATTTAGTGTTTTATTTTGCTAAAAGATTACCCTTAAGTACATGTTACCTTCGTAATTAATAATAAAACCTCTATGTCCACTCGGTTTTCTAGTCACGTAGGTCACTAACATTCTGCTTCCAGTCGATGTGATTGAAGGAATCTGTCCAGTACCACAAAATACTCCTAAAATGGTTGATTTGTGCCAATACCCATCACGGATCTCCAAGTAATCTTCTTTACAATCAGGTGATTTCTCGATATCCAGCTCTGTGATGTTTAAAACTATTTTTTCTCCATGTGTTGCTGTAATTCTCCACTCACACTTAATACCATCTTCAGGAATCTTATCAGTATTAAAGGACGGAGCAGCAAAAGTAGCAGAATTCAACTGGTATGTCCTACCACACTCTGTAAAACAAACCAAAAAACTGAATTAACTATTTTAGAAAACTTAAAAGCAAATTGTTACTCACTGGGGCATTTGTATAACAAGTTAGTTTGGGCAATGTCTCCTTCGCTCAGTCTGACTCTTTGTCCAATCTCTGGACGTTTTTTTCCAGGCATATCAACTGGTTGGATGGTGTCCAGATAGGTTCCTTTGGAAAAGGTATTTCTAGCATAGTGCATAATCGAATCGTAGTCGTAGGTTAGGCCTAGGGAGTTGACTTCTTCTTCGTTGAGTTTGTTGAAGTTGTATTCTTGTCCTAAAAGAAATGATGAGAAACAATATTTTTATATTAAAATAAATTATTTTTTAAATCACAGAACGAGTTTTAATGCTGATGGTGATGAAAAGTTGATATATTCTTTCTTGGTGAACTTAGTAACTTCTTAAATGAGCCTCACTCCAAAGAATGATTACTTACCACTCATAATGTTCTCTCTTATGATGTTAACATGGTTATCCCTGTCAGGTCTGGTATGTTCATGCCAGAAACCCACCACGTGACCTAGTTCATGGACTACAATTCCAAATTTATCGCAGTTTTTCCCAATGCTGATTGCTTGGCCACCATTTCCACGTTTTCCCACAAAGGAACAACATCTAATTCAGAAAAAATACGTTAAATACACTTTATTTCATCCAATAAGAACGTAATTATATTTTCAAAAAGACTACGCTTGAACACAGATGCTATCAAACGTCTAGCATCATTTTTGAACCAAAAACTTTACTCCACTCCAACCAAAAACTCTACTACTCTTACAGATGCCTTTATTTTAATTATTACAAAAAAGTAATCTTTGTTACCCGCAAGGCCTCTCAGTAAAAATGATGTAGTTCTGATGTTCATCCCTATTCCTTTCCACAAACTTTACACAAGTAAAATTCTCCCAATGCTTCATGGCCTGCTTAAACAGCGCTTTGTGCAATCCACTGAAATTTCCGTCTATAAATATAATAAATCTAAGGTTATTTCTCTTTAGGAATTTATAAAAAATATTACCAATTTCATAAGGAATAACTCCATAGTCCCAAACTCTTTCTTTCCGAGCTGTTGCAGCTCTTGTAATCCTTCTCAGCACCCTCAGACTATCTGTAGATTTGCGTTTCAAATCGAAATGAGGCTCAAACTCATGAATCGGTGTTTCTTGATGACGTGGAGTGGTATTTTGAGCTTTGTTTTTTCTTCTTTTTCTTCTGTTTTGATGTCGTTTCCTTCTCTGATGCCTCACACCGTCCTCCAAGGTAGAATTATGGTGTTTTCTCTTGTTCTGATCCCTTAACTCGACCTCCTCACTACTATTCTTCCTTTTGGGTGATTTTGTATTGAAAGCGTATGATTTTAGTGAATACGATTTGCGTTGAGGCGTCCCCAGGTCGTCTAATGGATCATTTCCGTTGCTATAACCGAAAACATCAGGTGGTTGTTTCGAAATCTTCCGATTGAACTCGTTCAAGCCTTCTTCTTCAATTTGTAAACCTTCCAGGACCTAAAAATTAAGATTTTCTTAAAATATATCCTTTTTAGAAACTATTTAATCGAGTTTAGATTTATTTTCACCTCTTGTTTGTATTTTTCCAATTCTTCTTGCAGTAGCGAGTGTTTTAATTTGGGTTTGGGCGCTATTTCCTCGTCTGGCAGTGCTATATCTCCCAAAAAACTGCCTGAAACGTATAAAACATAGGGTTTAAACAGGGATACGACAAAAATCGATGGATTTATCGTATTTCCGGGTATAAAACAATGTAATTTGGTATAATTAAATGACGGGGAGTCGGGAGGGGGGCAGGATTTAAATGGAGTCCCCGTTTCACAAATATAAATTGCAAATTGGGGTGGGGAAACGCGTTTATTTGTTTGGAAATAAATGAATTGGAATATATGTTCAAAATGTGAAATGTTTGACGTAAAATCGATATATAATTAATAATATTATTTTCGGGAACAGAGGGAAGAAGGTTATGTTGGAAGTAGAGTAGTCAGATAAATTTTGTATTCAGTTTTGGCACAAAACATGAAACAAAATAAAAATATAATCTAATGTTAAGTAAAAGTAATGTTTTAATTTGTTGAACCCTTATATTCTGTCGAAGAAATCATCTAAATGTACAAAAAGGTAGGTTCTGGATACAATGGTGATCCTGATGGCTTGTTTAATCCACATCTGAAGCCATGGATGCAACCTGTGATATTTTTATTATCGGTGTCTTATGTATTATGTTATTTTATTTATTAAAAGTGTCAAGCACGAGGGTTCTGAGTTGATCGGGAGCTCCTGGTGGCCTGTTCCATGCACATCTGAAGACATGGATAACGTTTTGTACACCTCCTGGTATTTAATACTTATTTTAATGAAAAGAATTGGTTAAAAACTCTTAAAAAATTGAAAAGACTGGTTCTTAGTGAATAATAGAGGTCCTTATGGCATCTTCCATCCGCATCTGAAGACATTGGACGATTTCTTGTCTATTTTAGTTGAAAAAATTGTTAAAAAGTCATCAAACAAAATTCTGGTCCAATGGTGATATTGATGGCATGTTCCATCAACATCTGAAGACATAGATGGCTTCTTGTAAAACCTCTGGCATATTGACAAGGTTCTTTATGATCCGTGGTGATCCTGACGGCATTCTTCTGTATATAATCTGCTTCTAATTTAATTAAATGTCAGTATAACTGATAAATTTTGTATAATAAATTAACACAGATGAATTTCTAACATTGTTGAGTCCTAAACCAATAAAATTATCGTTTTTCTGATTTTTCTTCAACGCAAAATGACTCAGACTAAAATCGTAATAAAACAACATTTATAAGAAATTCATAAAGCTTTTTTTTATTAAGATTATCATACCCTTTTCATACTTCGGATACAAAGGGGGGATGATCCGAACGTGCTTTTTGCCCATATTTCCTGCTCCATTGTGTGTGTATCCAAATCTACCCGGACTGTAATCCCCAGCGGATGTGGAATTATGAGATAAAGTCCTAGTTTATTACGGGAATAGTAAGCCAATTACAGTTTAAGGGCGAGCGGGGTAATGAGCTCTAAAATTTACCTACCAGTGGCGTACCATTTAACCAGAGAAACTATTTGAAACAATTTTTTTGAAGCATTGTTCAAAATATGTTTTTTTCTCACTGTTTAGAAGCCAATATTGTTTTATTTTTAAATTTCGTCCCTCTAAATTGAATCACAATTGCAGTGCTCTAGATATATACCGGGTACGTCTCAAAAGTGGCTCAATTTTCTAATAAAAAACTACGCCACAAAGAAGTGAAACAATAAAGTTATTGTACGGCTTAAAGGGCCTAGAATACGAATAAGTCAAGTTAATATAACAAAAAGGTTGAAATATATGTATAGTTAATAATTCTATCAAACCATTCATATTTTTTTCCATAGCAACTGTTAAAATTGCCTTATATCTATCAAAAATAGTAGATAAAATAGTACTTTAACAGCAAGGGTAGATTAAATGATACTTTAACAGCGAGGATAGGTTAAAAACATTATTTCTTCTCGCACGTTTTTTAAAGAGACAGCTTTATTTATTTGTCAAATTACATAGAAACCAACGCCAACCCAGCACAATATTTTTTCTACTCGTAATAAATTCCTTGAAATAATAATTTCTGAATATTTTTTAAAACGCAACTCGCTATGGAAAAAAATATTGTTTTATACACGACGATAAAATTGCATTATCGTCTTGTCTAAAAAAAACTATTTATCAATCTTAATTTTCATTATTTTTTTTCGCAAAAACTAGAGTTACTAATACAATTTCGTACGCCACTGTCCGCTCATCCCCTTTTTGTCAACTCAAGGGCTTAAAGTTGCTGACTGCGTCATTAAACTTTCGGATTTGCCCCCCGATACCCTAATCTTTACAAATAACTCTACTCGGAGCGGAGTTTGTCATGTTTGGGTTCGCGAAATATCCTGTTATTAATTTTAAACTGTTTAATCACTCATATATCTATCCCTCTTCATCCCTGTACACAGTAGGGATTACGTAATATACAGGGTGTTTTTACACTAAGTTTGAACTATAGCTTAATCAATCAATAATATAGGAACGTACTTAAAATTTTCTAAACAATATGAACTGATCTCAGACACATCCTAAAACTGATATTTGACAAATATTGATGACGTAACGCTGAACGATGGCTGAACAGTCTTTAGAAGTTTGTTTAACATTTTTTGACAATTAATATAAAAAAAGTGACAGTGATAAATAAAATCATATCATATCTCGAGGTTTTCTGACTCACAAAGAAAAAAAAATACGTCATCTAACATTAACATTTGACCTCTCACAAAGCCACTGTCTTGATAACCGAACTTGAGTCTTTAATCGAAACCAATGAAATAACTAATCAGCATTTCTATTCGGTGTATATCGAACACAAAATTAGCGAATTTTTGTCAAAAAGTCTCGTCAAAGAGTTCAAGGTTCAGATTATGGAGAGTATTTTTCGAATGCAGTTGATTACTGCAGTGCAACGTAGTAAATATTGTTATCTACTTGTTTGTTTCATTTTCTTGAAATGACAATAAATACAGAGACCACAACGTGCAAGAAATACATAGATTTAAAGTTAAGAATTCACTAAAAAATGTTCGAAGGGGTTTTTATTTTGAAATTCAGTCACACTATATTTTTTTCTGGCTATTTGAACTGCTTGGTGGTGAAACAAATCAAGGTGAGGCTTTAATAGATGTAACATGATAGCAATCTAAGTCTACTGGAAGTTTTACTGCTCTATAATTGCTCTGGAAACAAGAGTTAAGATAGAGATACTCTTAGCTAACTATCCTGGAAGTCTAACCACTCTAGAAAGCTCTGAAGACAGAATTAGTAACGTAAGTCTATTGGAAATTTCACTACAGGAAGTCTACGAAGTCTACTGTAATCAACAGTGAGGAGAAAACCACATTTAGCTATATAAATCTACTGGAAATATAAGTAATCTGGAAGTTCAACTACTCTAAAAAGCCCTGAGCCTAATATATTAAAATGTCACAGGGTGTAAAATGGGACCTATACAAGATTGTAGATCACAATATTAGTAGTGTAAGTATATTGGAAGTTTTACTACTCTGGAAGTCCCGAAGTCTACTGGAATCGATATTTCACATAGAGGCAACGTTTGAACTACAAATCTACTAAAAATATAACTACTCTGTGAGTCTAGAAGTCTGTGAAATCTACTAGAATCCAAAGTTATTAACTCAGTAGGCTATGAGTAGTATTAAATTCAAGTTTTACAAAAAAACAAATAGATAATAAACTAGATATTCCACCCACCTGCTTTGCAAGGATCCAAATCAACATCTCCAGAAGTCTTCTTCTGGAACACCACACTCAACAGCTCTTCAACCGAAAACTTGTGCCCCACTTCAACCTTCTGATCATCCAAACAACTCAGAGCACTTTGCAGCAAGCACAGCATGAAGAACGCATTCCTGGTGTTGTAGATAACTGACATCTTGGCAAGATTCTTGCACTGCAAACGTTCACATTTTGCCATGGGATATATGGCGATCCTCTTCCTGTAAAAACTACGAAGGATTGGCGCTTATCTTGAGACAGGTTTGTTTGTTTTGGTCACCATGTTGTTGGCTTGATTACTGGACTGCAAGTGATTGCCTGTAAAGAGCATCTAATAAGTGATATCTAATGTTTATAAATTTCTAAATAAATGTTTTATTTATTTTCTGAGAAAAATACTGAATTACAAGAAAATTTACCACAAAAATTATCAAAAATATATAAATATAAATACAAGCTGTGCTTTATTGATAAGAAATAACTATATTTTCCATGTGAATTATTCAATTATTTGAGATTTCCTAGGATACGTTAAGTTTAATATACTCCACCCTAATAAATACCTCCAAAAAAATTTGTGGGACGCCTATGGAAATGTGCTTTAGTTTATCGCACCTATATTTGCTCGAAATTGGCACATGGATGCCCCAAATAAACCTTAATGGATAATATTCTCCAATAACACCATCCATGGCGATTTTAAACGTAAATTTATATCGATTAATATATTAATTTCCTGTTTTAATATTTTAACTAGTTAAAATAAAGCTTCAGTAATAGTCTATGGCTTAAATATATACAGGGTGTTTCAAAAACGTCATCATTTTATGCCCCGAAGTTTTTTTCTCTTGTTAGCGAAATAGTGCAAGCAGTTTAATGCTGATTTTGTCGATTTTGGCCTCCTTGACGAGATAAACGTAATTTTATTAATTTGCCCCGATTCAAGTCTAATAGTAACCTTTAAAAAAATGTAATATCATTAACTTGTGAAAGTTTAAATTGGTACTCATTGATTTCTCATCAAAAAATATGAAAAAAGGTTCCTATAATCATGAGTATGGAAATGCATAGTTTTAGAGTTAGAGGATGTTAAAACTTTTTAAAATTAGGTTTTTTGTAATATTATCTTAAATAACATTACTTTTTTATTTGAAAAAGCTGTAGGTTGGACTAATAGTAATAATATTTAATAATAATTTAGGTAAAATATAGAGGGTGTCCCAGAAATAAGTTCAAGTATTTTAACTGGGAATATATTTCGCCCTCAGAAACATGCCTATGAGGTATTTTTTGCGAAAAAAAAATTTGAAATATTGGAATTTTTTTTAGCTTTAAGTTAAAAAACATAATTTCTTGATTATATGGCAACATAGGTAGTAGCTTAAATTTACATGAAAGAAAATCTAGAAAAGATCCAGTGGTTCTCAAAATTTTAGCAAAAAATCATCATTTTTGGAAATTTTCAAAATTAAATAACTCGGTTATTTTGGACTTATTGGAAAAACGGTAAAGAGAAAAAATGTTTCTTTTGACCAGATATACCACCCCTTAAAATATTTGCTCTTCTTTCTGGTACACCCTGTATAATTTATTAATTTTACCTTTATTTTAATTTTATTAATTGTGATTAATAAAATTGCGACAAAATATCAAGAGATAACTTTTAAATGGCATTAAACGGCCTAAACAACTTTGATATAAAAAAAAAGCAGTGGCGCACATGTTTTTTTTGAAAAATATTCCAGTGGTAACCCATATGCACGTCCCTGATTAATTCATCGACACTTTTATAGCATTAAAATATGTAGCAATTTACCCTCAAACTTTCATTCAAATCACTAAAAGGACTTGGAAGAAAATTATAATAAATCGAAAGATTATTAAGATTTTAACACCCTATATCTACGAAACAAAGCAGAATCGGACCTATGTTGAATGAAAAATAGATCTTATTTTTACTTGAGGGATCTTTCCACAAGAGATGGCACATGTTTTTTGAAACACCCTGTAGATAAATATATTCTATGTAAGGGCCAATATATTTTTTTTTGTAATTAATAGAAATAATATGAATTAATATTTTATTGTAATTTGTTATGGACAGTGTAAGTAACCTTTAAGTAATGATTTACTGTTTCAAAATGTAGATAAATGAAGTATTTTTAAAGAAGATAAGATGGAGATATCACGACTGCATGTTTTCAATGAATTATTGAACTGTTTGATAATCTTGACCAATTGTTAAATGACTTTCTTTTAGTGTTTCAATGTTAAATGGAGAAAATCAAAATATAAAATCTGTCTCAAAGTATAAAAAGCCACCAAAGACATAAATAATATCTTCAATAACACAATTAAACATAAATATAATTTATTTTTAAGCTCTTCATGGCTTAATTCTGGGAATATTTTTGGCTCAACCAAAGTTAATTTTTTTCAAACCTCCTATTAATGTCTAAATTGAGCCATATATCTGAATGATGCCTTACATAATAAAGCAATTTGTTTAAACAAATAAGAGTGCCTCGTTTAAGTGTTCTGGGTCAACGGTATTATCTTGTACAGGGTGGACAAAATTACTCGATTTAAATCTGTAAATTTTGCTTAAGTACTCTGCACTCAATAATATGATAAATTAATAGAGAAAAAAATAGACTTCTGCAGGATTCAAAATGACAGACTTAGTAATGTAAATCTATGACAGATTTTACTACTTCGGAAGTCTCCTAAATCTTCTGGAAATAAGAGTTATGAAAGAGGTAACGTTCACAACGTAAATCTACTAGAATTACTAGCTCTGGAAGTCTAACTATTCTAGAAAGCTCTCTGAATTCTAAACATCTGAAGACTTTAAAGGGTGTAAAATGAGAACTGTGCAGGATTGAAGATCACAAAATTTGTAATGGAAGTCTGGTGGAAGTTTTACTACTCAGGAAGTCTACGAAGTCAGGAAGTCTACTAGTAACTTTGTTATAATAAAAAATCTAATTTTAAAACAAAATATACATTTTTGGGTAGAAATACACTTGAATAGTCAATTTAATAATGATATTTCAAATAAATTTTAGTTATTTTAAGACGATAATATAACGATGATAAGAGAAAATTGCAAAATAAAAATGGCTTGATTTAGAAATCAAATTTCTGTATAGTAAACGAAGTATGCTTAAAATTGAAGCCTATGGACTTTACAAAAAACTTACTTATAAGCTAACTAATGTAGAGTATGAATGTTGGTGTCTCTTTCAGAGAAATATGTTTGTGGTTATCAATTCAAAATTTGTTAAGAAAATGTCCATTCTGAATAGTAAGTTTAAAAAATTAAAAATCTCTAAAAACAAACATGTTTTCCAAAGAGACATAAACATAGTAGAGAATCTTTCTTCGCAGACTTTTGATAAACAAGAGCTCAGTTTATTAAACAAGGGTTTAAAGTTTGCATTGCCCAACTCTGGTAGCGCTTTGGAGGAAATCGTCGTTGGTGTTGAAACTGCTATTCAGCACTTGCCCGAGGCTTCTAAAGTATTTACAAGAGAGGCTTGTAGAAATCAGTTATCAAAAAATATCGTTTCAAGTAAATCATTAAAATCTAACAAGGAGCACAATATTGTCAAGAGTTTGCGTAAGAAAGATTGTTTCTACCTAAAAGCTGATAAGGAAAATAAGGTTGTTATATTAGATAAAAAAGACTATTACGATAAGGTTAACAACTTAATCGATAATGGCCCCTACATAAATTTGAAAAAAAATCCTTTGTCTAAGATGGTAGCAGACGTTAAAAAAACTCTAAAAGAATGTAACACCCTTATTGATCTTTCTTTAAAGAGGAAATTGCAAGTATCCAATCCCTCATTACCAAAATTGTATGCTTTGCCAAAAATTCACAAACCGGACAAGTCTATGCGCCCAATTGTTTCGGCTGTAGGTTCTCCGACTTATAATTTAGCAAAATGGTTATCAGGGGAGTTCGAAAATTTACCTGATCATGAACCTTCTTTCGCAGTTAAAAATAATATTGAATTCATTAACAAAATGAAAGAGATAACATTGCATGAAGGTGAAATTTTGGTCTCCTTTGATGTATCTTCGTTGTTCCCAAGTGTTCCAATTTCACATACTTTAGGCTACTTGAAGGAATTACTGAACGCAAATGGTCTCGACAACAAAACTGTGACTGAATATATTGAGCTTACATCGTTATGTATGAAACAAAATTGTTTTCAATTTAATAACAATTTTTTTAGACAGTGGAAAGGTACAGCAATGGGTAATCCATTGTCTCCATTTTTGGCTAATTTATTCATGAGCAGGTTTGAAGTGGAGGCTAGGAATCAGTTTGAGTATTTTCCAAGAGTACGGTTTAGGTATGTGGATGATATTTTTGCTGTTTTTGACACACATTCAGACACCATAGATAATTTTATTTCTAAGTTAAATAATCGTTTTCCTTCCATTAAATTTACGCATGAAATTGAGAACAACGACAGATTACCATTTCTAGATGTATTAGTTATTAGAAATGCTAATAATTGCATGGAATTTGATATCTATAGGAAAAATACGACCACACGAAGATATATTTCTAATGAATCACATCATATTGTTGAACATAAAATGGCTAGTTTAAATTTCTTAGTTCATAGATTACTTAGTTTCCCACTTTCCAACGAAAGATATAAAATAGAAAGAGATTACATTAGGAATGTAGGTGAGTGTAATGGATATTCTCCTTCATTAGTTGATAAATTAATTAGAAAACGTAGGTATAGGTTAATGATTTCTGAAAATTCGACTTTTCAAGTGGAGAAAGATACGTCTAAATATATTTCGATACCGTTTGATAGAGAGTTATCCCGTGGTCTAAAAGGAATTTTTAAGAATGTCAATTATAAACTTGTGTATAGTGCTAATAATAAATTACAACAATTATTAGGTAATCCAAAGGATAAAACACCTCCACTGGAAAGGTCGGGTATTTATGAAATTTCTTATAAAGATTGTAATCAGAAATATGTTGGGCAAACTAGAAGATCAATATTAACTAGATTTAAAGAACATTTAGCTCAGATAAGATATGGTAGACCGGATAAATCTTGCGTTGCCGAACATATTGTTGATAAAGAACATTGTATAGATCTTAATAATTTAAAATTAATTAAACAAGTCTCAAATTACAGGCAATTAGATTCATATGAAAGCATCAGAATTAATAAATGTAAAGATAGTATGAACAATTCCTTCAAGTTCTATGTTCCTACTACTCTAGTGGCGGAAATCTAACTGTTACGCTCAGTGGGTTCTGACTCGGTTGGCTAGATTTTGCCACGCCCACTCGGTGCCCACTGGGCGAGTATATAAACGCTCAACTTGTAGATTGTACTTTAGTTTATAATCATCTGCTGATGATGCTAACATGGTTAGCGAAACGCGCGTCCAGTGTAAAAGTAACAGTGTTTTGGTGTATTGTGGTGATTTAGTGTTTTTATTTTGCTGTGTAACACCAAAGGTTCCAACCCACAACTGTAAGTAAATTACCAACAGATATTCAGGCTGAGGCGACAAACACCATATCCAAACTACTTCCTTTTAAATCCCGAATAAATTATGAAAAGGAATACAAAAATTTTCAAAAATGGAAGCAATTAAAAAACGTACGAGAAGAAATAAAGTTTTTAACCTATCCTCCCTGTTAAAGTATCATTTAATCTACCCTTTTGCGGTTAAAGTACTATTTTATCTACTATTTTTGATAGATATAAGGCAATTTTAACAATTGCTATGGAAAAAAATATATTTCTCGTATTATTCTACATATTCCTTAAAAAGATATTCGATAAAATTGTCATTTCCTCTGTAAAACGTTGTAATCTGGAATCTTTGTAGGACTTTCGTTTACTTTTAGCCTATTTGGGTCTATAAATAAGATAACTGTGGGTGTTTAAAGAGTGTAGTACTATGCCGATTATATTTAGTGTACCGAAGTACCACAAAGCGCTACTTTAATGCGCGTGTGAAATCTCTTATTACGACGCTTCCAGATTGTTTTGTTCAGGAAAATTTATTCGATTTAAACTTGATAATGGTTGCTGTAATTCCCTTCATAGATAATTCGGATATTTTGTTTCTTGATTATATTAAGGCATATAAATAATAAAAGTATTAGTCAAAAATTAAAAAACATAATACGAGCCCTAACAACTATATGTTGGAATAAGGTCATATTTTGGAATTATTGCCCTGGTTTTTCAAAATGACTGAAAAATATATGTTTAATTTTTTAAATATAAACATAGCCATATCTCCTAAACAACTTGACAATATTTTTATGAATTTGCAAATCAATCCATATTTACAGTAGCGGATTTTGTTCATAAAAGAACAAATTTGCTGACAACTAAATGTTGGGACAAGTATTTTTAAATAATTAATATCATCATAGGCGGCTTGTCTACAAACGTCACAAATGTCGCAAACTGTTACTTCAGCATTGACAGCTTGTAAGTGACTCGATACTTTGCGTAGTGAGATTTACTGTAAGTGATTTTATTTTTTTTAATTTTCAATTCTGTTAATTTATTTCAAAGTAATGGTCCGTGGAAAAGCTACAAATCAAAAACTACGCGAAATTATCATTCGTCAATACAGTACGGGAAAAACAATTCGAAAAATTTCTGATGATTTAAGTATTCCAAAAACCACGGTCTTTAATATAACAAAAAAAAACGGCGAATCTGCCAATGTAGACGTTAGAGGTAACAGTTCGGGAAGGCCAAAAATTGTATCTCAGAGAGATTTACGAAATTTAGTAAAAATTTGCTAGTCTGCGAGAAGAAGTACTCTTCGCGAAGTAACAGTTAAATGGAATACTGTAACTGGTTTAAATATATCGAGAGAATGTTGCCGAAAATATATCCATAAATGCGGTCTGGGGTTTTACAAGGTAAACTTTATTTAGTGTGAATAATCAATTACCTGAAGATTATTGATACAAATTCTTATTTAGGCCAAAGAAAAACCGCTACTGACAGAAATTCAAAAGAAAAATCGCTACAATTGGGCAAAATCTAAATTATCGTGGACACAAAATGATTGGAATAAGGTCATATTTAGCGATGAGTCTAAATTTGATGTTTGCGTTGGAGATCATCGAAAACGAATAATACGAAATAAAGCAGAAGCCTTTCATAATGATTGCTTAAAAAGGGTTGTTAAATTTCCTAAGGGGATTATGGTTTGGGGTTGCATGTCAGCAAGAGGTTTGGACAAATTAAATTTTATAGATGGCACTGTTAACGCCCAAAAATATCAACATATACTTGAGACCTCACTTTTGTCTAGTGCTCAAGAGTCGTTTCCAAACGAAGACTATATTTTCCAACAAGATGGAGCATCGTGCCATTCAGCAAAATCAACTAAAAATTGGCTCGGTAATAATAATACAAAAGTTCTATCCCATCCTGCAAGTAGTCCGGACCTCAATGTTATAGAAACTGTGTGGCATAAAATGAAGCAATATTTAAGAAACCACTCTCAACGAACAATTTTTGATTTGCGAACCAAACTGCAGGAAATTTGGGATAATTTTTCTCCTCAAATGTGCCAATCTTTGGTAAATACAATGCCATTAAGAGTTCAGGCAGTTGTTAAGGCGAAAGATGATGTAACTCCGTATTAAACAAATTTCTTGTTGTGCTGTCCCAATATATAGTTGTCAGCAAGTTTGGCTTGATTTTGGCAAAATAAACTATTATCAAAAGTGATTTGTTTGCAAAGTTATAAAAATATAGTAAAATTGTCTAGATTATATTGTAAAGTTTGAATTTAGAATAATAAACGAAATAAATGGAGTCGTCTTAACAAATTACTATTTTTATTGCAAAAAAAAAGACCTTGTCCCAACATATAGTTGTTAGGGCTCGTATATCTTAAAGATTGTGAAGTTAATTTTTGGTTAAGTCAAGAAGACAACAAACACATTCACATGACCATTGAAGTGACCACGATCACCATCGATAGCTACTGCCATATATGTGGAAATATTTGAATACCTATTATTATTTATTATTTCTATATTAACAACACAATCTTCATTGGATGTAAAATAAAGCATACTTATTTACATTTCTGTGAAAATAAAAACTGTAGAAATACTCGGATATAATGCATTAGATATTAGATATGATTCGTTACTAACTTGTATCTCCTGTGTTTTTAATAATATTAATTATGATGAAGACACAAGAAATCACTGATGTGAGAATAATGTTATTTATTTTATGAGCAAATTACTCATTTTAACTCGTATATATCATAAATATAATGGTAACATTATTATATTATAACAGTGTAATTCTCATTTAAAACAGAAACAAAAAAGAAGAGATTTGGTATTAAAAATAAAGACATCTTAATTAATTTTACAATAAATGTTGCTTTTCGTAGAGTAATAAATATGATTCAGCCCAGAATAGGAATCTTAATAGAAAAAATAAGTGTATAAACAAGGTGTTTGGGTATAAAAATTATTTATCAAAACATAAAACATAAAGTTGAATAAAAACTATATTCATTAATGATATAAAATAGAAGGTATTACATTTAAAACAGTAGGAAAAATATTAATACATCTAGTTTTAACTCACTCTGTATATATCTGTATACCTGTACAGTTAAAAGGTTTAAAGAATTCGCTGTTTTATAATTTTGGGAGAGTTTTATATAGCATGTAGAAAATTTAGTCCCAGAAATTGTCATATTTCTGAAACCACTCTGTATATATTAAGATTAAGCCATTATGGTATTGGAATTTTACGTGAAATCTATTGAGGGAAAAAGGAAAATACAGAATTCCGTTTAAAAAACTACAAAGGTAGGGTAAAAATATACTGGAATCACCCTGTATATATATGAAAATATTTTTAAAATATTAGGCACACCCAGTTGCTGCTATAGTCTACAAAAAAGATTAAAGTAAAAATCTCTGGTACGGAGCACTCGGTCGCCCTGTATAATATTTTTTCTTCAGGTAAAATTTTGGATTTACTGACAATAAAACCAAAAAAAAACACATTTTTTAACTGAAAAAACTGATTAATTTTTACCTCATAGAAGTTTTCTGAACCTCGCAAAGGTAACTGGTCATTTTCGAGTCCGAAACCAGCACTGTCCGCGTGTTTAGCGCGTCCGCAGCCCCACAAAGCACAGCCTCCCGCCGAGACGGACTTTTATGACTGGCATCAAACTGGCATAGCGGCGGTCTGGTGGCAATCAGAGCGATGCCACGCACTCTCGACTTGTATCGCGAGCAGCAGAGTCGGAACATCAGCAGGAGATGAGATTAAAACGAGAGCCAAAGTCTTTAATAACAGCTGAATAGACGAAATACCAAATTCCGCTGACTATGGAGCCAAAATTGAGGGACTTTAGACAGATAGAGACGTAAAAAACAGCTCTAGAATCTTCAAAACACGTTCAAGGCTAGCTAAAATGATTCTAGAAGTTCACAAAGTGTTGTAGAACCACTAAGAACGCCCTAGAGTCTACCAAACCCATTTTCAAAAGCTCTAGAATCTCTAGAACAAGTTTAATGTAACTAAGACATTTAAAGATTAGCTAAAACGACTCTAAACGTTCTCAAAGTATTGTAGAACGACTAAGAGAGCCTTAGAGTCTACTTAAACCCATTTTCAACAGCTCTAGAATTTTTACAACAAGTTCCATGTAACTAAGACATTTAAAGATTAGCTAAAACGACTCTAAAAGTTCTCAAAGTATTGCAGAATGACCAAGAGAGGCCTAGAGTCTGCTTAAACCACATTTGAACAGATCTACAATCTCTAGATTCTACTTAAATCCATTTTCAACAGCTCTGGATTCTCTAGAACAAGTTCAATGTAACTAAGACGTTTAAAGATTAGCTAAAACGTCTCTAAATGTTCTCAAAGTATTGCAGAACGACTAAGAGAGCCCTAGAGTCTATTTAAACCCATTTTCAACAGCTCTACAATCTCTAGAACAAGTTCAATGTAACTAAGACATTTAAAGATTAGCTAAAACGACTCTAAAAGTTCTCAAAGTATTGCAGAACGACTAAGAGAGCCCTAGAATCTGCTTAAACCACATTTGAACAGATCTACAATCTGTAGATTCTACTTAAACCCATTATTTTCAACAGCTCTGGATTCTCTAGAACAAATTCAATGTAACTAAGACATTTAAAGATTAGCTAAAACGTCTATAAACGTTCTCAAAGTATTGCAGAACGATTAAGAGAGCCCTAGAGTCTATTTAAACCCATTTTCAACAGCTCTACAATCTCTAGAACAAGTTCAATGTAACTAAGACATTTAATGATTAGCTAAAATGACTCTAAAAGTTCTCAAAGTTTTGCAAAATGACTAAAAGAGCCCTAGAGTCTACTTATACAACATTTAAACAGCTCATCTAGAATCTCTGGAACAAGTTCGGTGTAGCTAAAACATTTCAAGACTAGCTAACATAGCTTTAGAAGTTCTCAAAAGTATTGTCGAACGACTAAAAATATGCCTCTCGAGACTGAAAAATCTCTCAAACCGTTCTAGAACGACTAAGAGCTATCTAGAGTCTACCTTAACCTTTTCCAAACAGCTCTAGAATCTCTAGAACATATTCAATGTAGCTAAAACACATCAAGATTAGCTAAACCTCTCTTGAAGTTTCTACTATTGTTAAGACTTCCTCAACTGGAAAATTTGTAAAAGGCTCTAAAATTAGTCTTAACTCCGAATCAGTAAAAGATGTGTAAAAAATGTGTATATTATTACTAAGGGTTTCAAGGAATATGAAAATAATTATTATTTGAGAACACTTTTTTTGGGGAATTTGCCACTCATCTGGATGTTCCGCCACTGGTTATCCGCTCACATGCAAATGACACCTGCTGTGTCCCCCGCCTCTGCGGCTCTTCTGGCCCCATCTTGCGCCATTCTCATTCCGATGGTGATTATTCCACGGTCAGATTGTTAATTAACAATTTAGTGGCCCTTTTAGCGGGACTCACGCACGCCGGCTACCTGCTCCCTACCATAGACGACTCGTCAGAGCAAGCCTGAGGTCTCAAAATTAACAAAAAAAATTAGTAAATTGTATTTAATTTGGATTGTATTTTTTCTAATTTTACACACGCATTTTTTAATTTCATTTTTGTCATTTAACTATGGAAATATGTAATATTTAAATAGAATTTTTTTCTTGGTTTTAAAATTTTTTAGTTTGGTTAGATGAATACAATTTGTAGAGGACTCAGGAATAGTTTCTAGAGTTTTATACGAATTTTCTGATATATTTATGAAAGTTTTAGGTTTTTTATATCTATAAAACATATTCATAGCTATATAATAAATTATTTTAATCGTTAAATTAAGTAGATAATTGTTATAATGTTTCTAATACCGTATGATCGAAAAAAAAACGCGTCAAATTGGCTTGGAAATGACGATCGATGACATTCCCCATAGTTTTATATGCAAAATGATAGCGATCCACGTTTCCAAGCCATCTCTGACGCCGTTATTTTTCAATCATACGCTATATTTAACAATGCAAAGCAAATAGATAATTTGTAGTTCGAAACTCTTTTTGTTGTAATATTGTACTCTAATATTTGGGCTAGGCAACCAATAATACACTGAAAATTAGAATTAAACAACCCAATTTTTTGAATAAAATACACGTTAAGAATAATCTGCATAATATATTTATAAACTTAAACCTTTATTTTTCCACCATATTTAACAATTCAAGACCAATAAATAATTTGAATTTGTACTGAAAAATAAAAGAATATATTTAAAAACTAGAAAAATAAGAAAACAAAAACACTTATGGACATTTATTATAGGATGTTTATTTTATAAAACACATTTATAAATAGATTTAGGGCTCTTCCTGCAGCTTGGCCAAGAAACTCTTCTTTTTCTGTGCCACACGATCCTTGCGCTCTGCCAGGGTGAGTTTCCTGCGCAGAGTCTTCTTTTTGGCCGGTACCGCACTCCTGTCTTTCTTCACCACCTCTGGGTTCTCCCTGATAGCGGCGTGAGCATTTTTGTAGATACCCTCGATCTAAAAACCAAAAAAATAATCAAAATATTACCCTAAAACATGCATTAAAATTTGTATTATGAAAATACTCCATTCCAGACATATAAAACATCAGGAAAATTGAAATTTCATATAAAGATAATGTTGTCCAATTGCGACACTGAGTCTCTACAGTTTCAAAAAACACAGTAATTCATATGGACGTATATTTATTACTTATAAAAGCCACCTACCTGGTCTGCATTGATTCCCAACTTAATGTATCGGCTAAACTGTCTCTTGAAAGCCTCTGGGTCCTCCTCTTCCAAGGATTTCATGTAGTCCCTCACGTGAATACCGAAAATGTGGTCGCGGTGTACTTCGGCATTGAAACTTTTCGACTCAGAGTCGTAACCGGGGAATCTCTTGGTGGAGTGGGGTATGTTCAGGCCTCCATCGACGGCCCCCTTCATGGCGGCGAATACTCGGGCTCCTGTGGAGGTTCTGTTAAGACCCACATCCAGATTGCACCTAAAAATTGATTTTATATAACTCAAAAAAGTTCAGAACAGTTAAAAATCAAGAAATTATTTAAAAATATATATCAGAGACACATTAAAATCATATTATTAACAGCCACAAAGAAGATACTGAGACTCCCCAGGCAAAAAACTTGCGTTGAGGACTCAGGTTCCGCTTGTGAACTGTTGGATCAGATGACGCGCATGTGTCAAAAAATCATCATAAATAAACACTAAAAGTTATGATTTTAATTGAGAAAAAACTAACCTGAAAGCTCCTGGACCATCATCAACGCCTTCAACGTTGTATTCATCACCGTTGACCTCATCAACACCTTGGTAGAGGCTGTCTAATCCCAATTGCTTGAGAAGACGACGTGCCAACAATAATCCAGTACAGTAAGCAGCTGCGTAGTTTGTTAAACCAACTTTTACACCATATCTAGAATACAAACAAATAAAAACCTGTAAAACTTAAAATATAAAGCATCTTACCTGGGTAATTCATGTGAGTATGCAGCACATACAACTTTGTCTCCTTCGATTCTGGAATAAGCAACCTGGCAGGTGATGTCTCTGTTGGACAGACGTACCACCAAACGGTACTTGGGAGTGTTATATTTGTTTTTGTCTTGAACAATAAGACGTTTTCTGGCGTAGTAATCGGTTTTACCTTCCCTACGCCTCTTGAACTTTACTTGGAATCTTTTGAAGTACTGCTTGTTCTTTACGACTTTTACGAATCCCTAAAACACAGAAAAAAAGCCACTGTAATAAACGTAAAAAGTTATTTATTATCACACAAGAACACAAAATAAACCGTGTGATGAAGGAAAAATTAATCAAAACAAATCGGTGAATATCTATTGTCAAAACAATCATCCAAGTTCTATTTTACCCTCATACGAAAATACCTTTCTTGCACTATGAATAATCCGCTGTATTTTTTTCAGGATTACTCACCATTTTTATAAATTAATGGAAACGAAAAATCACCACAAAACACGACGAGGCAAATTCTGGCTGCCTCGGGCCGTCAAAAGAAAGAGAGAGAGCGCAAGCGTATGTATATGATTTTTTTGACTTTTATATATGAAATTTGTTGTGTTAATCTGTACCAATGTTTTTAATTTAGAATTACTTAAATATCAGGCATAATAATTTAAATATTTACATTACGCTTAGTTAATGTAATTATTAAATATTAATTTAGACACTTATTTGCTCTTATTTTTAATATTTTTTGAAATTTTTAGATCTTTTTAATGGTGACTTTCTGCCAGCACTTTTAAAAGAAGAACACGTGTCAGAAAACGTCAGTTTTTGACAGATTTTTAACCTCACTTTTTGACTATATTTTTAAAAGCGAATAGTGAAGAGAAAAGTAATTGTTCCTATAAAATATAATAATTTGCTTGTTGTTTTAACAACAATGGCAGATCTACCAGGATTTGCAGACCCACAGGGCGATGCAGATAACGATGACAAGGACGAAGAATTCGTACAGAGAAAATCCGAAAAAAGATCAGGTGGATTTCAATCTATGGATCTAAACTTTAATATATTAAAAGGAATAACGAAAAGAGGATATAAACAGCCCACTCCTATCCAGAGAAAAACGATTCCTTTAATTCTGGAAGGCAGAGATGTCGTTGCTATGGCCAGAACTGGTAGTGGAAAAACTGCTGCATTTTTAATACCCATGTTCGAAAAATTGAAAGCCAGAAGCGCGAAAGCTGGTGCTAGAGCTCTTATTTTATCTCCAACAAGAGAATTAGCTCTCCAAGTATAGTTTTTAAGGAATATACTGTTATTTTTTCTTAAATAAATTGAATTTTTAGACATTTAAATTCATAAAGGAGCTTGGTAGATTTGCTGACTTAAAACCAGCGGTTATTCTTGGTGGTGATTCTATGGAGGACCAGTTCTCGGCTATTCATGGAAATCCAGACGTTATTGTAGCAACTCCAGGTCGATTTTTGCATGTCTGTATTGAGATGGAACTGAAACTTAACAGCATAGAATATGTGGTGTTTGATGAGGCAGATAGGCTTTTTGAAATGGGTTTAAGTGAACAGTTGAGTGAAATTGTTGGTAGATTGCCTGATTCACGTCAAACTCTCCTGTTTTCTGCCACATTGCCAAAGGTACTGGTTGAATTTGCCAAAGCTGGTCTGAGTGATCCGGTATTATTGAGGTATTTATTTAAATAAAATGATTTTAATCAGAAATTTAATATAAATTAATTTATTGTAGATTAGATGTAGAATCCAAACTGCCTGAACAACTGAAATTGGAATTTATCATAGTTAGACCTGAAGAAAAACTAGCAACTTTGATAGTTTTGTTGAAAACAGTTATAAACTCTAAGCAGCAAACTGTGGTTTTTGCAGCTACAAAACATCATGTGGAATACTTGCATATGGTAAGCTTATTTATGATCTTTATGGAACATTTTGTTGATAAATTAATAAATTATTTATAGGTTTTGGATCAGCTGGGAATTTCAAACACTTACATCTATTCAGACCTTGACCCATCAGCTAGAAAAATAAATTCAGCCAAATTTAGTACAGGAAAAGTGAAGGTGCTTGTTGTAACCGATGTAGCAGCTAGAGGAATTGATATTCCTCAACTAGATAATGTGATAAATTACAATTTTCCAGCCAAATCCAAACTGTTTGTTCATAGAGTTGGTGAGTATGAAAAAAACTTGATTTGAGAAGGGTTTATAAATATTTTTTATACAGGGAGATGTGCAAGAGCTGGCAGGTCAGGAACAGCATATTCCCTAGTTTCTCCAGACGAACAAGCATATTTATTGGACTTACATTTATTCTTGGGACGTCCAATGTCGATAACAACCCAAACTAATGAAGGTACTATAGGAAGAGCACCACAAGACCTTGTCGAAGATCAGTTAAGTTCTCTGCTAGTGCTACACGACAATCACATTGATTTAGTAAGAAATTTTAGCCTCGTCCAGTTTGAATTTACTAATTTTTTTATTTTTTTTCAAAGGAAAGCATGTTGAAAGTTACTGAAAACGCTTATAAGCATTATATTAGGTCTAGACCAGGGGCTTCAGCTGATAGTAACAGAAGAATCAAAGAACTGGCTTTGAATGTATGCAGTTTGCATCCGGTATTTAAGAATAGTGAGCAAAGTAAATTGATGGAAAGAGAAAATTTGTTGGATCAAATGAAGAGTTATCGTCCCCACGGGGTAAGTTTGTTATTATTGTTTTTTATGTACAGGGTGGTCCGTTAAATAAGGCAAGAAATAATGAGGTAGGTTTGATAAAAATTTGCTGTTCATATATAACGTGAAATATCTGCGAAACCGTTAAAAATTTAGGAACATTTCATATACAAAAAATGTTCATTTTTTAATGCTGCATCTTACAGAAAAATAATATACAGGGTGTTACATTTAAAAAAATTGAAATATAGCCTCTTATATATTGAAATGTTGGACTTGCCATGAAAAATACCCTGTATAAGAAAATGTGAGTTTTCTTCCACCTATTTGTTCTGTTATTCTTGAAGTTTAGGAAAATATAAGTTAGTATTAATAAAGTTAAACCCACTCCGGGTTTTTACCACTTTTCTGATATACTGTTTTAATATAAGTTTTACTAAAACAAACAAAATATTTTTAGGATATGCATGTTTATAAACCATGCAAAATTTATATAAAACTTTTTTTTGTATCTTTTTAAACAGCGAAGATATTGGCCATCCTGTATAAAACTTTGATCTGACTTATTTTTTTTAGACTATTTTCGAGATTTGTGGAAAAAATAAGTCACAAGAATACATGACCATGAAAGAAAAACGAGCTTTTCACAAAGAAAAAATAGAAAACCATAAGAAAATCATGGCTGAAAAATTGCTGGATAATATTAGTTTACATAAACCAGTGGTGGCGTTAGATAGTAAGTGAAAATATTATTTTTTAATGCATATTTTAATCTAATTTCACAGGCAGTACTAATGAAGAAATAGAGGGAACGTTTAATGATATTATAGTACCGAAAAAACGAAAAATGGATGTTTTATATAACAAAAAAATTAAGAAACAGAAAACTGGTAGTGATGTGTTTATTCCGTATGCTCCTGATGACCAACATACAGAAGAAGGGTAAGATTTATTATAAAAAAAGTTGAATAAATTATTATTTTTCATATACAGGGTGTCCCACTTAAGATGGATACAAGCCGATATCTTGATTGTTTGTTGAGCGATCTTTTTCATTTTTGGCAGGAGGCTGTACGGCTATAAGACGTATATTTTACCCAGGGTAAGAAATGCGATACCTCATAGACGTATGTTTTAATGGGGTTTGATATTTTTCGAGTCAAGATAGAGTAAACTACCCTTAGGACAGTATTTATTTCAAATCTGATAAATTATATTGAATCCTCCTTACCTGAGATACTTAAGTTCTATTTTTTTATAAATATTTCTACAGGGAGTGTCATTAAAATAAGACATTTTTATTTTTATTATTATTTTTTTAAGTACTTACGACGCCACTGGATAAACAACTGGTTTATTATCAATAACCAATTATATTCAATTATCAGTTAATAATCTGTTTAAGTTCCTTATAGTTTTATAAATCTTTGTTTAGAGCATATAATATTTTTAAAAGTTAATAGTGATTGTTTTAAGTTTATTTGTATTTTTTTAAATATTCCTCTCAATAAAACGGATAAAAATCATATTTCACTTAAAAAAATATTAATATAAATAAAAATGTCTTATTTTAATAACACTCCCTGTATCAATATTTATCAAAATTAGAACTTAGTATCTTGGGTAAGGAGGATTCAATATAATTTATCAGATTTGAAATAAATACTGTCCTAAGGGTAGTTTACCCTATTTTTGAAAAAAATCAAACCCCATTAAGACGTACGTCTATGAGGTATCGCATTTCTTACCCTGGGCAAAATGTACGTCTTATAGCCATACAGCCTCCTGCCAAAAATGAAAAAGATCGCCCATCTTAAGTGGGACACCCTGTATAGACACACAAAACATATTTTTATATTCACAATAAATTGAAGAGGAAAAAGGCGTCGTGGTAGCCATTTCCAAACAGTTTACGTCAATTATTTTAAAGTTTATCATGCTTTTCTGTGTTAAAATAACATTATTTCAGGTTATTAGTAAATAATTTCCAAAACGAAGCTAGCAAAGTTCAGTTTGATATAACTGGTGACTCTGAAAAAGCTATGAAACTGAATAGCTCCATGAAAAAATGGGACAGGAAGAAAAAGAAGATGGTTACTGTTGAGGTAAATTTTTTTACATTATTTTTGAGCTAAGATAATGTATTTTTTAATTTTTTTAGAACCCTAGAAAAGGAAAAATAAAAACAGAGTCAGGAATATGGATACCTGCAACATATAAAAGTAACAGATACGTCCAATGGAAGGAAAGAACTAAAATTGATACAGAAAATGCAGATGATGAAAATGACGAAGATAACACACCTCAAAGTAAACTTTATAATTTTTAAAATATCTTTTTTTCTAATATTTTTATTTTTTTTTTAATAGAAATTAATAAATCAAGACCGTTCACTCACTGGGCCAGGCACAACGAAAAAATGAAAGAAAAACAAAAACAATCGGACATGAAGAGCACACAACAAATACTAAAAGCCAGAGAAATAGCCCAAAGAAAGAAATTTAGACAGAAAAAACGAGGATCTAAAAATAAAGGAAAGGGTAGCAAGGGCAATAATAGGAGAAGGAAATAAAGAAAACTAAATAAAGGTACATTATTATTAATGTTTATTTTTTTTAAATTCTAAAAAAACATATACCTACCCCAAAAAAATTGTCTTTTATTTAAATGGAATATTTAAAATATTAATCATTAAATAAAGAGACTAAGGAAAAGAGAGGAAAAGGACGTCATAGTAGCCTTTTTCAGACAGTTCAACCTCAATCTTTTTTTAAAATATTTGAATTTTGTAAGTTAATTATGCTTTTCTGTGTTTATTTCAAAATTAATTTTATACAAAGAGTTTAAAAATCCGCAAAGATGTATCAGAACTTGAATTATAGTGTGTCAGACATATTGAGACCCTTTCCTTGTCTCACAATGTTTGTCTTTTTATTTAATAATATTAATCAATACTTAAGGAAAATGAAGAGTATTTTTAATGGATTTCTTATATAAATTAAACTACCCTTAAAACAGAGAAAAATGAGAAAGCTTCAAATCAGGGATGGGTCTTTACGCGTCTATTTTATTACGTTTTGTCGTAAATACACGTAAAAAACTCCGAAAACGTAAAAAACCTAATAAAAAGAACATTATTTTTCTTTTTCGTGTAATTTCTATTGTTTCTGCGTAATGTTTCAATTTTTACACAAAATAAAAATACAAATCAATAAAAAGATGATCAAACTTAGTGTAATAAATTAAAATTTATTTTTAAAGTAAGATCATTAACAATAACAGAGTTTATAGGAAAGCTTTACAGGGCTGTAAGGTAGTTTTATTACGTTTCCTTAAAACGTAGAAAAAAACTGTTTTTTTACATACAAAAAACTATTTTTTTTTGTCTGTCCATCCTTGTTTAACATATAATCCTGAATTAATTTTAATATTATATCTATCAATTATATTGTTTAGTAGAGAAGCTTTCCAGAGCTGTGAAGGTACGTTTTTTACGTTTCCGTACAACGTAAAAAACTATTTTTTATTTACCCATCCCTGTTACACACGTGAAAAATTCGCTAGTTTATTTATTTTTCAACTTCATCTGGACCATTTCGTGCCAAGTGGTACTTTCCAGGGCTGCGTTTTGACAATTTATCAGCACTGATGCATCAAATTGACCCTCTGTAGGCTGTAAAACTACAGCATTTTCGATTTTCGATATGTCAGACTTTATGTTCTCGGATAGGGTAACATTGGGACAGACTACCTTGAATTTTGTATAGTCCTGGCAAGAATCGGTGAATTTCAGGTTAAGTTTACCGTTATCTTTGAGAGTTATATCGGAATTTGCTATTATTCGCGAAAGGTGAATGTCTGCACTGCCTGAGTTGATTATTGCTGAGAGTTCTCCATCAAAACCGGCTAAAATATTAATAATTTTTAATGATTAAATAGAGTTTTAAACAAAGTACTTACTTAAAACTAGATTTCCTTTGACCAGGAATATTTTGCAGTTCTTGTGAATGTTGTTTAAATTCATATTTCCATTTTCTACAACGAAAATGCTTTCTGAACAGTAAGAAGAATCAACAGATATATCGCCTTTGTTGATTGTTTTTAACTTGAGATTTAAAGCTTGTAAACGTCCAGTTCTTATTGACTACAAATAATTTTTCATATTTGTTATATAAAATAACATAAAACATAGTTATTAACTTATAAAAATAAATGCTTACACCATTATAGGCTGTAGCTAGAATACTACTGGCTTGAATGCTGTTATTTAAAATTATATTTCCTTTTGTTGATACATCAACCACATCTCCTTGAAATCTATCCACAAATATATTACCTTCGGTATTAATTTTTACTTTATCTCCATGAAAAAAGCCAATAGATACATCATTTCCTGCCTTAACATCTATATCTGTTTAAATAATCATTTTTTAAAATATTTTATTAGTAAATAAATATGTTTTTATATTTACTGGCTTTCACTGGAGCCTTTATACTGCAAAGTGTGTTAGGATGAAGGTTTTTATCGCCTTTAACTATTACTTTATTACCATCAACATAGTGTTCGATAGCGTTATCGTACTTTTGGTCAGTTTGCAACAAGAAAGCGTTTAAATTATGATATTTGTGAACGTTTAATGGTCTAATTCGGACTTTACATGGAACGTCGACGTGAATATCACAAAATGTTGGAACTTCCAGGTGAGTTTTCACTATGGATAAATCGGAACAGCTTCTATTAAGAACTGAGGGAACTTTCTCTTTGTTCACTGTCCTCCATGTCCAGACCCAAACTTTTGAGGTAAACCTGAATAAAAGGAAGCGTTTAAAATCGTTAAATTAGTCGAAACGTGGTAAATATTTACATCTTCCAAGTGGGATTTATGATAACGTGCCAAAAATAGGTCGCCTACCATTTGAAAACAAACTGCACGTACGTTTAAAAAATATCTTTCCAAATGCAAATAACCCCAATTTTTATTTACTATCGCTATCTCTGTTTATTTTTGGTGTTGTCTTTGTCTAAAAATTGACCATAGATTATTGTTTGGACTCTCTCGTTTTGATTTTTTTTTCAAGTTCAAGCCATTAAAAGAGAAAAGAAGAAGAAAATACGCCGGATAGTCCTGGTAGTTTAGGCCCCTAAATTAATTAAAGAAGAAGAAATCTTTATCGGATCTGTGGTTAGGTATGGTTCGGGTCATAATTATTAAACGAAGAAGAATATTACTTCCGTTCTGTGGTTATAGTTCTTTTAGGACCCGAAATTCGAAAAAGAAGAAGAACGCTGGTGGCGCCAAAGTGGACAAAGTGGGAAAATTTTGAACTAAAACTGTAATACCAACATAATAAAATTAAAAATTTTTCTTTTCTGTCAACGAGCCGCCGCCATGAAAGCTAAAGGAGAGGTTGGTTTTCAAATTTTTACGATTTTTAAGTAATTTAGAATGCATTTACTTTAAAAATATTGTTCACATTCATTAACTTGATTTAATACAAGTTTATTTTGTGTCTTTCGGGGTGTACTGCTTCTGTAATGTGCCCAATTTGGTTTGTTGTGTACACGTGCGATTGACACTATTTGAAAGAATGTTATTTTATTAAGAATATATTCTAAAATATTGCTTAAAAACGTGGCAATTTGTTTAATTTTCCTTTATTTCTGTTTTAGTTGAAAGAGTATGAAGTCATCGGGCGTAAGTTGCCCACAGAAAAGGAGCCCAAAACTCCTTTGTATAAAATGAGGATCTTCGCTCCCGATCAAATTGTGGCCAAGTCTCGTTTCTGGTATTTCTTGAGACAGCTAAAGAAGTTCAAGAAAGCCACCGGTGAGATCGTCTCGGTCAAACCCATTCCAGAAAAAACTCCCACCAAAATCAAGAACTTTGGTATTTGGCTGAGGTACGACTCTCGTTCAGGAACTCACAACATGTACAGAGAATACAGAGATTTGAGTGTTTCTGGTGCTGTAACTCAATGCTACAGAGATATGGGAGCTAGACATCGTGCTAGAGCTCATTCAATTCAGGTATTTTTTTAAATATCTTTCTTTTAATGCCTTATTTTAAAATTAACTTTCTTTTAGATTATTAAAGTGGAGCAAGTGAAAGCTTCTGATACAAGGAGGCCCCAAGTGAAACAATTCCACGACTCCAAAATTAGATTCCCTCTGCCCAAACGCATCCAACACAAATCTATGAGCACATTCTCAGTACGTAGGCCCAGAACCTATTTCTTGTAATGTGTTAAGAATATGATTTATTTTTAAATAAACGACTATGTAAGGAACATCATGCCTTTATTGACATTATTCTTGTTTTGGTGTACATCAGATAATAATATTTGTGAGAATAAAAATATATAAATAAATGGGTATAAATAATATCACAAAAGAGAATTATAAAAATATTTTAAAAGTGTTCAGGTAGAAATGTTTCTTGCAGCTTTGTATTGAGGATATAGTTCGTCAAATCTACGGTTTAAAAACTGTACTTTGTTGAGTAGTCCCGATACAGTATCTTCCATATAAGCTTGCCTTCTCCACTCCAATTGCGGCATCAGTAATTCTGTTTGAGCTATTCTAGATTCGAGAGATTTAACTTTGTTACATACAGAATCGACGTAGGCATCTTGCAGTAAACTATTTGAACTTTGACCTAGTAAAAAAACCTGTTAAATATGTATTTACCATATTAAAACACCATTACCGAAACAAGATATAGTGGCAACATCAATATAATAAAACGGTTCAGGATCTTCAATCAAAAATGAGACCGGTACTAAAAATCCTTCTTCGTTTCTTATTTTAAGAACTGTTTTCTCTGGAGAAGCTTCGCAAACTTTAAATAAAGACGTAGTTATCGAGGGGTAGTCCATATTTGGAAAAATATCTAAGGTTTTTATGTTTGTCTCTGGAGCGTCTAAAAAACAAAGGGTGCATATTGTGCGGTTTGTAATTGATCAGTAATCGATTTACCTGAAAGATCGTATCGTTTTATCTTTAATTTAATGCTTATTTTTCCACTTTCCATGTTTATTTTGCTATGTAGAAAATTTCAATCGAATATTTATGTAAATTTGTTTATTTTGGTATGCAACCAGTAATACCCTAAAATTAAAGGCGTGGCCTCCGAAGGAAATTATTTTTCTCAGCTTTATATAAATGCAAATCAAAGATACAAGCTCAAAAAAGTGTTTCTAAAGCACTATATTTTTATTCCAAAATACAAATATTTTTCTTTTTTTAAATCCACAGGTTACAGCAAAACATCGGCAAAATTATTTCAAGTACTTGATTGTGATTGGTCTGTTCCAAATTGTCATTTGATTTTTCACAACAGTGTTGCCACGATACTAACGAAGTCCTGAAACTAATCCAAATCAATATTTTTGTAAGTATAAAACGAGTTAAACCGTCACAAAAATATGATAAATCTAATAATACATATAATATAAATTTCGTTTTAGTTAAATCAATAATATTTTTTCTTTCAGACAAAGCATTATTTATAAAGGAAAAAAATGATAATTTTCTTTTACCTGTGGTGAATCTGACAACGTTGACAGTGCTTCATTTTCCGTTTTTAGCAAGATGTCCTCATGACGCTCTTAAAATTTTTCTGATTTTTTGTTAGAAAAAGTGATTATTCTGGATAATATTTGAGTGTATTGTGTTCCCTAAGGCCTGTTTAATCTCCTGAAAATGTGAGTACTCGTTATTTTGCTTGTTTTCTATAGTATTTTTCACTTTTAAATTTTTCAATTACATCATCATTAAACGTTGAGATAGTTTTCCTATTTTCATAATTTCCTTTTTGAAAATCGAGTGTATTGAAATATAGAGACATTTCTTGATGTCTCTGTTGTACATTTAAAATGAAGTTACTGGGATAATGCTTCATATTTAGATATATTTGTTTATTTTTTTGGACCATTTTTTTTGGTAGAGTCTAAAGATGTTTTTATTCCCAAAGAAATTTTTTAGATGTTTATTCGTACAGACAAAGTATTTTCTACGTCTTTAAACTCGGAGTCGTGGTTTTTTAGTATTCTTAATTATATAATAATAATACTTTCAGATAAAGTAAAATATTTTTACAGGCATGTTTAATACTATACACTGTGGTCATATTTATGTTAACAGTTTTGCATTGTTTTAATATAAAGCTTTAATAATTATAATTTTCTTTTTTTTAGGAGCGTTATTAATAATACACACCAGCACATAAAGACCATTTAAAAGAAGAGACTGGGGCCACCCCTTGTATAATCCTGATGTTTAGCTATCATTCTGGTTTATGAGTTGTTTTTCTATTATCTGGCTAAAAGTAAGTTTAATTTATTATTTAAAAATTATTTTAATCAATTTATTAATTGTTTATTAACAGACTAACCAAATTGTTAAGATATATTTAACATTAATATGAAACAAAAAAAATACAATTATTATAGCATAATTATATAAATGTAATGTTATTTATTTCTTTCTTACAGATTATCTACAACAAATCAATAAATGTATACAGTTCCAAGGCAGTACATTTATCCTTTTTACAAATATTATCAGCAATGGTATCAGGACTTATAAGTATATCTAAAATTTTACATCTTTTGGGTAAATATATACTGGTTTTTAATGGTTTTCATTGGATTTCATGATTTCTAAATTTCTAAAGTAGGAAAAAATTCCAATGAGTCTCTGAGTTACATTTTTATGGTTCCTTATTGTCATGGGAAAATTCAGAACATCTATTTTTAATTTGGACCAATTTTTCGCTTTTTATTCTTCGATCACTCCTTATTTCTTTTGGGAGAATATCATCTATTTAGAACTTTTCGTTTCATGTTGTTTTTGGTTACCTTTCCTTTCTCTATAATAGCTTGATTTTTCATTGATTCCAAAAGATATTTCATTGATTGTATATTTCTATAAGTCTTCTTTTACTTGTATTATTTTTCTGATGGTGTTATTTAATAGCTTTTGCTTGTGTAATTCCTTGTACAAAATTTCAGTTTTGATGGATTCATTTCCATGTCATTTTTTCAGATCATATGCCATGAATTTCTGCCATTTTACTTATTCTATTGCTTTAGTTTGTGTGTGTTAAAATATAATTTAAACACACTTAAAAATCTGAGGACTAATTTCTGACCAATTCCTGGCGCATTCGCCATTTATTTAAAAACCTGACTAGGTCACAGGATATCACTTCTACTTTTCCTAGCATTTTTCCAATTAATTTTCCTGAGTAACATCGACTCCAGAGCATCATAACTAGCTTCCCCAAAGAGGAGGAGACCCGGATCACCCCCTAACCCGGTTGTTCGGGCATCGATGACCTATGTAGCATGCACAGGTACCCAAGGGAGTCACCACCCTCTGGTTTACGAGCTAGGTGTTCTAACGCTAGAGGCTTCGGCCGGATACGACCTGGCACCCAAGCTCCGAGACTTCTTCGTGCACGTATTCCGTGACCCTCGAAGAGGCAGGGGGCGGGATATCGGACACATTGAAGATGATGAGGGGGGTCCGCCTGTAGGGGGTCCCGGTGGATGTCCGCTCGATGGGTGACGAGGGTGACCCGAGACGAGGCTGCTTAGCTGGGATGGGAACTGACTGGCGAGGCTTAATCGTCGGACAAGGGTTAAATCTGATGAAGGGGGGCGACCTTATATGCTCTGGAGGATTTTTTCTTGATGTTCTTGATGTCAAATTTTGACTAGATATTGCTGAGAGCATATCTTTTTGTCCATGTTCCAGTTCTTATTCACTACATACCTCTTTATTTTTTTTAATATCATCTAAAACCATTCTCCATCTTGCTTTTGGCCTACCTCTATTTCACTGTTTTTGTCTGCCATATTTTCTTTATTATTGGAATATTATCATTCATCAATTCTATAAACTATCCCAATGATTGCTATATATACATATTTATATTATTTTAGTTATTCTTGTGAGACGTTTCTAAGACCTATTTTCTTGATTCTATTGCCTGTATAAAATGACAGCTATTTTTTAATCATTTTCATGTCATTTTTCAATCCATAATATTTCTACTTCATTATTTGTCTCTCATATTTTCTTTATTATTGGAAATATCACCTTTTATACATTCTATAAACTCTTCTATTGCTTGTCTTATTTGTGTTATTCCTTTATGCTTCAGACTTTGTATCCTTTTTTATGTCAGACTTTTCTAAGACATAGTATTTTCACATTTCTATTGCCTGTATAGAATAATGGCTTATTTTTATTCACTTCCTAGACTTCCAAGCCTTTGATTATGTTGCTTTTGATGCCTACATGGGATTGTTTAGTTCTGGATTTTTTTCTAATTGATTTTCTTTTAATTCCTTTTATAATTGAGTTTTTGAATGGGGTATTGTACTGCTTTGGAACCAGGATTTTTTGGGACAGCTGCACAGGAGGAAGCTAAATAATTTTAGGTAAATTTTACTAAAAGATGTATTCTCTAAATTAAATATGTTTAATAAAGACGTAATAACATTGTATTTTGTAAAATATGTAGATATAAATGATTCATTTCAAATAAAATGTTGTGGCGCGCAAGTTACTTATTGAATAGGCAACTAAACATACACTTACCGTGTATAATGAGTTGCCTGTATAATAAGTCTGAAATTTTAGAATTTAGTTTTTCATACTTTTTTAATATTATAATTAAAATATTTGTTAATTACAAATACAGCTGACTTAACCATGTTTTTTTCTTGTAGTTTTATCAAAAAAAAGTTCTCAATGTTACGAAGATTTCTGTATATATACCTTATCATCAATTCTCTAATTATTTAAACATGTAGAATAGTTTTTAATCAAGGCTTGTTAATGAACAAATAATTAATTATTTCTTTATATTTTTCTTACAGGACCAAGACTTTTCCAGAGGGGTAGCCAGAAAATTCATTTACCACCACATAGACATCAGCATGTCCATCAACACCTTGGATTTTAATATACTTTTTATATTACTCTTGTTAATAAAATATATTATGTTAATAAATAATAATTAAAAATAAATGAGTTTAATTGAACCAAAATATACCTATTAGAAATACTGTCTAATCCCGAACAAAAAGAAAGAAAAGTCATCTAATTGTCACAAAAGTAAAAAAACAACTTAACAAATTGTTCTGGAATAGACAGCATTTCATATAAAAATTATACCCTACGATTACCTCCGCGCTCTTATGTATTCCTGATACAAATCCGAGAAAATTCAGCTTTTAACAAAAATCGAAAGAAAAATTTTTAATCTTCGTCCAAAATCACCGGTTTCTATCAGGAGCACATAAGCGTGAAGAGGTGTGGAGTAAACTGAGTACCAATATTTACCTCCTCGCTCTTATGTACTCCTAATACATATCCGAGAAAATTCAATTTTTGTCAAAGACTGCACGAAAATTTTTAAACCGCGTCCAAAATCGTCAATTTCTATCAGGAACGCATAAGCGTGAAGAGGTAAGGAGCAAATTTAGTACCACACGTAAATAAAGCATTTTTCAACGATATTTCTGCTATCTCTAACACTTCGAACTCGTTTCCAAACTTCAACCCCTAATATCTCGTAAACTATAAGGGCTAGAGAGGAACGGAGGGCGTCTTTCGATAGGCAATTCAACCCTTTATAAGGGCGCAAAACGAGGGCGCGATCGGAAACAAAAAAAATTTTTGGCGAAAAATGAGGTAAGGGGTTAACCTTCCTTCATTTTTGCCCAAAAATTTTTTTGGTCTCCGATCGCGCCCTAATTATGCACCCTTATAGAGGGTTGAAAGGCGAATCGAATGCCGAGTTCCGTTCCTCGATATCTCTTTTAGTTTAGAAGTTATGGCCGTTTTTCCAAAAAAATCTAGCAATTCTAACTCGTTGGTCGGATGCTCCAAAATTTGCCAGGTCGAAATTATTTTTGGTCGGTTTTGTCAAAAGCGGAGAAATTTTTAATTTTGTATCAGGAACACATAAGTGCGAGGAGGTATTTTTCGTACCAGGAGTAGGCGTTGCATTCACCATTTTGTCAAGATCTTTAAATAATGTCAGAGAGAGAATAGAATTCTTAAATTTGTACCAGGAGCACACGAAAGCTAGGAGGTATATTTCGACACCAGGAGAGTATGCAGGCGGATCTACCATTTAATATTAAATGTGTCCAGAGTATACACATTGTATTTTTACCTCTTCGCTCTCATATGATCCTGATAGATATCGAAACTTTTAGCAAAACTAACACCAAAAAGAAAGTTTATCAGGATGATATAGGAGTTGGGAGGTAAATTGTAGAAGTCTTTTTCAAATAAAACAACAGTTATTTTTAATAGATTTATTTATTCACACACACGACATATACATGTATATTTGATAAGAATAGACTCAATCAGTATTTTTTCGGGATAAATCTATACTGGATTCTGGCTGCTGTAATCTTCCTAAGTAATCTTCTAGTTTCTTCATCAAGTTAGCTTGGAAACTGTGTAGCAAAAGCTGAAGATCTTCATATCTGGAAAAGAAAAGAAAACAATATATTAATATTTCTTCATAAGTTGTATTTTTTTTTCTTTTTCTTAAATTAATAAAGGAATAATAATTAATAAAAGAAATGGTTAGGCAACCAGTAAAACACTAAAATTGTAAATCGCATGAAAAGAATAAAGAATTTAGTATAGTCTGTCCAACGGAAGGATACCCGGCAGTGACAGTTGTGTCTGTCATTAGAGGTAAATTATATTTTCTGTCATTTTTTGAATTTCGCCTGTCGAAATCTTCGTTGGGACGTTGGGAAGACTATAGATTAAGTTCAAGCTTTCCTTGTTTTAATTTTTTACTACACTAAAAGTAGATAGTACTGAGGAGTAGTACGTAGTAGTATGATAAAAAAAAACACCGTCGAGTTGGCTTGGAAATGAAGTTTTTTTTTCATATACAGTATGACTCCGGATTATCTTTACAAGAAGAAAAACCTTTTTATTATTGATATTTTGAGAAAAGTGCATTAACAAAGAATTTTTGCTTGTTCTAAAATGGTTAATCCCCTTTATATTTTCAAAATTTCCATACCGTTTTAGAGAAAATTAAGAAAAATATGAAAATATTGTTGAATTTTTTCTCTAAAGGTCTAAAAGTATATTATCATAGAAACGCGTTTTGATTTTTAGGAAAAATTCAATATTTTCGTATGATCGAAAAAAAAACGGCATCAGCGATGACTATGAAATGAAGATCGCTGTCATTTTCAATGGAAATTTATATGGGAAATGCCATCGATAGTCATTTCCCAGCCAACTGAACGCCGTTTTTTGCGATCATACGGTATATTATTTATATAATTATCAAATATAATTAAAAATATATTTTTATTTATATAATTATCATACAGCATTTTCAATACTTATAGACATTGAAATTACAACAGAGAATTGTCTTTTTACATTAATTCAAAAGTACTAGAATATGTGGGTTGTTGAGAACCCACATAAAAATATTTTTTTCTCATTCAATGTTCTATATATTTTGTAATAAAACAAATTCTCTGGTACACAGTAATTAAAAAAAGTATTTTCTAGGACAGGGTCGGAACCAGTGGAGCATTCCACGCGACGCTGTACGGTATATCTAAAACAAACCACCTTGAATGATTTGTTTAAAACTTTTTTTAGGTAAAAATAATACAGATTTTGAGTCATCCCTTAGAAAATTTGTTCTAGGAATTATAGATAATTACGGTCTAACAGCATTGTATAATTTGGAATTGTTCAAAACAAATTTTTTAGAGTCATCGTGAGTGTATAAGAAAGAAGCAGTTAGTGTGATTGTTGGTGGTCTAAAATAATGTACTAAATTTCGTACATTTAATACATTACTATGAGTTTTATACTAATTTAATATCTCAAGACCTTTATTTAAGATTATATAGATATATTTTTTGGGCAAGTGTGTTACATTATTGTATTTGGAAGGTCGTAAGCTTTCAAAAAATGTAATAAAAAGATTAAGAGAATCTAATTTCAACTTGTAAAACACAAAAATGTAGGAATAGGAGTCTGAAATTTATATTGTTATGAGATTATTTTGAGCAGTTTTCTATGGTTTAATAAGATATATGTAGATGTCAAAAAAATCCAAAAGTATTGTTTAAAAACTGAATCAAGTTAAAAGAATTAAAGTTAAATGTCAGAAATGACACTTAACATTTCAAAATTATATTTTGAGTTATTATACAGGGTGACCCGAACTGTACTCCGGAAACTTTGGCAGCATATTCTGCAGATAAAAATAAGTAAAAAAGTTCGTATAAATGTGTGTCATAAAATACTTAGTTTCGGAGATACAGGGTGTAAAATTTTCACTTTTATTTCGATTTTTTCCAAATAATTTCTGAAGTAACGTCAATATTTGGATGAAAATTGGTGTGTGGGCGTTTTTTGACATGAGACTTCTTTTTTGACATTTCTTATTGTAGAAGGCGCCACCTACATATCAAAAAATACTTTGAATAAGAAGACTAAAGAAGGAGCATATCAAAAATCTTAGGTACACCGCGATGGGCCTCAAATATGGCCGACTTAAATTCCGGTTTATCAGTGTCGTTCTAATTTTATTTAAAAAATGTAAAACTATGATGTAGGGTAGACGTGGGGTATACTCAATAATTTGTTGTTTTATTTTACGTTGTGAATAAATGTTGGTAGTTATTAAAATTGTTATAAAAATATATAATTCTAATAAAAATAGATAAGTTATAATAAGTATTTATTAACACAAACATCCGATACGCTACTGAAGCAGGTAAGTCAAATTAACGTATCTAAATTCTTTGACATCTAATCTTTGACAAGTAATAAATAAAAGCTAAAATGCAAGAAAAATATATAATTTAGTTAATTTAAGTGAATTTCATAAATGATCGGTTTACTACACGTATGTATATTATATAGTCACTTACTAGCGAAAAGTTGTTCCATTATTTCACTCAATTTTTGCCGAGATCTACCGCACGCTACACAACCAACTATTTTAGAGTCTTTTTCGATAAATCGCGATAGTGTCACTGTTAATTTAAGTTCTGCCACAATTTCCATCTAGATTTACTACCTTAATACAACTATCAGTAGTAGAATAAATAATAAATAACATAAAATAAGCTCCATAAAGACTGACAAATCCACAAAATTTCAAATCAAATTCAAATGTGTCAAATGAATCGTCAAACAGAACTGTCAAGGATCCCCACCCTAGAGAGCTGTTATGGTGGCTTTTCCGCCCACCATGCATGAATACATGGATAGCATTATGCTCCTTCCTTAGTCTTCTTATTCAAAGCAAAAATCAAATTTCTCGTGTCAAAAAACTCCCAGACACCAATTTTCATAGAAATATTATCGTTGCTACAGAAATTATTTGTTATTTATACTTCTACACCCTGTATCTCCGAAACTAAGCATTTTAGGACATACATTTATACGAACTTTTTTACTTATTTTTATCTGCAGAATATGCTGCCAAAGTTTCCGGAGTACAGTTCGGACCACCCTGTATTTTTGTAAAGGTAATTTTAAGTTCTTTTGAATGAATTAAAAATACACAGGATGTCCCAAAAAATAGTTTTTGTTGATAATTAATAAAAAAAATGTCTGTTCATACTCTTAAATTATTCATTTTAAAATTAGTTTTCGTTTATCTCCTATAGAAAAGGGTGTTTTCCTTTAAATGTGTCTAATTTGGTCCACCCTATTCATATGGAAGCAAAAAAAAGGATACACATTTCCTTCGAAATATCTAAGCTGATATGTAATTAAAAAAATAACGTTTTGATAACAAAATCAACAACTTGAACGAAAAATTAAATTAAAACAAATATCCAAGAAGATTTTAGTACAAAATGCAGTGACCTAGTACAAAATTTCCCTCTCTGGCCACTCCTGAATGTTCCTAACGAAAAAATTCGAACCGGCAGAGGGGTCGATATATAAATTCGGCCCCCCTTTTGCCGGCCGGCATTTTACAAGCGTCTCGCGTTCTGCCACATCCGTTCTCAGGTTTAAACTGTTCCCAAGGACATTAATCTGTAAGTTTGGGCAATTCAGAGCACTTTAAACCAGTTTTTCGACTTCTCTAACGGTGTTTTGGGTGTTTTAGATCCATCATGACCATCGACTTCTACTATTTGCCCGGTTCAGCTCCTTGCAGGTCTGTTTTACTGACTGCAAAAGTGTTGGGGCTTGATCTCAACTTGAAACTGACCAACTTGCAAGCCGGGGAACACCTTACACCGGAATTTTTGAAGGTAAGAGACTCGAAGCTGTTTGGTTTTGAGAGAAAGTGTTTGAAATTTATTAGTTAATATTAAATTTATATAGGTACGTCGTTAATTCTTTGGTATATAATATATGATCAAAAAAAAAAATAATTTAAGTAATAAAAAATGTGAGTTGGATTTTATCATAGTTTGGGGAATAAGAAGAAACTTTGTTTGTGCGTTTTTGCAGGTATATCTTTGTTTTCTAAAATATATTCTAATATTCTATTAAGAGTATACTAGATATTTTTTTATATACAGGGTGTTCTAAAATTCGGTGGACATAGAACTAATACTGCTGTTTTTGGAAATCAAAATAAGTTAAAATGATTAGTTTTTGAAACCTCCGTATTTAAATAACGTTACACTTTTAAAAACTAGTATTTTTTTTACTTTTTTAAGCAAAAATTTGCTGTTATGCTCTCAAATTTATAATTAATAGAGTTAAGTATAAATAATAATAAATACAAAAATAAAATAAATATACTAATTATGTATGGCATTTTATTTGACTGATGATCATGTCACGAAGGTAAGATAAAATAGCGTACAAGATAATAATTGTATTATGAATAAAAAAAAAAATTTCTCCATACAACTGAAACTTGTTTATTTCAAAAAGTTCCCTATGCCTGTTCTGAATAATGAACACAAATAGGGATGGTAATACTGTATCGATTTTTTTGAAATATCGATATCGCAAAAACACTTTTAATTATGTTATGTATTTAGTAGTAATTAAAATTGAATCTTCCTATTTAATAATTAATTAAAAATGACTACTAATAATAATCACATTAATTAAATTTTCTCAATATATCGATACTAGCCTCGTTGATATTTATTGATATCGATTTTTTTTCTATAAAATTGCCATCTCTAAGAAAAAATTCTAAACGCAAATGACCTTCCTGCTTCTATGAGTCGGCTGTCTGAAATCGTTTGAAGTTAATTTAGCAGGGAATTATAGTGTTTATCTCGTGGAGGCCTTGAACAATCCTAGCCAGTATGTTACAGCGTTTTTTTATGCATTCAAGAATTTATTCAAACAGTCTGGTTTCCGTTTTGTTATAAATTAACTTCATCTGCTTTTTTTGTAAATATGTATTAATTAATTAAAAAAAAATATAAAAAATATAGTTTTAGAACATTAAAGCATAGTTTTTTTTATTAAATAAAAAACATTCAAGACTTTGATTGCGAGTTTATATTATTATGAACTATTCGTATTCGTACAAAAAAATTAAATATAACATACGATTGAAAAAAACGGCACAGGAAAAAAAACCTTTGCAGCAAAAAGTTCAATCAAAAATAAACCTGAAACTTAATTGCAGCAGATGATTAAAATTAATTTTGAATTTTAATTTGATATCGTCTGATGTTTTTTAATCTAAATTAATTACTGCTCCCATGTCTATTTTTATTCAGATTTAATAATCAAGCCAACAACAATATGCAAAAGTCAAACGCTTAAGTTTAACGATAAAAATGTAATTTCTGAAAATCATATCAAGCGTACGTATGGTATTTTTATATTCAGAGTTATTGGTTTAATTGTTGATAAACACGCTATTGGGACATTAATGTTGTTGACATTAACGTCCATGTCAGTATCTACAGATATTGTCATTAATCATTAGGTATATTTGTTTTTTTTTTTCATTCGATTATATAGAATTAAAATATAACCAAAATTAAAGAACATAAAGTTATTTTCTTAATATACTTTTTTCTCGGAATGAAGAATAAAATATTTGGTATATACAGGGTATATACTTTAATAACACACTAATATTTAGGGGGTAATTCTTTTTTTCTAGAAAAAAATGGTACGCCATTGACTTCCCTTAAAATAAACATTATTTTGAAAATCTTCATTTATTTCTAAACGATTTTTCTCTTGATTTTCTTTATCCGACGCAAAGTTTTTGCTTAAAAAAATTAAAGTAATGTTACTACAGGGTGAAATGGCTGAATTACCTGGACGGAAATAAAAAGATACATCAAAAACATTTTTTGTACATCAAAAAAATGCATTTTGATGCATATAAGACGTGCATCAAATTTCATAAAGAAATCTGTAATAGCATCAGACTTTTAGAAAATTTTACCACCCTGTATCTCAAAAGTTAAGTTGTTTAGGACATGTAAAGTTTTTTCCTTAAAATAGACATATTTTATTGACATATTAATGAGTATATTTTTCAATAATTTTCAGAACAAAGATTTTTCTATCATGATTCACAACATGGCGTGATCGATAACAAAAAAAAAAAGATAACAGATGTTTTAGAAAATCAAAGTCAATTCACTTTCATAATTAAATACAATAATAATACATAACCAATACCAATATGTATTTTAGTGGTGTGGCCTGTAACTTAATCAGATTATATTGATTGATTAAATAAAAAATAAGTGTCAGACAAGGACAGAACGCCTCGACAGAAAGTTTTTTATATATACCCACATATTACATATGTATGTACAATATCATTAACGTAAAAATTATTAGAAAGATATTTATTTGTTCTAAGTTTATTTTATGTTATTTTTATTATTTATTCTACAATTATTGGTTTAGTTCAGAGGTAGTGGATCCTTTTAGTGCTCCTTTAACATTGTTGTTTAACAGCAAAAAATATGACGTTAATTTTATCAATAATAATATCTATCAAAGAATAAAAATTAAATTAACCATTTTAGAACAAGCAAAAATTATTATGTAGAATGCATTTTTCTCAAAATGTTAATAATAAAAAAGTTTCTCCTCTTGTTAAGACAATCCTGGTAAATACTGTACTTATTTTAATTATAGAAAATTATGAATTAATTTGAATCTCTCTAAGACTTCTAACATCTATGATACGTACACATATGCGCAAATTACGTATTCTCAATCTATTTGTTATCTAGCAATGTGTGTGTTAAGTTGAATAAACCATTGTAGCAAATAAACGCATTCTAAAAATAACTGACAGCCTGTTATAAACAGGCGGCCTCTTTGCTATACAGGATGTCCTAAATTAATTCAAGAATCTTTAATGAGTCTACTTACTGATAAAAATAATACTATTTTTTTTTTCATTAATCATGTTTATACCTAATATACAGTAAGTACAAGACTTTTGGACATCTATATACATATGTATTAAGATAATATATTATTTTTTTATTCGGTTTGTTTTTTTCCTATGTGTTGTTACTTACAGTATTCTTTAAGAATAGCATCATTATAGACTTCTAATCTAATTATAGAGAATGTTTACTTTGAATTTATTAATGATTCAATTCATTATTTTTGTATTCTGTTGGTATAGAATAGGAATAGTGATTTGTTTGTTTAATGTTTGCCAAGCCAATTTTTCTGTTTATTTTTATGATAAAGTAATTATAGAAGAAATCAAAAACTGTATTATATGGACAAAATTCTTTTTTTTACAAAAAAATTATAGTTCTCAGTTTTGTTTAGACAAAAATAAAAGCAAATAGTGAACCAATAAGTCTAAGACAATATTTGCCAAGATAATTTGAAATCTCTTAGTACATAATAGTTTTGAGTGACAAACTATGTATATTTGTAGTTTCTAAGCGTGAATTAAACAATTTTAACAGTATTACTGTATAAATAACAAAAAATAGGTGATAAATATTAGCGCAAATAAACATTAAGGTCGATGTAATATGATAATAATAGATATAATAACATATGTATTAGCATGAATATGCATAACTTTATTAAAGCGTTTTTTTAAACCAAACTAAACCACAATTTCCTGACCAATAAAAAAAAATTATGAATTTTGTATAAGATAAGTGCAGACCTAAAGTATGTATTGGATGTATTTCAGGAAAATATTGTAACTTATACAGGGTCGCTCAAAAAAGTGTGAGTGGATCGGGAGGATTTTTTTAATAGAAATCAGGCATTTAAAAATAAAATATTAAAAATACAGGAACTGTCCTGAAATCACAATTATACTAGGTATTTACTGTAGATGGTCTATACTTACTTTGCTATAAATATCGTAATCTTAAATGATACAGGATGTTCAAAATTCTACGCCAAAATTTCTAAAATATAAAATAATTTTTCTTGTTTTTTTTTTAAATCGAACACCCTGTATTATTTTTTTTATTAAATGGAGAATTAAAAAATGATCATTTTTTGTATCTAAGGAAAAATCATTGGGCGGCTTATGATAAAAATTTACTGTGGAAAATGCCGTGGAGTATCCGTTAAAAGTTTTGAAATAATCCAAATACAAAAAATGTTCATTTTTAATTCTCTATTTAATAAAAGAATTGTATACAGGGTGTTTCACGAGGGGTAAACCGCAGAGGAATTATGGTGTACACTATGAAGGAATTCTACAGGAATTCCAAGGAATTACGAGGAATTCCAAGGAATTCCATGGAATTACTAGGAATTCCAATTATTTCCGTAAGAATTCCAATGAATTCCAAGGAATTCCTTAGAAATTTAGAGGAATTCCACAGGAATTAAGAGGAATTACAAGCAACTTTATAAAAAATTAACGAACATTAGTAAACCATGAATACTATAATAGGTAGTACTAAATTTAAAGAAAAACGTTTTGCAGGCGATTTTTTACTATCCGTTTTTCGTTTTCGCTTCCAAAATTTCCCAATATCAAATATCTACAGGTTAGATATTCTTTTAATTTAATATTGTACCCTCGATTATATATCTAAAATATTTTCCAATAGTACGGCCGAACCACCCCCGAGAGATCTACTTATAACGTTCCCTGATTTCGCCATTTTAAAGAAACCCTCATAAGATTTTTTTATTCAGTACTCCAGAAAGTGTAAAGTTGATTTTTTCATTTCCTCGGAATAATACCTAGGTATATACTATAGGGAAATTAATACAACTTTAGGTGCACTTCATCAATGATACCATGCGTAATCTTATGGAATTTACTGGTGATCGTATTATGACGTGCAACTGAAGTTTTATTAATTTCCTTTCCTATAGATACGAGTATAACTAGGTACCTATCATTTTCAAAATCCCGAGAAAAATTAATTTTAATAAGTAAGTGCCGACATATTTCCAGTATTTTTACCGCATGATCCCCTATTAGTCCTAAAATTTAACTAAAAAAACGTAAATCTCGTAATAGTACTTTTTATTGTTAGATCTAGTACTTATAGAGACATTAGACATTTATAAAAATCACCAGAAAATTCATAGCGGAACTGCGAAACCGAGGTGGCAACGCTGGTTCAGACTGAAAGAGTTATCGAGTTCGTACCAAGGAATTCCAAGGAAGACCTTGAATGATTGACCTTGACCTTGAAGACCAGGAATTCCAAGGAATTCCGAAGGAATTACGAGGAATTCTGAGGAATTATTTGAGTAAAAGGAATTACGGTGTACACTTTTCCCTCTGCGGTTTACCCCTCGGTGTTTCATTAAAAAAAAAACGAAGAAAAAATATTTTATATTTTAGAAAATTTGGGGCGGAATTTTGAACATCCTGTATGATTTAAAATTACGATATTTATAGCAAAGTTAAGTACAGGCCATCTAAAGTAAATACCTAATATAGTTTTGATTTCAGAACAGTTGTTGTATTTTTAATATTTTTTTAAAAAAAGGCTGACATTTTTTATTTATTTATTGATATCTCTGAAACTGTCGAAACATATTTTTTACTCATATCCCAGGATTACGTAAAGTGATCTGAAAGGAAGCCAAAAATTCAATAATAAACAGAGTGTTCCATTTAGAAAAAATCATCCCGATCCACGCACACTTTTTTGAGCCACATTGTAGAAGTTAAAATATTTTTCTGTAATCCATCCTAATACATACTTTAGGTTTGCACTCATACTAAAGATAAACAGAAAACAACAGAATTATTAAAAATAAAAAATAAAAAAACGAAGACAGAACTCTATCTACATATTATTTAAAGTAAAACAGCATTTAACATTATTTTATCTAGAGGAAATAGCTCCATTATCAATCAAATTGGCTTTTAAATGTCAATCGTATTACTTGCACGATGGAATGCTCATTTGAAAAAGCTTGTAAAAACTCAACCTACCTTAATAATCGACTGACTCACTGCAATAATTATTATATTGTCCTTTTTACATGCAACTGTACTTTCCTGGCTCGTGTGATAACCCATTATAGATTGCACCATCCTGCTGAACCTATTTGAAACAAAAAAGAATGTTAGTAATGTTATTTTTTCCATAGCAAAACTGTTAAAATTGCCTTATATCTATCAAAAATTGTAGATAAAATAGTACTTTAATCACAAGGGTAGATTAAATGATACTTTAACAGCGAGGATAGGTTAAAAACTTTATTTCTTCTCGCTCGTTTTTTAATTTCTTCCATTTTTGAAAGTTTTTGTATTCCCTTTCATAAGTTATTCGGGATTTAAATGGAAGTAATTTGGATATGGCGTTTGTCGCCTCAGCCTGAATATCTGTTGGTAATTTACTTATTTCGTTTTGAGTCATTTCTGGCTCCAGTTCAATCAGCAATCGACACGAAAGAGAATTAAAAAATGTTGACTCAAAACTAACAACTAAAGAGACAGCTTTATTTATTTGTCAAACAACATAGAAACCAACGCCAACCCAGCACAATATTTTTTCTACTCGTAATAAATTCCTTGAAATAATAGCAAGAACTATGAAATTTAGCAATAGAGAAAAATCTAAAAAGTCTATATAGTCTTAATACGGACCCCGTACTTGTCTGTTTATTTTTTTTATATTATTATTCTTTTCCAGATCAACCCCCAGCACACCATCCCCACCATAAACGACAACGGGTTCAGCCTGTGGGAAAGCAGAGCCATCTGCACGTACCTAGTCAACGCCTATGGCAAAGATGACTCCCTCTATCCCAAAGAACCCAAAGCACGTGCCTTAGTTGACCAGCGTCTCTATTTCGACATCGGCACCCTCTATGCCCGTTTCGCCGACTACTACTACCCATCCCTGTTCCAAGGGTTGCCCAAAGAACCCTCCAAGCTGGAACGAATCGACGAAGGCATGAAATTCTTGGACGGGTTCCTCGAAGGACAAACCTACGTTGCTGGAAAGAACCTAACAGTTGCTGACTTAGCTATTTTAGCTAGTATATCGACCTTTGAAGTTGTGGAGTATGACCTTTCACCCTACAAGAACATCGGTAAATGGTACGCCAACTTGAAGAGTACCATTCCTGGATACAAAGAAGCCAATGAAGATGGGTGTATTGCCTTCAAGGAATTGATCGATAGCCTGCAGAAGAAGTAGATTTTTGTGGGACACCTCGTATATTGCCTTATGTACGTCTAATATTTACAGAAAAAAAAAAGATGGTTTTGTCTTAAATATGCTTTTAATAGGGGGTCACGTTTTGATTTTGATTGATTAGAAGAGAGACTGTTTCCCAATATTTTTCGAAAAAAGTATTAATTTTTTAATGATTTTTGTATTTTGTCATAATCACTGCTCTTGATACTGTTACAAATGTTGTGTATACCATAAAAAAATTAAATAAAGATATTTAAAAAACATGTTTAATTTATTTATTTTTAATGCTAGCGGACAAGTTATAATAAATCATACGGGATGTTCAAAATTCTAGGCCAAAATATAAAATAATTTTTTTAAATGGAGAGTTAAAAAATTAACATTTTTTGTATTTTAATTATGGTAAAATACGAGAAAAAATCATTAGGTGGCTCTGATAAAAATTTATTGTGGAAAATGCCATATGAAATATAAAATCGCGAATATCTGCGAAACCGTTAAATATTTTGAAATACTCTAAATACATAAAATGTTAATTTTTTAATTCTCCATCTAATAGAAAAAATATATACAGGGTGTTCCTTTAAAAAAAAGAAGAAAAATTATTTTATATTTTAGAAAGTTTGGCGTAGAATTTTGAACATCCTGTATGATTTACGATTACCATATTTACAGCAAAGTAAGTACAGACCATCTAAAATAAATATCTAATATAGTTTTGATTTCAGGATAGTTTTTGTATTTTTAATAATTTTTTTAAGAAATGCTGAAAAATATACATATATTTTTTATTTATTTATTAATATCTCTGAAACTATCTAAATATATTTACTCATATCTTAGGATTATGTAAAGTGATCTGAAAGGAAGCCAAAAATGCAATAATATACAGGGTGTTCCATTAAAAAAAATTAAACAAAACAAAATTTCCAAGTTTTTTTATTCTAGAAGCTACATATGGCCGACGCACTATTGTCGGGCCCTGTATATGGATATAAAACAGTGTTTCCTCCATGGTCTTTACAAAAAACTGATCTAAAGACAGCCGGAAAACCCCCAGTGTGTACTTTAATCTTAAAAAACTTTTAACGTTATATCTTGGCCAATTTTTATAACTAATTTCTATAATTAATTTTAGCTTTTAATCAAAACAATACATTTCATAATAATGATTCACTAGTTATCAATTGCTTTAATATCTCTAAATATCCACCTGTCAAAACAACAAAACCCTTTAAATATAAATACAATGATTAATTTCATGAAACATTTCAATAATACACGAAAAATATCATCAATAATTATGCTTTGCGTGGTATGGATGGAAATTACTTTTTCAATAATAGATATTTATGCTACATATCTAGGTAAAATTATCATAAAAAACCTTTTAGGGGCAATCGATACTATATTAGAACTAAAAATATCAATCACATTATTATGAATAAAAAATCACAAAAAAATTTATTTCGTGAAACTATCGGCAACATCGCATGTATCTCACTAGGGATGGGCAGAAAACCATTATTTTCGATATTCAAATAATATAAAAAATAAAAACCTCATCATTTGAGTGATTTTACCAGAGTATATTTCTAACTAATAATTTTAATTTGCCTAAGTCTGTGGTAGCATACTGAATAAAATCAAGTTTACAAAGGAAAAAATATATTAAAAAACTCAGATTTATTGTTTTAATAAATTTATGTCCCATTTACTTACTATACAGGGCCACAGGAAAGGTCCGCATCACATATTTTCTTTCGATAAATAGATATTTAGTAAAAAAATGACTTAAATGATGCAAAATAAGAAAATCTTCCCATTTATCGGGGTGAAATCATTCCTATATGTCAACTTAAGTTTACATTGCTTTTAACAAGAAGATATATTATTATTACTAGCGTGTACCAGCGACTTCGTTCGCGTCGAATTAATCATTTGTAATGGTGATGATAAAGCAAAGCAAGAATTTCCATTAACATACAAACTGGATAAAATTTTCTCACATTTATGTCAGCATGAGAAAAAACAATATGGCGATATTATTCTATAACTTGGTAATATTTGAGGGGTAGTTTCATCTCGTTGGAATTTGACTTTCGAACAATCCGTTTGCCAAAAATAAGCTTTTTACGTCAAGCAGTTTAAGCAGAATCGTGGTTAAGAAATTACCTAACTTTTTGGGACACCCTGTATGATTTTTTAAAAAATTTCAAAATATGTAAAAAAACCTAATAAATTATGCTTGTCCAAGCGTTTTCCCCAAAGACTAATCCTTTTTTAAATAACAAATATTGTAATATTTGAGGGGCGTTTTCACCCTCTTGGAATTTGAGATTCGAGAAACCCCTCCTTATCGAACCTCTACACCCCACAGTCAATCCGTTTGCCAAAAATCAGCTTTAAACGTCAAGCAGTTTAAGCAGAATCGTGATTACTCAATGGTCATATTTTATGAAACACCCTGTATAAATTTATAAAAAATCTTAAAATATGTAACAACAAAATAAAATATACGTGTTTAAGAGTTTTTCTGAAAAACTCACTGGTTTTTAAATAAAAAATATTTTAATATTTGAGGGATAGTTTCACCCCCTTAGAATTCGAGTTTCGAAAAATCCCTTCGTATCGAACCTCTACACGCTAAAGTCAATCTGTTTTCCAAAAATTAGCTTTTTATGTCAAGCGCTTTAAGCAGGATCGTAATTAATCAATGACCAGATTTTTCAAAACACCCTGTATACATTTTTTTAAAAATCTTAAAATATGTAAAAAAACAAAATAAAATATACGTGTTTAAGCGTTTTTTCGGAAACTTGACCGTTTAAACCGAAATAAAAAATATTGTAATATTTGAGGGGTGGTTTCACCCCCTTGGAACTGGAATTTCGAAAAATCCCTTCTTATCGAACCTCTACACCCTAGAATCAACCTGTATGCCAAAATTGAGCTTCTTACGTTGAGTGGTTTGAGCAGGATCGTGATTAATCAGTATGTCAGTCACTTAAGGATTTTATATAATAGTATAGATTGTACGAAAAAAACGTTTATTAAAGAAATAAATATAATTTTAAAAAAAAACGAATTAAATTTTTTTATCGATATTTAGTATTTGCCCATCACTACTCCTGGAACTATTCTGTGTCACAAATAATGGGGAAACACAACACAAAGTTGTGCAATTTCTCGTTAGTTCCTATTTCGTGACTAAAAACTACGGAGTATAAAAGTAAAATTCTTGCAATATTTTGGCTCAGTGTGAATTTAACTCTAGATCTAGGTAAATCCATTTAAAAAATCAATTTCTAATAATTACAGTGCTCAAAATAATATAATACCAATCAATATTTAATAATTTCTGAAGAGGATCATTTTCTATACCCGGCGCATTCGCCAATATATTGAACGACATCTATCGGCAGACAACTAAATAATAATTTCCAGGTAAGAAACCTGTTATTTTATTTAGCTTTTTTGAACGATTTTCCAAAAATAAGGTATTTAAAATTAAGAATAAATCATTATTTTGGGATAGTGCGATGATTGAAACTATGGAAAACTTAAAAAAGGTCGAAGTATTACAATATTTTACGAAATTATGTCAATATTTAAAAAGTATTATTAATATAATTTTTTTATATCATATATTAATATACACAGAAAAATTAACCCTAATTAATTAAAAAAAGGATATAACATTTCCACACTCACAAATCTATTTCCAAAAAATTATTTTTCTCAAATTTTAAACTACACGACCATTTAAAAATCATTTTTACTCAATATAAAAATAACTTACAACTTTATTAAGATCAAAAAATAAAAATAAAGAAGCGTGCGGGACAAGAAAATTACGTCTAGGGCTCGACCTCGCCAAAATTATCATCGATTGTCATTCTCAGCCGTCTATGACGCCGTTTTTTTTCCCGATCGTATGGTTTTATTATTTGTATACGAACAAAATCAAGCATTAAACATTCCAATTTACTGATAAATAAAATTAATTCTTGATTTATCGAATAAATTATAATATAGATTGACCTATTTTATAAAATATCTAGCAAATATAATATATCATTTAGCTTTACTAAAAAACTTATATTAAAATTACTTGATATGAAATTGAAGCTATTAGATAAAATGATATTTAGATAAGATAATCTATAATTACCTAATCCTGATACTTTTTTATTTTTGTTTTTTTTTATTACTTCAGTAGATATGGAAACAGAAGAAGAATGTACAAAAACTGAAGCAGAACAAAAGCTCATAGAGCTGAGTGCTCAAAACAGCGACGACATAGATGAATTCACCAAATACTTCCATCTAGCTACCAGGCCCCATGAAGACTACAGCTACCACAAGTGGCTGGACGATCCCAGATTTGGACCACACGTCAAATTCCTCATTTACAAGTCATTCTTTAATATGTCTGGATATATCAGTGCAGAAAAATTACTGGACGGACCTCAAACAGACCAAGATTTCCATGATTATTTGTGCAACAACATTAACGAAAAAAACTTCGACTTGTACAGGAGATTCATAAGTGAATTCTTGGAACTGAACGGCAGGTTTATGTGTTTCCATTTCACTCAAAAAACCTGTGACAAGCTAATAGACATCCTGGAGTATCCAGAAAAGTACGGGAAGTACCAGGTATGCTGTGCAACGGATATTGTCAGATACAGCTATTACAGATTTGATTGTATTTATAATGATCCAGAATATTATAAGAAGTTGGCTGTTAAATGGAAGAATATAGTGTTGGAGACAGAAGATGAGGAGATTTGTGCTGAAGGATTATATTACGTTTTGGGTAAAGGTAAGTGTTTATAGTAATACCATCCGATTGAAAAAAAAAATGGTCAAGTGCGTTTATCTATACAATATTAGACACTATATTATTATTTAGCTGAAATTTTGAATGCGCGTATAAGTAATTTAAAAAAAAGATGAAGAAACACATTACTAAAATTGTATTAATCAATAATAAATAAGTAAAAAGTAAAAATAAATATGTAAAAATATGTAAAAATTAAAAAAAAACGATTAAAAAAAGTCGCCTTGACTAGGATTCGAACTTGCCTTACTGCGGCTCCAACGTCATAGCAGGACTTGAAAGATTCCATGTAAAATTCTTACTTAAAAGATAATGTTTAGTGAAAGTTCTTTTTTATTTATAAACATTTATTTAATTCTGTTTTTAATATTTGTTCTTATAGCGGCAACATAGATACATTATCTGTGAAAATTTCAACTGTCTAGCTATAACGGTTTATAAGATAGACCTGTGTGACAGACGAAGGGACAGACAGCGATGTCTTAGTAATAGGGTTCCCGTTTTTATCCTTTGGGTACGGAACCCTAAAAAACAGTGTCAAAGACGGTATGAACAATAAAAAATATTTTTAGGTGGTCTGGAACAAGAAGAATACCACAAAGTTGTCGAGCGACTTCTGGATAAGCATCCAGACGACAGGGTGACCCAAGAAATATACCGTCGACACTATATGAACCCGAATTTTGCATACCCGAGATTGATAGCTCTGGAAAACACCGGTTCAAAAAACTGTGAAATATTGTTGGAAAATTTCTGCAACGCTGTAGTTTCTTCTGAATTTTTGACCAGTATAGACTGCGATGTGAATCACCAATTGATACAGTTTGCTTTTTCGAGACAAGATACTTTCCGATACTGTTTGGAGTATATGATTGACAAATGGTATAATGGTAGTTATTCGCGTGCAGTTGACATATTAGTTGAAATGTGTCTAAATCCTATAAGGTAAATATTAATTTTGCTATGAATTCAAGACCTAAACTTAAGTAAATAAAAAACTATGTTGTTGTCAGATTGAATAAAAGAAAATAATCTACTATTAAGATAGATATGAAACTTAATAGTAAAATTTTGGGTTAAAGCGCCCCTCCGTGTTTTTAGTAGAGACTACGTTTAACCCAGCGCCTTCGCCTTTTCTGCTGTAAATGTTTTTTACGTTTATATTTGAATTCAAAGGATTTATTTTTAAAGTTACACTGATATATTAAGTATATCAGAGTAACTTTAATAAAACATAAGAATATATATATTTTACAGTTTATTTTTTTATTTATTTTACAGAGTTTCATGTAAATGATCGTAAGTCGACTGGCTGTCTAATGAATAGACCGAGATTTATAGATTTTAAAGCGAACGAAAAAAAATCAAACAACGAATACATACCACATATTTTTCTTTTATCTAAGATACATACCTTATCGTCTTTTGGAAACACGTGGATTTTTGCAGTTTTGTTAGTTTTATTTGCAAGATGCAACACAACAAGAAAACACCATTTTTACAGTTAATGAATAATAAAACTATTTCTGACTATGATATTTAAAATTTAGATAGATAGAAAATTAAAAAACAAACGAGTATTTGCAAATGCAGGCCCAAATTCAATAAAAATCAAAAATTTTCCTGCGAAAATCAGACTTTGTTCACTGAAAAGGTATTTTTTGATTTATCAGCGGTCATTGTCAAGTTGACAATATACAGGGTGTTTTCGAATTAGTCTAAAAAAATTATAGTGTGATTCCTCATGTGTTCTTAAAACAAAGTACTTCCTTTCTGATCTACAGGGTGTTAAAAATTAAAAAAAATCGATTTTTTTGCTTAACATAAATGGTACACCACTGCTTTTTTAAAGAAAATATATTTTTTTCTTGACTGGCCATCCTTTTTCAACAAAATTGATCTTTTGAGATTTTCTTGTTCATCAAACGGTAGTCGAGAAAAAAATAAATATACTTATTAAGAGCACGCCTTAATTCGTTTTCTAACTATTTTTTATTTTTTAGATTAATTAGGAAACACCCTGTATATGCATATCACAGGCAACCAAATAAACTAGTGCCCTCTAAAAATTATTTTTCCTACCACTAGCGACATACCGTGTTTTTAGTGTGTACTAAATTATTTTATCAAAATTTCACCATATAAGTTTCCAGGCAATAGCCCCTCATACATTATCATATAAGTTGGACCGATTTGATCCGTCCGAATTGTGTCGGCGAACTAGGTTCGGCACATACCAAAACTCTCGTCATTTTGAGCTCGAATTTGGCTTTATAGCCCGATTAGATTTGCCTGATTAAATCGTGTTGTTAATGGGACAAAATTCGACGTTTTATAACAGATTTGATCTGACTCGCGATCTTTTGGAAGTCCTGAAAAATTTAACCAGTGGTCTTAGATTTACTCGGCATATTTGTACTCAGTGGGTTGTAAAAATGAACAACAATCGTAGAAGACGCGTTATAGCTTGTGTCATGGCGTATGTATTTATCGCCAATAAACAAAAAGTAAAAAAAACGAAGCAAGTGGGTGAAAAAATGGATTTCTCGTAGAGATGAACTAGGAACTCGAAGACTTGATACGCGTCGCAAAACAGAGCCAAATATAATTTGATGGATTTAAACCTGTGATTTCATCTGTTCGGTTCGCCACATACACACAAAGTTTTATCCGCGTATTTGGCTCGTGCCATATCAAATTGGTTCAGTTACCCGCTGGTGTATGGGGGGCTAATGGTCTGGTGTCGGTTTTTGGTCCGTCCTCAAAGGGATTTTATGTGTGCACGAACTCTCAATTTGCACCGGCAATTTGTTTTGTCTGCGTTCGTGCGTGCGTTTGTGATTTTTTTTCGTTTTCTTTATTAAAATTATGTCTTTAATTATTTTTTTTGTATATTTTTTATGACTATAACACGATATTTTTCTAGATTTATTACCTCGAAACAAAACCAACTGTATAGAATAAAGTCCGAAGCTAAATTAATTTATACAGGCTTAATCAAAAAGTTAAAAAATTAATTTAATTCTTGATTTTTTAGTGATAACGAAGCAAAATTAAAGGCTTACAATATTTTCCAAAAGATAACGTCGAGTACATTTAGGAATTTGAAAAACAAAAATCAGTTTGAGTCTACGATGAGTCTTTTAAAAGTCTACATCGACAAATGGAAGGAAAAATATTTTGCAAATTTAGAGGCAAGTCAGCAACATGATTTGATAGTTCTGATCGAACAGTGCAACTTCTTTGATCGAAACAGCTAATTGTGACGTAGATGTAGATGTGGATTTATGAGAGGGGGAAGTATATGTACCAGGTGTTTTGGTATTTCCCCATTTTCCCCACAGAATCTGCATTCGCCGTTGTTTCTTAGCTTCAATCTAATGAAGGGTTCATTGAGGACACATTGAGTTTATCACTTTTAATGCTGCTTGACTATCGGATAAAATGTATATTTCTTCAGCTACCATGCTATATTACTACTATATCTACTTTAATCTATATACAGGGTGATCTTAACTGTATTCCGGAAACTTCAGCACCATATTCTGCAGATAAAAATAAGTAAAAAAGTTCGTATAAAGATTTTTTCCAAATAATTTCTGAAGCAACGTCAATATTTGGATGAACATTGGTGTCTGGGAGCTCTTTGGCATGAGAAATTTGATTTCGTAGTAAGTAATAACTTTTCGCCCGTACCTGTATAAAACTACCGAGTAACAAAATATAAATTTACCACGTTTTTTGCGTAAAAAAGCCTCTTGGTAAAAATCGCTACGAGTAATATGGTTCTCGATATATTTAGAATCTAAATTATCAATACCTGTCATTATTGACATAAATTAGATATGTTGACTAAATAGTTGTTAGACTGATATAAATTTGAAAAGTTTTTGTACCAAAAGTTCAACAGAAACTGTTTTATTATCATTTTTTCGAAGAAAAATAAAAAGTTCCCAAATTTATCATTTCAGTCAAATAACTACTCAACATGTTTATTTTTAGTCAATAATGACACGTATTGACTATTTCTATTCTAAATATTTTTAGAACGGTTGCTCGTAGCGATTTTTACCAAGAGACATTTTTTACGTAAAAAATCACGGAAATGTATATTTTTTCACTCAGTAGTTTTATACAGGTACGGACAAAAAGTTATTAATCTTCAAAACAGTTAAAACACATCATGTAAATGACGCCCCCCAACAAATAAGAGTCATAATGACATCAAAATCAAATTTCTCATGTCAAAAAACTCCCAGACACCAATTTTCATCCAAATATTGACGTTACTGTAGAAATTATTTGGAAAAAATCGAAATAAAACCAAACTTCTACACCCTGTATCTCTGAAACTAAGCATTTTAGGACATACATTTATACGATTTTTTTAGTTATTTTTATCTGCAGAATATGCTGCCGAAGTTTCCAGAATACAGTTCGTTACAACCACTCTGTAGATTAAATAAGTTGTACTGTATAGGACCACTTAAAATAGTTGCACCTCTTTCTGAGAGACCCTGTATAATATTTCATTTTTACTGTGCAGAATGAACTGGTTCGAATGAGATGCGTCCAGGCTTTAGCAATTTTGAGTTTTCCAACAAAAGATGTTGACCAAGCTAGAGAATATATTAAGGAATGTACAGTTTCCCTATTGATCAATGAAGCAAAGTCTGGATACAAGAGTAACAGCATCAAACAGATATTGCTGAGTACATTGATGTTTTTGCTGAAATCACCCAGAGATTTTAGAGGTATGCTTAATAAAAAAAAACGTTTTTAAAGTTCTTATAACACCCAAAAAATTATTACAGAAGTGAAACAAATCATGGAACAAACAAAGGATATTCCAGAACTTACAGAAGTTTCCTTATTTCTTTTTTATCAGTTGATAAGCTCATCAAAATGGACTCAAGAAGATATTGAAACCTTAACCTCTTATTTGGTACCTCTTGGTGAGGATTCCAATAATAAAATTAGAATTTTAGAACAGGTAAAATTATTTAAAAAAATACCTTTTCTACTTTTTGAATTTTCTTAATTTATCTTACAGATGATAACGGAAAAAGTGTCAGATTTTTGTAAAAGAAAACATTTCAAAAACACACCAATGGTACCAGTATGTGATAGTACACTAAACAAGGAAGATCTGGGTACTGATCTGGTATTTTTAAAAAACTACGATTTCTCAAAACATCACTCTGTAGAATCCGTTCTGTATTTGATACCTAAACTAAATCAAGTAAGTGAAAAAAATAGCAGATTGAATATACAGGGTGGCACCTCTCGACGACGACGACGCGGTTGCTTCAAGGAGAACGACAGTTTGAACTGAAATACAATTTTGTGAGCACATGTAAAAAATTACACATCAAAGTTGTGTTTTTTGTAATGGAACACCCTATATATTAATTGATTTTCCGATTCTAAAAAGAAAATAAAGATGAGTTTCATTAAAGAAGAATATGAGTAAAATGTAAGATTTTTGATATGTCGAATAAGTCTAATATGTAGTTAAAATAACTATTGTACTTTAAATGGAGTTAAAACTTAACCAGAAAAATTATATAGGGCGAGACAAAAATAATATTGAACATCAGTCACTTTTAAAGCAAGTTACACTTTTATTTTTAAATGAAACACCCAGTATATTATTCTGATATTCAATGAAGAATCCGTGTCTTTTAAAAATACTATGCACAGCCGTCATTAGTTGCACAGCCATCATTAGATCTTTATTCAACATCAAACCAAAATTATTGTTAAAATATTTTCTTTATAAGTAAATTTATAGTCTAGAAATCAAGAGATTTTTTTTATTTTCAGGTTAACAAAGATGAATTAATAGACACTTCTGATGGCACAGTCTATTGGGTATCAGCTGGTCCTTCTAGAAAGCCTACAGGTCCCGTAGATTCATTCAAAAATGCAGTAGAAGATTTTATAACAAAAATAAACACCGTAAAATAAAATTAACTGTAATATTTTCTGATTTTCTTTGAATTTCAATTGAATCAATAATTTGTTAATGACTGAATAAAATAAAAATTTCTATAACATTTTTAATTTGTGTTTTCTTTATCAAAAAATCCCATATTCTAGAACTTATAAAAATTCAGCAAAAATATTTTCATAGAGTCATAAAAAAATAGAAAAACAAAAAAGAGAAATAAACTAAATGAGAATCCAGAAAAAAATTAATTTACATAAAAATGGCTCCCGTATTTTTATATGATAATATACTTTGACCTTTTTTACGCTAAAAACCATAAAAATGTTATCTATATTCGGATATAAAACTAAAAAAAAACTATCGCAAATATCTGGTTAAAATGGCACACAGAAAGGGTAAAGTATGAATTTACATGAGATTTTTGCAAAACATGATTTTTTTTGGTAAAAAATTAATCCCTCGTCCCTTCTACGTACCTATGTTATATTTTAGTACCCTTTTCTGTCCTTTTGGAAGATTTTACCTTCGTAGAAAGTAGAGCTAATAATTAACTAATTACTAATTTTATAATACTTTAAATATCCTTTTTTACTAAAAAAAAATCCTTTTTTGAATGAAATTTTGGGAGCATATGTAGGTTAATTGAAAGCAAAATAAAACACTAAATCACCACAATACACCAAAACACTTTTACTTTTACACTGGACGCGCGTTTCGCTAACCATGTTAGCATCATCAGCAGATGATTGGTGATTTAGTGTTTTAATTTGCTGTGTAACACCAAAGGTTCCAACCCGTAACTGTAATTAATTGAAAGCATTTTATAAAAATATACAGAGGTCTACAGGGTGTCTCCAAAAAGAGTTACACATCAAAGTTGTGTTTTTTGTAATGGAACACCCTATATGTTAATTTATTTTCGGATTTGAGGGGAAAAATAAAGGTGAGTTTTATCAAAAAAGTATATTAGTAAAATGTAAGATTTTTGACATGTTTAAGATTTTCTAAACATGAAGAACAAATTTCAAATTTCAATAGAAGCTACCTAAATTGGAATTTACCCTGTATAGTCTGAAATTTCGTTAAAATAGCCATTGTACGTTAAACAAGATTAAACTTTAATTCAAAAAGTTATACAGGGTAGGACAAAATATTAAACATTGGTCACTTTAACAGCAAATTACTCCTTTATTTTAAATGGAACACCCGGTACATTATTCCGGAATTAAATGGAGAATTCATATATCTTCAAAATATTCTTAAAGTTGCCTTCCCCTAGCCAAAGATTTTCCTAAATATTTTTATTTTTACGATTTTGCGTCAGTAGATTTTTATTATTTGATAAAATCTAGACGAAAATCTTTAATTAAGGGGTAGGCAACCTTAAGAATACTTTGAAGATATATAAATTCTCCATTGAATATCGGAATAATATACTGGGTGTTCCATTTAAAATAAAAGAATAACATGCTTTTAAATGTGATCAATGTTCAATATTAATTTTGTCTCACCCTGTATAACTTTTTGGACCAAGTTTTAATTTGATTTAAAGTACAATAGTTAATATAACTACATATTAAGCTATACCGGGTAAATTCCCATTTAGGTAGTTTTTATTGAAATTTAAAATTTGTTCTTTATTTTTAGAAAATGTTAAATATGTCAAAAATCTTACATTTTAGCCATATACTTCTCTAATGAAACTGGCCTTTATTTTTCTCCTAAACTACAAAAATCATATAATATATAGGGTGTTCCATTATAAAAAACACAACTTTGATGTGTAACTTTTTTTGGGACACCCTGTATAACTCACTATAATTTTAAAAAATGCTCTAAACTAACCTACATATGCCCACAAAATTTAATTTCAATACAAACTGTCGTTCTCCTTGGAGCATTGTATTTTTAATTTGAACTGAAAAATTAATGCCGAAATTACTAAAAAAAAGAACAAAAAGACTTATTATTTTTTTCAGGAAAAAAAACACAACATAAAATTAATCCTGTAGTCCATTTTACTGCACAGTAACATAGCATAAAACAGGTAAACTAAAAATTAGCATAGATTTTACGAAATTGTGTTTTTTTTTCGGCAAAAAACAAATCTCGTACCCTGCGAAATTTAGTGCCCTTTCCTGCCACTTGTTGAAGGTCACGCACCACCGAAGCAGGAAAAGCTGCGGGCAGTGGATTTTGCTTTAGTTTAGCCGCGACCAATAGCAGAAACGCAAGGCGGGAGCACCAACATTTCGAAAAGTCGCGTAAAAAGCTGGAAATTCAAAAAAAAACTGAAAAATCTGACTGAAAACAAAAAGTCTTTTTTTGAAGGAAAAATATTACTGCATCATGTACGGAATGTTATTGGAGAGTGTACAACATTTCGTTCAAGTAAGATTTTTAATTGAATAAATAAAAAATTTAATAGTTACTTTTTATCGTCGTGTATAAAACAATATTTTTTTCCATAGCGAGTTACGTTTTAAAAAATATTCAGAAATTATTATTTCAACGAATTTATTACGTGTAGAAAAAATATTGTGCTGGGTTATTTGACAAATAAATAAAGCAGTCTCTTGAGTTGTCAGTTTTGAGTCAATATTTTTTAATTCTCATTCGTGTCGATTGCTGATTGAATTGGAACCAGAAATGGCTCAAAACGAAATAAGTAAATTACTAAGAGATATTCAGGCTGAGGCGACAAGCGCCATACCCAAACTACCTCCATTTAAATCCCGAATAACTTATGAAAAGGAATACAAAAATTTTCAAAAATGGAAGCAATTAAAAAACGTGCGAGAAAAAATAAAGTTTTTAACCTATATTCGCTGTTAAAGTATCATTTAATCTATTCTTGCGGATAAAGTACTATTTTATCTACTATTTTTGATTGATATAAGGTTAAAGAATTGCCTAAATTAAAAATAAAAAATCTTGAAAAATTAAACTTAAATACAGTACGATCGCAAAAAACGGCGTCCAGTTGGCTTGAAGATGATCGATGACACTCACCATATAATTACATATAAAATGACAGCGATCTTCATTTCAAAGCCATCGCTGCCGTTTTTTTTTTCGATCATATACTATACTACTATAGTTATAATGTAGTTCTTCAAATTCAGACAATATTTTAAAATTCAGATGCTACCTGAATCTGATACAGCTAGTTTCTGTTTTAGTAGTTTTAACTACCCCATTTTCAGGGTTAGTTAATTTGCGATTTTTTTTAAGTAACTCTTCTATACAGGGTGAGTCTTAAGAAACATATATTTTCTCTTTATCGTTTTTCAAATAAGTCTGTATATAATATTTTGAAAATATAGTAGTAGTATATTTTATTTTGAAAATTAAAAAAAAATGATTTTTTGCCTAAATTTTTTTGAAAACCACTGGACCTTCTCTGGGTTTCATTTCTTCTAAATTTAATCTACCTATGTTGTCATATTTTACCAAGAAATTATGTTTTTTAACAAAGAACTAAAAAAAATCTAAAAGTTAAAAAAATGTGAAACTTCTTACTAATTAAGATTAGATTAGGTTGTTGAAAAAGTAGTAAATTAAAAAAATATTTTTTTTTGCGCGTAAAAAATAGTTTTTTACGTGCAACAAATAGTTTTATACGCGTAAAAATAGTTTTTTTAAGCTGACGTTAAATGAGAGGTCTCGATGTGAATTGTGGGAGACTCATCAAACAAATAAATACATTTTCTTTTTTTTCTAGAATATTTGAACGTAGGCTCAATCAAGTACACCCTGTATATTCTACTTGACACTAATGCAAAATTTTGCTATTAAATTTAACGGGGCTACCAGGGAGTCCATCGTTGGGCTATTTAAGTAATATAACAATCTAATAAGGACTTAGTGGACTATAAAATCGCACATATAAACGCAGTGTCCAATTTTGGATGATATTCATTAGCAAATTGCTTAATAAATCTTTGATTTATATTCTGGTGTACCCGAATAAATTTATAATGTTCTTTGATCGTTATCTACAAGGTTAGATATTATTTAGTTATTCTATAAGTGTTCTGTTATTATTAAATAACGTTGTTAAAGATCGTTTCATAGACATATGTACCGTATGATCGAGAAAAAACGGCGTCCAGTTGGCTGGGAAATGACGATCGATGGCATTTCCCATATAAATTTACATTTAAAATGACAGCGATCTTCATTTCCCAGCCAACTGGACGCCATTTTTTTTCGATCATACGGTATAATAAAAGATAGAGAATACATCGATTTGTTTTGCCCCAACATACCGGGTGTCTCACAAAATACTGACGTGACTCGCTCCTGTTTCATTCACCGGAAATGACTACAACTTTTCATGTTCAAATGGTACCCTCGGTATTTTTTTTACTTTATTCGGTAGAAAATGACATTCTGAATAGAACGACATATCATATGTCAACTTTTGACATTTTCGCATATGGTTTATTTGAAATTGTAACATGCAAGGTTCATAACGACAATTTGACTTGAAATACCAAGTGTGTGGTACCAAATTATTCGTAAAAAAATGCCTTTTCCAAATATGCTAACGAGCCACCCTCGTTCCGTTTGAAAAAACTGAGATACATGATTAAAAAAATACGATTTGGGGCATCTCTTAACCGGCCAGGACAAGACACGAAAAACATTAGACGATCAAATCTATTTTTCCAAGGCTCCTTGATTAAAAATTAGTGTTTTTAACACAGTCATGGCACTCTAGATTGAAATTTCAAATACGATTTTTTAAGCAAAAATGTCAAAAGTCGACGTATAATATGACATTCTATTGAGAATGTCATTTTCTATCGAATAAAGTAAAAAAAAAATACCGAGGGTGACATTTGAAAATCAAAAGTTGTAGTCATTTCCGGTGACCGAAAACAATAATTGAACACGTCAATCACTGATAGTATATGACATATTACTAACATACAAAATCTAGTTTTAACAGAAAAAAAAATAAAAATTTAGCAACAAAATCAGCAAATTTCTAGCTATTAAGTGCAAGAAAATGGGAGATATTTACAAAAAAGGAAGAACAACTTCTAATCGAACAGACTGTGTCAAATTGCGAGATTTTATATGCCTTAGAAAAGAAAAGAGAGTTTGGAAAACTTAATGGCCTAATTTTAGACTGATCTGTGGAATTTTTTTAATCAGATTGTTACAAATGGCGCGGAAACGTAAAACCTATATTTATATCTTTCAGCGATTTGAACTAACGAAAATAAATGCACATATTTATTTACTTAGAAATTTCTAAAGGAACCATGGATGACAAACCGATATATGAGGGGTTCAGAAGTGAACTTGATCCTAAGTTCTGGAAAATTATTATGGAGAAAATGAGAGTTAAAGTTTTTTTAATGTTACTTAATTAACATAAAACAAGAAAACTTTGTTCTTCTTTGACTTCGTTCGCGTCGAATTAATCATTTGTAATGGTGATGATAAAGCAAAGCAAGAAATTCCATTAACATACAAACTGGATTAAATTATCTTACATTTATATCAGCATGAGAAAAAAACAATATGGCGATATTATTATATAACTTGGTAATATTTGAGGGGTAGTTTCATTTTTCAAAAATAAGCTTTTAACGTCAAGCAATTTAAGCAGAATCGCGGTTAAGAAATTACCCAAATTTTTGGAACACCCTGTATGATTTTTTAAAAAAATTCTAAATATGTAAAAAAAATAAATTATGCTTGTCCAAGCGTTTTCCCGAAAGACTAACCGTTTTTTAAATAACAAATATTGTAACATTTGAGGGGCGTTTTCACCCTCTTGGAATTTCAGATTCGAGAAACCCCTCCTTATCGAACCTCTACACCCCACAGTCAATCTGTTTGCCAAAAATCAGCTTTAAATGTCAAGCAGTTTAAGCAAAATCGTGATTACTCAATGGTCATATTTTATGAAACACCCTGTACAAATTTATAAAAAATCTTAAAATATGTAAAACAACAAAATAAAATATACGTGTTTAAGAGTTTTTCCGAAAAACTCACCGGTTTTTAAATAAAAAATATTTTAATATTTGAGGGATAGTTTCACCCCCTTAGAATTCGAGTTTCGAAAAATCCCTTCTTATCCAACCTCTACACCCTAAAGTCAATCTGTTTTCCAAAAAACAGCTTTTTACGTCAAGCGCTTTAAGCAGGATCGTGATTAATCAATGACCAGATTTTTCGAAACACGCTGTATACATTTTTAAAATATCTTAAAATATGTAAAAAAACAAAATAAAATATACGTGATTAAGCATTTTTTCGGAAACTTGACCGTTTTTTAAATAAAAAATATTGTAATACCCCCTTGGAACTGGAATTTCGAAAAATCCCTTCTTATCGAACCTCTACACCCTAGAATCAACATGTATGCCAAAATTGAGCTTCTTACGTTGAGTGGGTTGAGCAGGATCGTGATTAATCAGTATGTCAGTCACTTAAGGATTTTATATATTAGTATAGATAAAAACGATTACCTTAAAATAGTAGGAAATTGAACTCAAGTCCATTTTAATTTTGACCACTCCATATTTCTAACAAAATCACATCACAAAAAGCTTTTTCTCCTTATCTGTCCACCAATTTTCTTCAAAATTTAACAAGTAGCTAAAAATAAAACAGAAAAAAATACCTTAATTAAGAGAATCATTAGTTAAGTTTTAAAAAATAAGAATTTTTGTTAATAATCAAGAGATTTATCATAAAAAAATAGTTTTCAAAGTATTTTTCAAATACTTTTTCAGAGAGAATACGGTGAGGATGTGTGGAAAAGAGCTCTACAAATTGCCGAATGCAAAATTTCAGTTTTCAACACGCACCAGGTATATCCTGACTATATAATGAGCAACATCGCCTCAGCACTGGCCAAAATCACCTCCAAGTCGTATGACAGCTTTATGACGTTCTTTGGCAGATGCTTTGTACGATTTTTCAGCAATTACGGGTAAGTAAACTCTCAGGGGTCGGGTAAAGCGGGTGTGTGGCCGAAGGAAATATACACGACCCTGTCGTGTTAAGCCACGCCCAAAACTCCAAACACACGTGCTTTGATTAAGGTTTACACTGTAGTAGTGGGAACTATCGAATGAATACTATCGAAACATTCGATAGTTGCAATTCATTCGAATAATTCGATAGTTAGTAAAAAACATTCGTTGAAAACTATTCGAATAAAAATTATCGAATAGATGCGTCATCTGCCTTGAAATATTGTATTCTAGTAATTCGGCAGCAAAAACCATTCATTTATAAAATTCATTCATTTATGAAATTCATTCATTCGTCAGGATCGATTATAATAAAATATTAACTGAATTTTAGTTGTCGCCCGGCGACGTAGGTTTCTTTCGAGAAACCCGACAGCGGTCGGTGGCAATGCTATGAAAGAAGCCGGCATCTTTGATTTTTGCGGAGTCAGATATAGATAAGGACACATTATTTTTTTTATTGAGGTGCTAGTATTTACACAGAAAATACATTATGAAGGGCGCTGTTGCCATATTTTGGTATTAGTTGATATTAGCAAAGAATATTATTGTTTGGCTTTAGTTAGTTAGGGATAGTATGTCTATATATTCTGCTTTTTTTTTATTAATATTCTGTTGTTACACTGCAATAATACTTGTTATAAGAAAATTATTATTAATGTTTTTAAGCAAAGGCTGGTTTAATAAATAATAATAACAATAATAATTTGTTATACCTATTAACAACAAAATTTAAAATGATTTAATATAAATATTTTTTTAAGTAGTAGCAAAATATAAACAACAAATTAGATGTCAAAATTATTTATATTAGATCCTATTTAAAAACAATAGTCTCTAATTTTTTTGGCAACGTTGGTTTATTAAATAATAATAATTACAGAACTAATTTGTTATATTAACAACAAATTTTAAAATCATGAAATATAAACATTTATTAATTTTCTAAGCATGCAGTGTAATGGAACGAAAATATAAATAAAAAATTAGAAATCAAAATTATTTATAATAGGTGCTTTATATTACTATTTAAAAATTATATTTACCTTTACTGGCATTTACTTTAAAAAATAAATGAAATATTTCTTCGCAAAAAACTACATGTAGGAGAATTAGCATAAACAAAATACCGTATGATCGAGAAAAAACGGCGTCAGCGATGGCTATGGAATGAAGATCGCTGTCATTTTATATGTAAATTTATATGGGAAATGTCATTGATGTTCATTTCCCAGCCAACTGGACTCCGTTTTTTTTCGATCATACGGTACAAACATCGTTAACTTTTTTTTTAAATTGGCACGTGTAAAACTTTCATTTTAATTTTCTCACCCCATAGTTTGAGTTCGATAACCCCATTTACTTAACCACATTACTTAAATATGATTATTAAGTTCAACTAATTCATATTATTAAAACATCTAAAATACAAATATGTATTTTTAAAATTAATTGTAAGTTCATCTCATCTCTCTTAAAAATTGCTACTTCTCAAAATTTCCCATTAAAAAATAGACCATATACCATATAAAATTAAATAATTGAAAGATCGAATTACGGAAAACCACACAAATTTTCGGAAAAATTTTGACCACCTGCACATCGCCAATCGTCAATGAATAAAATTAAAAAATAACTACTATTTTAGTTTTTAACTATTTTAATAAACGCAAAAATAGCACAGTATTTATACGGCGAAGTTATAAAAATTTGGAAGAACTAATAATGCACTGACGCATACAAAAATCAAACGAATACTAAATTTCATTTATCAAAAGCATTCGATAGTCGTGGCTCAACGATAACCATTTAGTCGCACGACGAGGTTGTCACATATGCTTTAGTATACAAATGAATGAATGATTTTATTCGAATAAAACTATTCGATAGTTGAAATCATTCATTCATTAACCATTCGATAGTCTAATTCATTCGATAGTTCCCATCGCTAGTTTACAGAGCTTCAGCATTTGCCATACTATAGCGAGCAATTTGTTACAAAACCATATAAATTATATATTACTGTAATCAGAAAACTTCAATCTATTTCCGTATTGTAACGGAATTTTAAATTATGTCTTTTTTTTCGAGAAAATTTAGTCCAAACATAAGGAATATTTTGTTGTTTGACCATCAAAATCTTAGAAATAACGAAGTTGTCTAAAAATGTGCTACAATACAGATATAGTATAATCCTTTATCTTTAATTTCCTTCTTCATTTGTGTAAAAATACCTAGCCAGTTTTACATAAAACGTTAAATGCCGAACCCTTATTTTGCTACTTTTTCGGACTAGTGAAAATGACTCTTAACTAAAACACACGAAAATGGGACACCCCTGTACACCTCAAGAATACGGAAATAAAACGAAACCAGACAATGGAGATACTGTATCAAAATCAAACAAACTACTAAATTGTTCAACTGTGCAACGATGCCAATTAGAGCTATTTTAGGATGAATATTCGCTTTTGAGAACGCGTCGTATCGTGTTATACTTTGTCAAACAACACTGGTTGACATTTTACCAGAAAATCTCATTTTCCATATGAAAAGGAAGCTGGAAATTTGCTTCAAAGACTCTCAAAGAGACTTAAGATGAGATTGAAATAGAATAAGTCCTGTAGAAAAGGATATACAGGGTGTTTCAAAACAAATGCGAAAAACTTGAGGGAGTGATTTCTTGTTCAAAATAAAGGGTAGTTTGCTTCATAAACGTTGGGTCAAAAGTCAACCATTAGGGAGATATCGCGGTACAAAGATGGCGGAAAAATAATGTTTTTATTTTTTATCTTGAAAACGAAAAGAGATAGATTAATAAAATTTTATGGAAGCATTACTGTTATGAAAACACACTTTCTGGTAATTTCGTTAACAAGAATGATAGGGGTAGTTTATTTCAACCCCTTCCACTCATTTTAAAAAAGTGAAAAAAATACCAGAAAATGTGTTTTCATAACAGTAATGCTTGCATAAAATTTCATTAGTCTATCTCTTTTTGTCTTCAAGATAAAAAATAAAAACATTATTTTTCCGCCATCTTTGTACCGCGATATCTCCCTAATGGTTGACTTTTGACCCAACGTTTATAAAGCAAACTACCCTTTATTTTGAACAAGGAATCACCCCCTAAAGTTGTTCGCATTTGTTTTGAAACACCCTGTATAACACTAAACAACATAAATAGTCCTTCAAATTACAACTTTTGATATAATTTATTTTGAAAGATCCAAAAATGAACTGTGAAAGATTTTTTTAAATTCATCCCCAAGAAAGTGAATAAATAAATAACATTATTTTTTCGAAATTTTCGAGAAACGATAAGAACTAGAAAAAAAAGTTCAAGTAAAAATTGTGAAGCGTCAAATTTTACATAGAAATAATGCTCTCTATACTTTTTTGCTGAGATCAAAATTCACCGAGATAGGGTGGCTAGAAGCTAGGGGATGATAGCAGAAATTTAAAAAAAATAAGTTGCTGAAAAATTCATATATTTATCATTTTTATTCAAGTTATTTGGAACATTATAAATTTCAATTAAATTTTTTTAAATTCACCCCGAGAAGGAGTGAAAAATACAGGGTGACAATTTGAAAACGAACAGTATTTAATATTACCTCTACCGATGATAGTTTGAAAATTTGGCGAAATACGTCAATTTACATATCAAGGGGGACAATTTTTGACGCATTTGTTGTTACTTTCAACCCTTTGACCCCCAGGGCACCTACCCCTGAAATTTTAAATGGCAACTCCTATTTATTTTACCATTTTTGTGTTCCTTATAAAATTCTCAAAAAAATAATGCAGTTTATGTAGAATTCTATAAGAAACACAAAAATGGTAAAGAAACAAGGGTTGCTATTTAAAATTTTAGGGGTAGGTTCCCTGGGGGTCAAAGGGTTGAAAGTAACAACAAATGCGTCAAAAATTGTCCCCCTTGATCTGTAAATTGACGTATTTCGCCAAATTTTCATACTATCATCGGTAGAGGCAATATTAAATACTGTTCGTTTTCAAATTGGCACCCTGTATAAACAGTGTTTTTTCTCCAAATTTCACAGAAACGGTAAGGATTAAGGTAAGTAACTATAATTTACTGATGATCTAGTCAGAATAAATATATGAATCACTTCAAAAAAAAGTATTTTAGGTTAAAGAAAACCCTCCAAAATGGAAAAAAATGTCTTCCCTTTCTTTTCCAATTTTCCATGTTCTAAATTTAATTTTCCACTGATCAAATAATACTTTCCATCTTTTCTAACATTTTCACGCTTCTTTAACCACAAAAAAACTTATTTTTATCACGAAGAAGAGAAAATTCAATAAAACTGTTATTTTTTCTAATCGTTTCAAGAAAGGAAAAACAAGGATTTATAATTCTTTTTGTCTTGAGTTTAATTCTAATTAAAAACAGGCAATCAAAGAGGGTTTATAAATATCCCTAAAAGAAGGAAAAATAAAAAATTGTGACATAAATAGGAGAGGAGTTCACAAAAAATAAACCAAGGAAATGAAAAGACAGTTGCGTGTGGATTAACATGATCTATTCTTCTGATAAAAGTTATTAATGTATACTTTTGTGTAACAAGGAACTAAATATAACTAAGAGGAAGTACTATATTAACACAAAAAAAATGTAATTATCAGAAAAAAAAACTTAAAGTTTTAAAAATTGTATATCACTATAATACTATATAATAAGATTGAACGAAAAATAAATTTGTGCATTAAGGAGGGTGGTAACCCTTTCGAATGTTTTTTTTTCGACGTTGGATTTTCTCACTCAATAAAAAAGAGATCTCAATAAAATTTTATAAAACCTTTCTAAGGACATATTCAGAATATTTTTTGTGGAGGTATTTTTTGACAGGAAAGCAATTTAAATTTAAACAGAATTTCTTTAAATATTCTCGTAGATTTATCGATCTGTATCCTGGCATTTAAGTACTTTATATTTGTATATGCAGATTTTACTGTTTTGTATTCATGGAAACATATTTTTTCTTGATTTTTAGCTATGATGCCACTATAAAAGCTACAGGAAGGAATTTTACGGATTTTCTGGAAAGCGTAGACAACATACATTCCCAATTCAGACTGTCCTATCCTAAGATGAAGAGTCCCTCAATATACCTTACCAAAGTTGACCAAAATGGATGTGTCCTCGTATACAGGAGCAAACGATGTGGCTTTACACATTACCTTATGGGTAATAACTTAAATAATCTATTATACAGGGTCTTTCCATACTGTACAGGGTGGGTCAAATTCGACGCTTTTAAATGGAAACACCTTTTTCTATAGGAGATAGACGAAAACTAATATCGGTGTCTGGAGCTCAATTTATGTCAAAAACATGATAGTGAAAACCGCATATCGATATCTGTTACCGTTTCGGAGTTACGGGGTGTTTTTCAAAAATATGCACTTTTAACAAATCGCTGTAACTTTTTTTGTTATGGAAAATTTTGTATTTTTATGAAAACATTTCCAAAGCACCTTTTACGTAGAATTTAATGGTTTAAGTGTAATTTTTTTAAAATTAATAATTTAAGAATTATCAACAGAAAATTTGATTTTTTATATGGGACACCCTGTATATTTTTAATTTATTGAAAATAATTTAAAATTACCTTTCCAAAAATATAACACACTTGATATTTTGCTCGATTCCTCTTCGAGATATAGAGTATATAAAAATTCGCCCGCTTTAAATGAGTATAGGCTTTGAACGGCACCGGCTGTAATGCAAAAAAATCTAGCTGTGAGCATCAATTAAAACGAAAATAATATTTGCTATGAGAGATGCAGAATTTTATAACTATTTAAAATATATTTAATCAACATCAACACATTTAAACTATATCTAATAACAAGAAAAATAAATAGCAAACCAAAACATGAGATTTTGCTATAGGTGTTCGACATATCGACCGTCTTCAATTACGGACAGACGGGGCAGTTTTTGAACATTTCTCGCGGAATTCATTAACTCAGTGGGGGGTGAAAGATACCCTCTCATAACTGCTAAGTATTTCTAATTCTTGTCTAGATTATACGAATAATAAGGAACCTTTATTTTTCCGCAAATATATCGCTGGATTAGATCCATGAGCACTAAGTCAGGCGATCTCGACGGCCAACGGCTGGAATCTTGGTTGGCTATTCAATTATTCTTGAAATTGGATGCAAAAATTTGCTGATAACTTCAGCGTTCAGAGGCGGTGCGTCGTCTTGCTGGAAAAATATGTTTTCGAGTTCCATTAAGGGCATATCATCAATAAAGGGTCCAAAGCCTTCTAGTTAAAAGTGGCGAACTTTTAAAAATTCTGTTTTTCGAAGGGGATTATAAGAAAATATCAAGTGTGCTACATTTTTGGAAAGGTAATTTTAAATTCTTTTCAGTTAATTAAAAATATAGAGGGTGTCCCAAATAAAAAATCAAATTTTCTGTTGATAACTCTTAAATTATTAATTTTAAAAAAATTATACTTAAACCATCAAATTCTAGGTAAAAAGGTGCTTTGGAAATGTTTTTATAGAAATACAAAATTTTCGATAGCAAAAAAGTTACAGCGATTTGTCAAAAATGCACATTTTTGAAAAACACCCCGTAACTCCGAAACGGTAACAGATATTGATGTGCGCTTTTCACCATCATGTTTTTGATAAAAATTGAGCTCCAGACACCGATATTAGTTTTCGTCTATCTCCTATAGAAAAGGGTGTTTTCAATTAAAAACGTCGAATTTGACCCACCCTGTACACTTATTTAAACGACACCCTGTATATTTATTTTATTTCTCGAGTGACTAGGTAAATATGTCCGTTTCATAAAATCTTTTATTTGAAATGTGTGGAACATGTCGAATTTTACTACATATGTCTTTTCCCAAGGGCCAAAACTTTTCTAATAACTCTATGTGTGCTCTAACGGTCCTCTCTAGGTCAGTTGGAGCAAATCGCCAGAGAAATCTACGACCTTCGCCTCAAGACCGACATTTTGACCTCTGAAAAAAGCCAGATCGACGGGAAGACCATTGTAATTGTAACTTTGAGGCTGAATTTCGACAACACCCAGTATGTGAGTATTTTTATTCGTCTCCCTTAATCCATCTTTATTATAAAATGTTTTTTCTTTTTATTTATTAATAAAATAAGTAAAAAAAGTTCGTATAAATGTATGTCCTAAAATGCTTAGTTTCAGAGATACAGGGTGAAGAAATTTCATTTTTATTTCGATTTTTTCTAAATAATTTCTGAAGTAACGTCAATATTTGGATGAAAATTGTTGTCTTTGTGTTTTAACTGTTTTAAAAACTTTTTGTCTGTATCTGTATAAAACTACTGAGTAAAAAAATATTCATTTCCGTTTTATGTAAAAAATGTCTCTTGGTAAAAATCGCTACGAGCAACCGTTCTCAAGATATTTAGAATGGAAATAGTCAATACATGTCATTGACAAAAAATAAACACGTTGAGTAGATATAGTTATTTGACTGAAATAACAAATTTGGAAAATTTTTATTTTTTTATATAAATCATAAGGTTTTCTGAGAAAAAATGACGATAAAACAGTTTTTTTTAACTTTTGGCACAAAAACATTTTAAATTTACGATTTCAGTCTAATAACTATTATTATTATATACTACTCCTAACTAATGACTATGCTATGAACTTATATGATTACTATAATATGATAATTTCGATTCCAAACATCTCGGAGAGACCTTTTTTAGGTAAAAACCTACCGTAAATGTTGGAAATACAGGTCGGACCACCCTGTATAGTAGCACAGCGAAAGTCGCATCTTTGTATCTCTACTCATAAAGGAGAAACCGCATAAAACACACGAAAATAGGACACCCTGTACAAAAAAATTATAACAAAAATAAAACACAGCTTGGATAAGTTAGTATTTTGGATAATCCTGCTAAATCTAATGAAATTTGACTTAAAAGACGTTCATTTTCTCTGTGGATCCACGTGTTTGTTCCAGGGTAAGATACAAAAAAAACTAATCAATCATTTTTAATCTTCACAGCCAAGAGGACAAAAGTTGACACAGTGAGGGTCAACTTCAAGGGCAAAATTAAAGAGACTCTGACAATCTATATGAAAAATATTTTTTTTTAAAGATTTTTCTTCCCCAGAAAAAGAAATTACATTATTTGATTATTTTATTTTGAAATATACATAAAAAAAATAGCAGTAATTCACAGTGCATTTGACATAAACTCCACATTCTAAAAATACCGTATGAATATGATCGAAAAAAAAACAGCGTCAAAGACGACTGGAGAATCGACAATAGATCATAATTTTGGTGAGGTCAATGTAGACGTCATTAAGTAAATATTGACAGAGAATTTGTCAAAAATTAACACTAATCAATAAAATTACAAAAATATTGAGTAAAAAATCCTTTTTAGTCAATATAAAAATAAATTTCAACCTTCTTAAGGCCAATTGGCAATAAGCGCAATTAAAAAGTAAAGAATTATACGGGCTAAGTAAAAGACATAGACCTTGACCTCGCCAAAAGTATTATCGATTCTCATTCCTCAGCCATCTTTGACGCTGTTTTTTTTTCAAAACATAAACCCACTTTCTTTTTTCAGATAATAGCAAAACGAATGAAAGAAGAAGCTCATTTAAAAACAATCAGCAAACTACCGTCATTCAATTGCGACCTACTGCTTCAACTATTCCCATTCGGAATCATTTTTAATCCAAGCATGTCAATAATGGGTTGTGGAGAAAAACTGACTCAGGTTAGTATCAATTTTGGCAATTTTTCACTACATAATTCCACAAAAATACCCTGGAGTGAAGCCACATCACGATATATGTTGAATACAAATACACACTTGCTTAAAATCGTATTTCGAGTCTAATTTTTCTTGCCCTGGTGTGACGTCATTTCAGAGTTTATGTTGGTTACAAAATATGGGAAGGAAAGCACGTATCTACGTAGTATATATGCTCTAATAGACCCGAATTGAATTTTTTGGGTATAAAGCGTATTTTTTAACACAATTCCACGAAAAATGCCAGAAACCCTATAATTTTTGCCCTGAGGTGAGGTCACATCACGATTTATTTTGAATGCAATTACATAAACTTGCGTAAAATACTATTTTAAGTCTAGATTTTCTTGCCTTGATGTGACGTCATTTCAGAGTTTATGTTCGTTACAAAATATGGACAGGAAAACACGTATCTACGTAGTATATATGCTCTAATATACCCGAATTGAATTTTTTGGGTATAAAGCGTATTTTTTAACATAATTCCACGAAAAATGCCAGAAACCCTATAATTTTGGCCCTGACGTGAGGTCACATCACGATTTATTTTGAATACAATTAAATAGACTTGCTAAAAATCCTATTTTGGGTCGAGTTTTTCTTGCCCTGATGTGACGTCATTTCAGAGTTTATGTTGGTTACAAAATATGGGCAGGAAAAATAGGTATCTATGTAGTATATGTGCTCTAATATATCTAAATTGATATTTTTTTTTTGTTTTTTTTTATATAGAAATTACTTTTTTTAGGTGGCAGGTGGTGCGGGAAAGCTTTTGGGAAAATCGGTTACAGATTATTTTCATCTTCGGAGGCCCAAAGGGATCAATTTTACATGGAAAAACGTAAGCGATGTGCATGAAAAATAGTGATAATTAATTATATGGTGAAATAATTAAAATAAGAGACTCACTAATATATGAATAAAGTAGTATTTTTTATAATCTTTGAGAGAAAAAAACTATTAGAAATACGTATATGTTACATTGAATAAAAATTCAAGGGTTTTGTAAAATCTAAGTAGTCAAAATATATAAATTTATTTTGAACACTCTGTAGCATCTAACTCAAATATCTTTCCATATACCTTTTTCTTCACCTCAAAATTGAGTTCTCCAACTTCAGAAACAATAGCGGCACTGACAATTTTTTACAGCACCGAAACTTAACATTTTTTTAAATAAATTGAAATATTACAAAAACTACGAATCTTAGGTATATAACATTATACAGGGTGGAAAAAACCGAAATAAAAATGAAACTTCTACACCCTGTATCACAGCAATTAAGCAGTTTAGGACATACATTTATACGAACTTTTTTACTTATTTTGACCTGTTTTCCGGAATACAGTCCGTATGTATGCTTTCCGGAATACAGTCCGAACCACCCTGTATATGAAAAATTTATAGAATTTTAAGAATCTCTAAGAAAAATCATATACTATGGTAGCAACACTTTTTTAAAGCACCCTGTATACTCAAAAATAGTTTTAAATCGTGCCTTTTAACATTCTCTAAAACTTTTCTATCCTACATTTTTTTCTAATTCTTTAAACAAACAAAATAATGAACTTTGTTCTATAGTTGACTCGCCCTGTACTCATGAATGATATAATTTCATACAGACTTTTCGAGAACACGCACCCTATATTTTTCCGAGGCTTTTAGTACTTTTCCTATGACAATACTATATTTAGAATCGCCAGAAATAAGACCAGATCCGCTAGAAATGCTATTTTACCCTCTACCATTGTGAGAAATGACGAAAATTAACGCCATTCTCTTTTACAACCCTCTTCGTCATCTTGGCTTCATCCCCTTTATCGAGCAAATGATAATCTGGAGTAACACAGAAAGATCGACGTTTGTCAAATTAGATGATCAGGGAACAGAGAATGATGAAGATAATCTACGGAGAAATAAGTTCGAAAATTTGTCTCTATAATTATGTAATTATTCATTTTAAGGGGATGATTATTCATGTAAAAGGAGATGATGAAATAAACGTACAATTTCGAGATTTACTGTGAAAGAAGGGCAACGACCCGGCTACGTCGAAACAGCGGTTCACGATAGATCACCGAAGTTAAGCGACGTTATACGATGCGAGAGAATGAACGGGTGGTCGTTCTGTTGTTCCATGGCAAGAGTGTAAAATCTATTTTATTACGCATTACCTATTCACACCAATTTGAACTTTGATTTACTGTGAAAGATCAAGATTAAAACCAGAGAATAGGTACATTAAAGAAATGCTAACTTCATGTTAAAAAATGGAAACAGACGCCACCTGGTGTCGCCTGGCAGTACTAGCTAAATTGAGGGGAATTGGAGGGGCGGGGCTTAAAAGAGGGGAAATTTTTAAAAAAATATTTTTATAAGTATCACTGACACTGTTTAAAGTTAATAAACATATTTTTTATTACTTTAATATCATTTAATGTATTAAAAAATATGTCTATTAACTTTACACAGCAAATCAATGATATTATTAAAGACTTATTATTTTCAGAGAAAATTCATAGTAAATAAATTACACATTAGTAAACAATATCATTTATTTTTTAGAGCTGCGATTTTTATTACAATAATATTGAAATATATATATTTTTTTAACAATGAAAAAGAATATCCCGAACCTGAAAAAGAAAGATGATCAATTAATGACTTAAATTAGTTCAAAATACATTTTGCAAATAACTAGTGAATTGGAAAGATAAACATACTATTAAAAGACATTTTAGTAGTAGTATGTCATCATCTATTTACTGATAATACATTACATAAGTATATAATAGGTAAATAACATGCGTAAGGCACTATAATACAACTACCTGTATCATGATAACACACTAATATGACAAAAAATATATGCTAATTTAAATTCCTTTAATGATCTAATGAAACACTATCTAGCCTCAATGCATGCCATTCCAAAGGCAAAAAAAACTGTTATACCAAATAAATATAAGCTGAATAAAACATAAACCAAGCCAACGTGCATAAACAACCAAAAAATGCATCAAAAATACTTTTATCAGATCATACCCTTGGATATATTATGTATTTTATATATCGCACATCCCGTTCAAAAGTTTACTTAACTCAAAATAGAGAATATAGAGAACATTGTCAGGAGAAGTAAAAGAAAATTTAAGTTAAGGCAATATGCTCCTTTTTGCATATTAACGGCCAAATAATATAACGTTGATTTAATAAAATTTTACTGGCATCCTTCTGAGGTATAAATCAGATTAAAAGGACATTGTTTTTTTAATAATTGTTTGTTTTGTAAACATTTTTTGAAGACAATACAGTTTTGAACGGGCTGTGCGATATAAACAAGGATCTTACTATTATTTGAGTTTAGAAAGTATTTAAATAATATAAAACATAATCAAAATCATTTTTCATCATAAATTATAGAGGTACTTACGTGTTTTGATATTATTATCAGGAAATAATACGTTTAGTTAAACAGGTACGCTGCCAGGCAAGTTCTATCGGCGGGTCTTTGCAAGAGTTGAAATCTAAAAATACAAAAATCCGTTTACATCTGAGTTGTATTTACGAATAAAGTATTTGTGTGTAATTTCTGACTTACCAGTTAACTGAATAATCGCATTAAATACATCCAAATGGTAATTTAATATTGTAAAAAAGCAAAATTGTTTTAAATCACTTGCCAGGACAGCCCGGCCAGCTTCTTTGTTGACAAAATGGCCGCGGTATCATGATTTAAGCAATGTGAGTGACAAAGAAAGCCAATGCCTGGCAGATGTTGCTTTCTTTGTCGTTGGTCCTGGCACGTTTAAATTTGACTGTTGCCTGTTTTCCCATACAAGTGACACTCCCGTTAATAAAACAGAAGACTATACATGCATTCCGGAAACTTCGGCAGCATATTCTGCTGACAAAAATAAGTAAAAAAGTTCGTATAAATGAAAAAAAATCGAAATAAAACTGAAACTTCTACACCCTGTATCTCCGAAACTAAGCATTGTAGGACATACATTTACACGAACTTTTTTACGTATTTTTATCTGCAGAATATGCTGACGAAGTGTCCGGAATACAGTTCGGACCACCCTGTATATTATAGGATTTTCTATTTAACTTTAATAAAACTCACCGAACTTTGAACTATTAAAATTAACTGTCATAATTTCTAAATACACCTCACGTATCTACTCACACAAATTGTTAATTTTAGTTCAGCTCAACTCAAGTTAGCTTAATCTATGAAAATATGGCTAGAGCTTTGGAAACTCGGATTTAAACTTTACCGGATTAAAATATAGAGTAAAACAGAGCATGGCAAATGAGCAAGTTTAATTTAAAAGGGTTTTTATTACTTTAAAATTACCTACTTAATTAGATTTTCATAATTTTGTCAAATATGATACGCATATTCTATACGAAAAAGAAGAGGTTATAACATAAAATAAGTTAAATATTCCTGGAAATATATACAGTACTAATTAAAGCTTGATTCATATGTCAGTCACGTTTTAGATATGTGTCTCAGGTTGTTATAGTATTTAATAATTTTAAATATACAGTATGTCCCCGGATTGTCTTTACAAGAGGAAAAACTTTTTTTATTATTGACGTTTTGAGAAAAATGCATTCTTAATAAAAATTTTTGCTTGTCTTAAAATGGTTACTACCCATTTATACTTCTCTAAATTTCCATACCGTTTTGGAGAAAATTAAAAAAAATTCGTTTCTATAGTAACATAATTTCGTTCTCATTTTTCGGTAGATAGTTATTGATAGAATTTTAATTAACGTCTTATTTTTTGCTGTTTTAAAATGTTAAAGAAGCACAAAATTTATTTAGTTCAATATTAGAGAAAGGGTGATAATAGTTATCCGAAAATGTGATACTTTAAGAACAGCAAAAAATATGACGTTAATTAAAATTAATAATAACCATCTATAAAAGAACGAAATCGAAATTATATTACCATAGAAACGCCTTTTGATTTTTAGGACTAGTTTTTTTTAATTTTATGTAAAACGGTATGGATATTTGGAAAAGTATAAACGGGATTAACCATTTTAGAACAAGCAATTTTTTTTATCAAGAATCCCTTTTTCTTAAAATGTCAACAATAAAAAAGTTTTTCCTCTTGTAAAGACAATTCAGGGACATACTGTACATATACTTCTCCCTTATGCAACACAACAAACATGCAAAAAGAGATTGTCGTGTCACAACGTCGGCCCCACGTTGGGCGCCAAATTCTCGTCTTTATTTTTGATGATTTTTTAAAAAAACTTGACTGAACAATACTGAGACAGTACAGCAACGTGACCGACATAGGTAAACAAACCTTAGGCAACCAATAAAAAAATTTAACACTTTTTTATCTCCTTCCAGTGTTTCTATCTGAAATCCGTTATGTTCGAAATCGAGGTTTTGAGGGCAGACATCATACAAGACCAGGAAGAGAAAAAAAGTTTACTGGAAATGATCAACCCGAACGACTCCATCGAAATCAACGGAAGAAGCATATCTCCTTTCGCTCTAAGGAGAGATAGCCAACCAGCGGGCCTTAAAAATATCCTCCTCAAGGGACAGATGTATTATTTGAGTGACATCATTGCGATTATGTATCTCTGTTGTCCTGTGTAAGTACTACTTTACTCAAATTATGACCCCTATTTCTTATTTCTTTGAGAAAAAAATAGTGTATTGTGCAATAAGTACCATAAAATAAAAAAAACGGCATTATATAGCCCTTGAACTACCAATAAAGGTTTAAAATTAATATTTAAATGAATAAAAAGACGTTCCTTTGCTATTTTTTATCGCCTGTTATTACTATCCTTAAAACAACCCCAAAATTAAACAATAACCCATTCAAAACTTGGAAATTTTCAAGATAAACATTATTATATTAAAATTATTAAACATCTGTATAATAATTTCAATAGACTTATCTGTGTGTTACATTTTACTGAGACTTAAATAAAATGCTTTCTGAGATACATAGAGGCAGACGCAAAATTCAGGAAACGGTATATTAAAAAAGAAACAACATTTTGCGACCCTATGTCGCTCCTGACACATTTTCAATCTGGGAAACTCATATATTTTCCTGTTTTTTCCAGAGTGAACGACATGGGAGAATTGCCAGACCAGGGACTGTACCTAAACGACCTAAATCCACACGGCTTGGGAAAGGAAATGGTTTTGTTGAAAGCCGGATGGCAGAATGATTCAAAGTAAGTGAAAATAATTAAAAAAAAATCTATTTTGAAATATTATAAATATCGTGGCTACATGTACCAAAAAATATAAAGATTGATTCAACAATACAAATGTATAAATGGTGTCATACATCTCGAAAACTAGAGAGATAAAAGAGATACAAATATAATGATAGAATTCTCTAATTTAGAGAAAAGCCATGTTTTGAAATCCAAAAAAAAAAATCCGAACCCGAATTTTTGAAAAATAATATGTTTTTTATAAGTTATAATTTCCTTGAATACAAACTTTCTACTAATATACAAAATCCTTAAGTAACTGATATACTGATAAATCACGATCCTGCTCAAACCACTCAACGTAAGAAGCTCAATTTTGGCATACAGCTTGATTCTAGGGTGTAGAGGTTCGATAAGAAGGGATTTTTCGAAATTCCAGTTCCAATAAGAGGGTGAAACCACCCATTAAATATTACAATATTTTTTATTTAAAAAACGGTCAAGTTTCCGAAAAAATGCTTAAACGTATATTTCATTTTGTTTTTTACATATTTTAAGATTTTTTAAAAATGTATACAGGGTGTTTGGAAAAATCTGGTCATTGGTTAATCACGATCCTGCTTAAAGCGCTTGACGTAAAAAGCTGATTTTTGGAAATCAGATTGACTTTAGGGTGTAGAGGTTCGATAAGAAGGGAATTTTCGAAACCCGAATTCTAAGGGGGTGAAACTATCCCTCAAATATTAAAATATTTATTATTTAAAAATCGCTGAGTTTTTCGGAAAAACTCTTAAACACGTATATTTTATTTTGTTGTTTTACATATTTTAAGATTTTTTATAAATTTATACAGGGTGTTTCATAAAATATGACCATTGAGTAATCACGATTCTGCTTAAACTGCTTGACGTTTAAAGCTGATTTTTGACAAACGGATTGACTGTGAGGGTAGAGGTTCGATAAGGAGGGGTTTCTCGAATCTCAAATTCCAAGAGGGTGAAAACGCCCCTCAAATATTACAATATTTGTTATTTAAAAAACGGTTAGTCTTTCGGGAAAACGCTTGGACGAGCATAATTTATTTGTTTTTTTTACAAATATTGAATTTTTTTAAAAAATCATACAGGGTGTTCCAACAAGTTGGGTAATTGATTAACCACGATTCTGCTTAAACTGCTTGACGTAAAAAGCTTATTTTTGGCAAACGGATTTTTCGAAAGTCAAATTCCAACGAGATGAAACTACCCCTCAAATATTACTAAGTTATATAATAATATCGCCATATTGTTTTTTCTCGTGCTGACATAGATGACAGATCTGACAGTTTGTATGTTAATGGAAATTATTGCTTTGCTTTATCATCACCATTACAAATGATTAATTCGACGTGAACGAAGTCGCTGGTACACGCTAGTAAATGTATAAATGGTGTCATATATCTCGAGAGATAAAAGAGATACAAAAATGATTAAATTAGAGAAAAGCCATGTTTTGAAATCCAAAAAAAAAATCCGACCACTTCCGAAGATATCCGGGAAAACCCGAATTTTTGAAAAATAATATGTTACAATTTCGTTGAATATAAACTTTCTTTAGTATATTTTCTTATAAAATCAAATTCAAAACTTGAAATCGCCTCACAACTCCATTAGCGAAGTTTTCAAGTAATTTCGAAGAAAATATATAAAAAACAGATCACGCTTACTCAAAACTTTTTAATAAATTAATGAAATTCTTTCAGCATGCCTTAGAGGCCTAAACAAAAAGAAAAAACACGAAAATATGTTACAGAAAATGAAGGGACATTAATTAAATAAATACTACACAGAGAAAAAAATCTAAAAAATTGAAAATAAATGGTTTACTTGGCTAATATTAGTTAGCAATAAATAATATTATTATTGATTCTGTAATAATAAATATTATTGTAGTGGTATACCGGGTGTTTCTTAAAAGTGGCTTAACCCTATAACTTTTTTATTTTTTTTTTAGATAAAAAACGAGTTTTGGTATGTTAGTATACGACATAAATTGAAATTGATTGACATATTCAATTGTTTTCGGTCACTTTCTGTTTCACCGGAAATGACTACAACTTTTGATTTTTAAATGGCGCCCTCGTCCAAAAATTTTAAATATTTTTTTTCTCAAAAACGGTTAATGTTAGATAATGTTAGTTTTATATCAATAATCATAAATTTTTACAGAGAATTTAGGTATGTAATAAAAAATGGGGGTACCCATTTAAAATAAGAAAATTGTTGGCAACTTCCGGTATTTCCGGAAGTGCCGCCATATTGAAAATATTTTTAATCGATAGATCTCGCTGTAAAACAATGATATGCAAAAAATCTCCGATCTAGATATTGTAGTTTTCAAGAAACTTCTAATGCACGCTCAGCCTGGGACACCCTGTATATCCTTAAATTGCTCCATTGGGGAATAATCCAATAATTCAACGATTAGTCGGTCTAGTGGTAAATTACTGATTTAGAGCTAGCAAGCTATGAAATTACATTTAATCGATACTAGAGTTTAGGCCCTAAACCGAAAATTCAATTACTGAAAATTTGAACAAATATAATGACTGTAGACGAATGAGTGACCAACAAAATTAATCTAACAAAAATAAAAACGTTTTTCTGATATGCATTTAACAAAATTTAAACCCTTATAGCATTGACAACAACTGTATGATCGAAAAAAAACGGCGTCAGCGATGGCTATGAAATGAAGGTCGCTGTCATTTCATAGCGTGTAATTCGCGTCGAATTAATCATCTGTAATGGTGATGATAAAGCAAAGCAAGAATTTCCATTAACATACAAACCGGATAAAATTTTCTCACATTTATGTCAGCATGAGAAAAAACAATATGGCGATACTATTACATAACTTGGTAATATTTGAGGGGTAGTTTCATTTCGTTGGATTTTGACTTTCGAAAAATTCGTTTGCCAGTTTTTTACGTCAAGCAGTTTAAGCAGAATCGTGGTTAATCAATTACCCAACATCCTGTATGAATTTTTAAAAAATTTCAAAATATGTAAAAAAACAAAATAAATTAAGCGTGCCCAAGCGTTTTCTCGAAAGACTAACCGTTTTTTAAATAACAAATATTGTAATATTTGAGGGGCGTTTTCACCCTCTTGGAACTTGAAATTCGGGAAACCCCTCCTTATCGAACCTCTACACCCTAAAGTCAATCCGTTTTGCAAAAATCAGCTTTTTACGTCAAGCGCTTTGAGCAGGATCGTGATTAATCAATGACCAGATTTTTCGAAACACCCTGTATACATTTTTAAAAAATCCTAAAATATGTAAAAAAACAAAATAAAATATACGTGTTTAAGCGTTTTTTCGGAAACTTGACCGTTTTTTAAATAAAAAATATTGTAATATTTGAGGGGTGGTTTCACCCCCTTGGAACTGGAATTTCGAAAAATCCCTTCTTATCGAACCTCTACACGAGTGGTTTGAGCAGGATCGTGATTAATCAGTGAGTCAGTCACTTAAGGATTTTAAATATTGGTATAGATTTATATGGGAAATGTCATCGATCGTCATTTCCCAGCCAAATGGACGCCGTTTTTTCGATCATACGGTACTACTGTCTTGCAGTGACACAACTTACTAAGTTCACTTAATAATTCCGAAACATTTGAAGATAGCTATAGGTTATTGTAATTGGTCAATGTTACATGACACATCCTGTATAAAAGGTTTTTGTTGATAAAAATGTAAATTATTTATTATCACCTTTATTATGTTTGGCTGATACACCCTGTAAAAGTAATTTACTTAAAGCAAACTTCCTTAAAACCACTATTTCCTTCAAGAGATACCTACCTTTTACAATAATTAAATCAAAGAAAATAAGAAAAAAGTAGATTTAAAATTAGTTTACTCAAACTGGAACTTTTAAAATACATTTCAGTATCATAAGAAGAAAACAATTAAAAAAAAACTCTAAAAGAAAATCAAACCTATAGTGTAGAGAGTAAAGTAAATTTCAATTTTCTCGAAAGCAGGCTAATAATTTAGTTAAGAGTTTCCCATTTTCCTTCTCCGTTTTCCACAATGGAAAACAATGAAAATTAGGCTAAAGAAGGTTGAACTGCCTTCCGTTTCAATTCAGGTGAAAATATACGTATTGATGTTGAAGATAGGACCCAAAAAGAAAATTAAAGGAAGAAAATCAATATTCAAATTAAAAAATCAGTATTTTGCAACTAGAATTTAAATTTAATAAACTTCTTAAAGGAAAAAATTAAACAGTATCAAGTTTTAACAGTAGGTAGCACTTACAGTAACTTTTACCATCAAAGTTTCGTTCGAATCACTATAAAGACACGTGGAAAGAATCTATAATAAATCGAAAAAAAACATTAACATCTGAGCAAAATCTTGACTTGAAAATTTTAAAATTAACGGCAATATCAGTCCAAGAACATATTACATTTCATAAATCATCATTTTCTAACAGATTCAAACAAGAAAAAATATATTTTTTAGGTTGGAACTTATGTTCGACAAAGTTGAACATAGAGCCAGTGAATTGGAGAACAATCTCAGCCTACTTGAAATATGGAAACAAAGAGGGGACGATTTGCTCTATTCCATGATACCTAAAGCAGTAGCTGACCGTCTTAGAGCAGGGGACAGTCCACTCAGCACTTGTCAGGTCAGTATTAAGTTAATATCGATTTTAATTATTTAAAATAAAAATATATATATATATATATATATCTTATATCTTCTTTTCTCAAACTGGAAAAATAACTAAAAAGTCTCTTTGTTTTCGTATGCATAGTCATTTGAAAATGTCACTGTGATGTTCTGTGAATTGGTGGGATTCAATTCGTCAACGGTAGAAGATGCTATGGAGCTGGTTAGTACCATGAATGCTGTCTATTCATGTTTTGATTCACTCATGGACACATTCAACGTATATAAGGTGAGTACTTATGATATTCGAATATTACAATCCATACAATCAATAGATTCACACATAAATTACTAAGGCTCGTCTACACCTAACGTTTTACCTGTGAGTTAAAACGGAAAAAAAGTTGTAAAAATTACTTATTAATGCGTCTACACGCAAGGTTCGGTTTTGTTTGTTGGTTGTAATAGATCTTTTAAATAAAAAAGTTAATATTACTAAAATGTTACAGGTCGAAACAGTGGGTCAAATATACATGGCAGTGTGTGGAGCACCTGAACCGACAACACAGCATGCTGAAAATGTCTGTGACGTGTCACTGTGTATGATACGTCACGTAAAACAACTTCAAATACCTTCCGGGACTAAAGTAGATGTCAGGATAGGTAAGTGTAATATTCAGTCCTACGATATTATTCATTTTGACTCTCTTTAGAGAAACAAGAAGTACAGTATAATCGAAAAAAAATCGGCGTTCAGTTGGCTTGGAAATGACGACCGATGACATTCTCTATATAATTTTACATACATATTAAATGACAGCAATCTTCATTTCATAGCCATCGCTGACGCCGTTTTTTTTTCGATAATATTGTATTAAAAATAAACGATAGTCTATAACTAAAACAGTACGAGTTAAAAATACTTTAATGTTAAATTTTGCTTTAGGTGTCCATTCTGGACTTGTAGTAGCTGGCGTGGTGGGTATCAAAGTACCCAGGTACTGCTTCTTTGGAGACACAGTTAATACGGCATCCAGGATGCAGTCAACAAGTGCAGTAAGTAAAAAATTACAGAGTCTAATTTATACATATTTATATAATCCTATTTTTAAAAAATAATTATTTAAAAAAATCTCATATGTTGTCAACTTTATTTGTGGCACTGTAAATAAAATCTACATAAATAAATGAATATTTTTAGGATGGTATGGTTCATATATCACAGTCAACAAAAGAGTTTCTCCCAAAGGATAAATATATCATCAGAACCAGAGGTTTAGTCAAACTGAAGGTAAGTAATGTAACAATTCCCTTGTGGAAAATTCATATCGAAAATTCAGACGCTTAAAAGACTGAAATTTGATAGAAACACTTTATAAAAATATACAATCAGTGATATAGGGTGGATGTTGGATCTTATATGGAAAACCGGTGATAGGATTTTAGAAAAATTATGAGAAAAAAATATAGTTTCGAAAAATGTAATAACATACCGGGTGTTCTATTTAAAACAACAAAAACGTTACTGCTTTTACAGGTGCCTTTATGTAAAAATCACCGGTTCTCCATAAACTCTACCATCACCCTGTATTTAAACAAACTAAAACTATTCTTTCTTTTATATACAGGGTAAAGGAAGTTTGGAAACCTACTGGATATTCGAAGACGACCTAACTGATGCCATAGATTAATTCAATGTTATCATCAAAAAATTTTGTGTCCTTTTTTTTCCTCCTAGTGATTATAAAGATACCAAATAAAACAAGTCATAAATCATGTATCACGTAATATTTTAGGTATAAAAATATATAATTAAGTACTTTGATATACAGGGTGTTAAATAAGGAAAATAGGTACTTATACCGGGTGCGTCTCAAAAGTGGCTCACCCCCTATAACTTTTTTATTTTTTCAGATAAAACAACGAGATTTGCTATGTTAGTATATGACATAAATTAGGATTGATTGACGTATTCAATTGTTTTTGGTCGCTTCCTGTTTCACCGGAAATGACTACAGCTTTTGATTTTTCAATGGCACCCTCGATTTATTTTTACTTTATTCGATTGAAAATGACACTCTGAATAGAATGACATATGTCAAGACATTTTCGCTTAAAAAAAATATCGTATTTTCATATTGGCTGTGTTAAAAAACACTAATTTTTAATCAAGAAGGCTTGGAAAAATAGATTTGATCATCTAATGTTTTTCGTGTCTTATTGGTTAAAAAAAAGCCCAAATCTTATTTTTAATCATATCTCATTTTTTTCAAATGGAACGAGGGTGGCTCATCAACATATTTGGAAAAAGCATTTTTTTACGAATAATTTGGTACCACACACTTGGTATTTCGAGTCAAATTGTCGTTATGAACCGCATGTTACAATTTCAAAACAAACCAAACCATATGCGAAAGTGTCAAAAGTTGACATATGATATGTCATTTTATTCAAAGTCTCATTTTCTATCAAATAAAGTAAAAATGTACCGGGGATGCCACTTAAAAATCAAAAGTTGTAGTCATTTCCGGTGAAACAGGAAGTGATCAAAAACAATTGAATACGTGAATCAATCCTAATTTATGTCATAGGTATATTAATACACAAAAACTCGTTTTTTTATCTGAACAAATAAAAAAGTTATAGGGGTGAGCCACTTTTGAGATGCACCCGGTATTCCTAATATTTAAAGGATGATTTTTTAAAATAATTTTATTAGGTACCTACCTATTTTTTCTTATTCCTATGAAATAGAATTTTCTTTTTTGAGTATAATTTTGTAGGAAAATCACAGTTTTATTATTTTTGCCTTTTTCCACACGATTTTAGAGCTTTCTCTCTATTTAACACCCCGTATATACCAATTATCTCTTACAATGTTTAAGAAAAAAAAATGTAATTAAATAAACAGTAAAGAGCACGAAACCCATCGTTTGTCCTAGTTTTCCTTGATACTACCTCTCCTAACTCAACTCAGTTATTGTTTGTTCACAAACTAACTCTAACTGAATGATGTCCATTGGCGATAAATATTCTTGCGTGTCCCGAACAATCGTCGATACACAAAACTTAATAGTATATTCTGAAATGGAACAGCTCAATTGACCTTCCCAGTTGACGTGTCCTGTCCGCTGGACTGGACATCTTAAGCAAGTCCAAAGGTCAGTCAGTAAGTGTAGAGGCTTTGAAGAGAGGTCATCGAAAACATATTATTCATCGTAGTGTTGAAAGTGTTTTAAAAAAATTGTTTTAAAAGATGTACGGGATGCTTTTGGAGTCTATTCAACATTATGTACAGGTGAGTCTTTGAGATTTATACAGGGGGTATCAGTAAAGTAACCAGACATCTATCAATGTATAATTTTTAGATGGAATACGGTGACGAAACTTGGAAAACCATCCTTAAAAAAGCCAATTGCAAGCATTCAGTTTTCAACACACATCAAATCTATCCAGATACTCTAGCCCTAGAGCTTGGCCATGCTTGTTCCGAAGTCCTTGGTGGAGATTACGAAGATTTCATCAACTTTTTCGGAAAATGTTTCATCAGATTCGCTGCAAAGTTTGGTTACGATGCCACCATAAGAGCTACCGGTCGATTTTTTACCGAATTCTTGGAAAGTGTTGATAACATTCATCATCAATTCAGTTTCACCTATCCCAAAATGAAGAGTCCCTCAATGTACTTGACTAATATTGATGAAAATGGATGTGTTTTGGTTTACAGGAGCAGTCGTGTAGGATACACACACTATATTATGGGTTTGTAGAAAAACAAAGCTTGGTTTTCAATTTTTCCTCTCATCTTTTTTTTACTTTTAGAAATTTTCGTATGATAAAAAAAAAGACGTCATAGTAGCCTTTGAAGTAATATTCGGTGATAATTTTTGTCGTACCGATTGCTATATTATTTACTAGATTATCTATTAAAAATTTTCCTATGATCGAAAAAAAAAATGATGTCATAGTAGCCTACGAAAAATTATTAGGTGATCATTTTTTGTCGTGCCGATTGCTGTCATTTTTTAAAAATTGACATAAGAAATTTATATTTAAAAAGAAATGTCAATAATCTATAGGTTTATTTTTCAAAATTTTCGTATGATAAAAAAAATGTCGTAGTAGCCTTGGAAGTAATATTCGATGATATTTTTTGTGGAACCGATTGCTATAATATTTATTAAAAATTAACAAAAGAAATTCATATTTAAAAAGAGATGTTAATTTTTTAGGTTTATTTTAAAAAATTTCCCTATGATCGAAAAAAAAATGATGTCATAGTAGCCTACGAAAAATTATTAGGTGATCATTTTTTGTCGTGCCGATTGCTGTCATTTTTTAAAAATTGACATAAGAAATTTATATTTAAAAAGAAATGTCAATAATTTATAGGTTTATTTTTCAAAATTTTCGTATGATAAAAAAAAAATGTCGTAGTAGCCTTGGAAGTAATATTCGATGATATTTTTGTGGAACCGATTGCTATAATATTTATTAAAATTAACAAAAGAAATTCATATTTAAAAAGAGATGTTAATTTTTAGGTTTATTTTAAAAATTTCCGTATGATCGAAAAAAATGATGTCACAGTAGCCTACGAAAAATTATTAGGTGATCATTTTTTTGTCGTGCCGATTGCTGTCATTTTTAAAAATTGACATAAGAAATTTATATTTAAAAGAAATGTCAATAATTTATAGGTTTATTTTTCAAAATTTTCGTATGATAAAAAAAAATGTCGTAGTAGCCTTGGAAGTAATATTCGATGATATGTTTTGTGGAACCGATTGCTATAATATTTATTAAAAATTAACAAAAGAAATTCATATTTAAAAGAGATGTTATTTTTTTAGGTTTATTTTAAAAATTTCCCGTATGATCGAAAAAAATGATGTCATAGTAGCCTACGAAAAATTATTAGGTGATCATTTTTTGTCGTGCCGATCGCTGTCATTTTTAAAATTGACATAAGAAATTTATATTTAAAAAGAAATGTCAATAATTTATAGGTTTATTTTTCAAAATTTTCGTATGATAAAAAAAAAATGTCGTAGTAGCCTTGGAAGTAATATTCGATGATATGTTTTGTGGAACCGATTGCTATAATATTTATTAAAATTAACAAAAGAAATTCATATTTAAAAGAGATGTTAATTTTTTAGGTTTATTTTAAAAATGTCCGTATGATCGAAAAAAAATGATGTCATAGTAGCCTACGAAAAATTATTAGGTGATCATTTTTTGTCGTGCCGATTGCTGTCATTTTTTAAAAATTGACATAAGAAATTTATATTTAAAAAGAAATGTCAATAATTTATAGGTTTATTTTTCAAAATTTTCGTATGATAAAAAAAATGTCGTAGTAGCCTTGGAAGTAATATTCGATGCTATTTTTTGTGAAACCGATTGCTATAATATTTATTAAAAATTAACAAAAGAAATTCATATTTAAAAAGAGATGTTAATTTTTTAGGTTTATTTTAAAAAATGTCCGTATGATCGAAAAAAAAATGATGTCATAGTAGCCTACGAAAAATTATTAGGTGATCATTTTTTGTCGTGCCGATTGCTGTCATTTTTTAAAAATTGACATAAGAAATTTATATTTAAAAAGAAATGTCAATAATTTATAGGTTTATTTTTCAAAATTTTCGTATGATAAAAAAAATGTCGTAGTAGCCTTGGAAGTAATATTCGATGCTATTTTTTGTGAAACCGATTGCTATAATATTTATTAAAAATTAACAAAAGAAATTCATATTTAAAAAGAGATGTTAATTTTTTAGGTTTATTTTAAAAAATGTCCGTATGATCGAAAAAAAAATGATGTCATAGTAGCCTACGAAAAATTATTAGGTGATCATTTTTTGTCGTGCCGATTGCTGTCATTTTTTAAAAATTGACATAAGAAATTTATATTTAAAAAGAAATGTCAATAATTTATAGGTTTATTTTTCAAAATTTTCGTTGATAAAAAAATGTCGTAGTAGCCTTGGAAGTAATATTCGATGATATTTTTGTGGAACCGATTGCTGTAATATTTATTAAAAATTAACAAAAGAAATTCATATTTAAAAGAGATGTTAATTTTTAGGTTTATTTTAAAAATGTCCGTATGATCGAAAAAAAATGATGTCATAGTAGCCTACGAAAAATTATTAGGTGATCATTTTTTGTCGTGCCGATTGCTGTCATCATTTTTTAAAATTGACATAAGAAATTTATATTTAAAAAGAAATGTCAATAATTTATAGGTTTATTTTTCAAAATTTTCGTATGATAAAAAAAATGTCGTAGTAGCCTTGGAAGTAATATTCGATGCTATTTTTTGTGAAACCGATTGCTATAATATTTATTAAAAATTAACAAAAGAAATTCATATTTAAAAAAAGATGTTATTTTTTTAGGTTTATTTTAAAAAATTTCCGTATGATCGAAAAAAAAATGATGTCATAGTAGCCTACGAAAAATTATTAGGTGATCATTTTTTGTCGTGTCGATTGCTGTCATTTTTTAAAAATTGACATAAGAAATTTATATTTAAAAAGAAATGTCAATAATTTATAGGTTTATTTTTCAAAATTTTCGTATGATAAAAAAAATGTCGTAGTAGCCTTGGAAGTAATATTCGATGATATTTTTTGTGGAACCGATTGCTGTAATATTTATTAAAAATTAACAAAAGAAATTCATATTTAAAAAAAGATGTTATTTTTTTAGGTTTATTTTAAAAAATTTCCGTATGATCGAAAAAAAAATGATGTCATAGTAGCCTACGAAAAATTATTAGGTGATCATTTTTTGTCGTGTCGATTGCTGTCATTTTTAAAAATTGACATAAGAAATTTATATTTAAAAAGAAATGTCAATAATTTATAGGTTTATTTTTCAAAATTTTCGTATGATAAAAAAAAATGTCGTAGTAGCCTTGGAAGTAATATTCGATGCTATTTTTTGTGAAACCGATTGCTATAATATTTATTAAAATTAACAAAAGAAATTCATATTTAAAAGAGATGTTAATTTTTAGGTTTATTTTAAAATGTCCGTATGATCGAAAAAAAATGATGTCATAGTAGCTACGAAAAATTATTAGGTGATCATTTTTGTCGTGCCGATTGCTGTCATTTTTAAATTGACATAAGAAATTTATATTTAAAAAAGAAATGTCAATAATTTATAGGTTTATTTTTCAAAATTTTCGTATGATAAAAAAATGTCGTAGTAGCCTTGGAAGTAATATTCGATGCTATTTTTTGTGAAACCGATTGCTATAATATTTATTAAAAATTAACAAAAGAAATTCATATTTAAAAAGAGATGTTAATTTTTAGGTTTATTTTAAAAAATGTCCGTATGATCGAAAAAAAATGATGTCATAGTAGCCTACGAAAAATTATTAGGTGATCATTTTTGTCGTGCCGATTGCTGTCATTTTTTAAAATTGACATAAGAAATTTATATTTAAAAGAAATGTCAATAATTTATAGGTTTATTTTTCAAAATTTTCGTATGATAAAAAAAATGTCGTAGTAGCCTTGGAAGTAATATTCGATGCTATTTTTTGTGAAACCGATTGCTATAATATTTATTAAAAATTAACAAAAGAAATTCATATTTAAAAAAGATGTTATTTTTTAGGTTTATTTTAAAAATGTCCGTATGATCGAAAAAAAATGATGTCATAGTAGCCTACGAAAAATTATTAGGTGATCATTTTTGTCGTGCCGATTGCTGTCATTTTTAAAAATTGACATAAGAAATTTATATTTAAAAAAGAAATGTCAATAATTTATAGGTTTATTTTTCAAAATTTTCGTATGATAAAAAAATGTCGTAGTAGCCTTGGAAGTAATATTCGATGCTATTTTTTGTGAAACCGATTGCTATAATATTTATTAAAAATTAACAAAAGAAATTCATATTTAAAAGAGATGTTAATTTTTTAGGTTTATTTTAAAAATGTCCGTATGATCGAAAAAAATGATGTCATAGTAGCCTACGAAAAATTATTAGGTGATCATTTTTTGTCGTGCCGATTGCTGTCATTTTTTAAAATTGACATAAGAAATTTATATTTAAAAAGAAATGTCAATAATTTATAGGTTTATTTTTCAAAATTTTCGTATGATAAAAAAATGTCGTAGTAGCCTTGGAAGTAATATTCGATGCTATTTTTGTGAAACCGATTGCTATAATATTTATTAAAAATTAACAAAAGAAATTCATATTTAAAAAGAGATGTTAATTTTTAGGTTTATTTTAAAAATGTCCGTATGATCGAAAAAAAAATGATGTCATAGTAGCCTACGAAAAATTATTAGGTGATCATTTTTGTCGTGCCGATTGCTGTCATTTTTAAAAATTGACATAAGAAATTTATATTTAAAAAGAAATGTCAATAATTTATAGGTTTATTTTTCAAAATTTTCGTATGATAAAAAAAATGTCGTAGTAGCCTTGGAAGTAATATTCGATGATATTTTTTGTGGAACCGATTGCTATAATATTTATTAAAAATTAACAAAAGAAATTCATATTTAAAAAGAGATGTTAATTTTTTAGGTTTATTTTAAAAAATGTCCGTATGATCGAAAAAAAAATGATGTCATAGTAGCCTACGAAAAATTATTAGGTGATCATTTTTTGTCGTGCCGATTGCTGTCATTTTTTAAAAATTGACATAAGAAATTTATATTTAAAAAGAAATGTCAATAATTTATAGGTTTATTTTTCAAAATTTTCGTATGATAAAAAAAAATGTCGTAGTAGCCTTGGAAGTAATATTCGATGATATTTTTTGTGGAACCGATTGCTATAATATTTATTAAAAATTAACAATAGAAATTCATATTTAAAAAGAGATGTTAATTTTTTAGGTTTATTTTTAAAAATTTCCGTATGATCGAAAAAATGTGATGTCATAGTAGCCAACGAAAAAATATTGGGTCATTATTTTTCGTCGTGCCGATTGCTATGTTATTTATTAAAAACTGACACAAGAACACAGAAAAAAGTTCTATTTTTTTGTCCTGTTCTTGTAGGAGCTTTGGAACAGTGTGCCAAGGATTTCTTCAAACTGCAACTGAACATCAAAGTGCTGGAAGAAGCCAGTTCGGCTACAGGGTCGAGAAAAAATGTCCTGGTTCATTTTCGGCTGGATTTTAAGAACAAACAATACGTAAGAAAGTTTTACAGTCCGTAAATTATAATTCAATAAAATAAACAATTAATTCGTAATTTTTGCCACGATCTTGAGTATTTTTGCAATGAATATGTGATATATGACGCAACAAACTCGATTTTTTGCATCACATATCACAAATTCAATGACACAAACCAATAAATATTTATACAGGGAGTAAAAAACAATAGTGTAGCAAATCTCAGTGAGTGAAACTACAGTTACAACCCTGGAAAGCCTTAACAGCCCTTACAGCCATCACTTGAAACATATCCTGTAAATTTTTAAAATTAGACTGCTTGATTAAAAATTGGTGTTTTTAACACAGTCATGGCACTCTAGATTGAAATTTGAAATACGATTTCGATAAAATACGACAATCAATCCTAATTTATGTCGTATACTAACATACCAAATTCGTCATGTTATCTGAGGAAATAAAAAAGTTATATTAATTTTTAAACAAACAGGGAATATTATTTAATAAACATTTCCTTTCCAGATGTTACACAAACAGTCAGCCAAGGAAAACGTATCCAGATTCGCAAAACTATCTCCATTTTCCTGCGATCTGCTAATGTCACTGTTCCCTTTCGCTGTCCTGCTTGACAGGAGCCTAAACATCATAGCTGTGGGCGAAAATTACGGGATGATATGGAACCCGGATAATCCTTGTATTAATAAACCCGTAGCAAGATATTTTAGACTAAGAAGACCAAAAGGTATATCGCTGACTTGGAAAAATGTAAGTTGACGAAAAATATCACAAAAAAACAGTATAAAAAAGTCTAATTTCTAGTTTATTTATTTTAATTATCTATTTTTTTCCTCAATATATGGAGTATCTTTATATTAAATGATATTTTTTTTAGTTAATGAATTTGCAAGCTGTGGTTTTTGAGTGGGAATGTAACAGAGGTTTCGAGACGTATGACGAAAATGCCACTCACGATGAACTAGACATCACAAACCCTAGCTACAAAAACTTCCTGCTACTCAAAGGACAAATGAAATACATCGAAGACATTAATGGCATGATTTTCTTATGCAGTCCTATGTAAGAACTGTTTAATACCTTACCACAGACATAAATTTGATATCTAATTCAGGAATCTTTATATTTTTGACTCAATTTTGGAATTAATGCTTGACATATAGAGAGTGTTCCAGGCTGAGCGTGCATTAGAACTTTCTAGAGAACTACAATATCTAGATCGGAGATTTTTTGCATTTCATTATTTCAAAACGAGATATATCTATTAAAACTATTTTTAATACGGCGACAGTACAGGAAATATCGGAAGTTGACAGCAACTTTCTTATTTTAAACGGGTATCCCCATTTTTTTGCATACTTAATTCTCTGTAAAATTTCATTAATTTTTGATATTAAACACTCAATACCTAACGTTAACCATTTTTGAGAAAAAAAATATATTTAAAGTTTTTGAACAAAAAAAACTGCCTGTCAAAAAATTTTGTATAGCCTAAACGTCAAATTTGGGGATTGCCACAGTCCCTGAGACATAAAGAGTAGATATGTGGCTATCTATTTCAAAAATTAAATTATTCAAATGTCATATAATATTGGTCGTAGCTCTCATGGAATTGAGCGATTAAAAAATTATCATAAATCATTTTTTTTTTCAAATGGAAACCTATTTTTTATTTCCCTGGTGAAAAGGGTCTTTAATTCGTTACTTTTTGATTATATTATGTTCCTATACCTAAAATAAATCGTTGTTAAAAATTGCATCTATTAAAAAAGTGCAAGATTTGCGAGTCTTCCAGCAAAGACCAAAACAATGTGACAAGGACCCTACAATAGCAAGTCCAAAGGACTCTTGGTCTTGTATTTGCCCATCACTATTCAAATTTTTATTCAAATCATATTTTCTTAGCATTAACGACATAGGAGAACTAAATCTACAATCTCTATACTTAAACGACCTAAATTCACATGGTTTGAGCAGAGAAATGGTCCTAGCAGGATGGCAACACAATTCAAAGTAAAAAAACTCAAAAACCTTAACATTTTCACTGAAAAAAACTTCAAAAACTTCTTTTTTAGACTCCAAATCATGTTTGACAAAGCCGAACAGAACACTGAAGAGCTAGAATCAAGCCACGACCTTCTAGATCAATGGAAGAAGCGTACAGACGATTTATTATATTCTATGATCCCTAAAGCTATAGCTGACAGGCTTAGAGCTGGAACATCAGCTTTGGATACCTGTGAAGTACCCAAAATACTTCAGGATATTCTACAATAATTATATTAATATAAAAGATTTTTAGTCCTTCAGTTCGGTGAGTATTCTGTTCTGTGAGTTGGTCGGTCTTCAGTCAAGCACTGTAAAGGAAACTATGGATGTCGTGACAACAATGAACAATGTGTTCTCTGCTTTCGATCAATTAATGGATAAATTCAACGTATATAAGGTAAAAAATACTGACTTTTGTGTTTTAAAGTACATATAATTAACCTACAGGTTGAAACAGTGGGTCAAGTATACATGGCAGCCGCTGGTGCCCCCGAAAGAACCGACAATCATGCCGAAGTAATGGCAGAAGTGGCATTAAGCATGCTGAAAGTTGCTAAAAACATCAAGGTGCCCATTGGACAGGAATTCAATGTTAAGATGGGTACAAATATGCCTAAAAACCTACCTAAAACTTAATAAAATGTATTTTTAGGTATGCAATCCGGGCCTGCAGTAGCTGGGGTAGTTGGTATCAAAGTACCCAGGTACTGCTTCTTTGGAGACACTGTAAATACAGCCTCAAGAATGCAGTCTAGTAGTGAGGTACTTAAAAATTTATTTTTAACATTTTTTTTCGCTATAATAAGGGATTATTTTATAGCCAGGAAAAATACAAATATCTCCTGAAGTTAAAAAACTCATACCAGAAGGGAAATTCAAGATAATACCGAGGGGAACAGTGAAAATCAAAGGAAAAGGTCAAATGTTTACGTACTGGTTACAAGAAAACTAAAAAATATCAGTTAAAGTACTGTTTACCCTCCGATAGAGAAATAAATTAAATTTATTTAACTACAAAGCATGCGGTGTTTTAGTCAATATTATTGTTGATATTAAATCTCAAAAATATAAAAACACTTACCTAGGATGTTATATTTCTTCATTCATTCCCGTGTTATCTATCGTATCTGGAACCATAATAACAACACTTTAATGTCACAATAATAATCAATCAGACCGTTTCATAATTATTTATAGGTACAATTGAGTACAATAATTAAAAAATAATAAACAAAATTTGAAAAAAAAAACAATTGTCTTGTCAATTGTCAATTTCATCTTAAATTTATTTAGGCCTTTAACGCCCATATATCATTAGATAGCTTCTGTGGCTTCGCTATAAAAGGAAGAATTATAATATATAGGCAACTAGTAAAATACCCGCATGTTTTTCTGGTTGCATAAGTGAACATTTGATTTTTATAAAGTTTTTTGTTATTTTTATTTATTATTTAATCATTATGTTCCTGCATTTTGAATATTTCAAATGAAAATACATTACACATTTCTTGCAGGTTGTTGTGCTGCTACAGCAGGTGCTTTTGGAAAATTAGCCGGTTTTTCAGGACTAGAGGTAAGTAAAAGTGGTGTTAAATAAACAAAATTTAGGTTATAACAACTGATGTTTTTTTACAGAATTACCTTATTCTACGTATAATATGTTTTGGGGCCATGATATTGTGTAATGCCGGTGTCTGGACATTGTTTGTTAAAGCTCTACATCAATCTAACACATCTTTATTAGTTACAGTAGTTAGTTCGTCATCAAACTATTGTTGTTCGGTAAGTATCTCGATTATCTGATGTTATGCAGATGAATTATACTATTTTTATGTTGTTTTAGGCTATGCTAGGATTTGTTTTCTTCAAGGAAGTGACTTCATTGTATTGGTAGATTGGAATGTTTTTTATTATTTTTGGTTTAAATCTCACTCTATCTGCAGATGATAAAACAGAAATCAAGCAGGATTAACTGACTACATAATATCAAATGTAGGTCTTTTTATAGTTTATTGAGGAAAGCCTCTAGTTTTTTTTATTAATTTATTGTAGGGTTTCTTAAAAGGGCCACTTCGATAAACAAGAAGAAAAAAGCAGTAGAATGATCAAGCTTATGTACGACAAAATAATATAGAGGTAAATAAAATTAGTAAAACTAAGATATAGCAAATATATTTGGTATATTTTATCATAATAATTGGTGTGTTATGGCACTGACTATGATGTATATTTTACTCTGTCTTTTGTAAATTTATCTTAAAAATGTATTTTTTTTATAGTAGTATTACTGTATCCAATTTTTCATTATATTGTACTGTTTTCTGTGTAATGTTGTTGTAAAATTCTTGCAATTTAATATAACATTCAACTTGTACTAGAGAATATAAGGATAAAAATAAACTTTCAGTTTATTTTAGGGTATTTAAAGCCTACTCTGTTTTAACATTTTTTGATCATGTTATGCTGATTTGTATATAGTTTTATTAAATTGTTACAGTTTAGGTATCATTCGGTCTTTAGTTATAATTATTTTTGATCATAAAAATATGATATATTTTTACAGATTAAAACAACGTTTGTTTTTTACTAGGACATTTAATGTATCATACGATTGTAAAAAGACGTCGGAGTTGGCTTGGAAATGACGATCGATAACATTCGCCATATAAATTTATAAATAAAACATCACCGATCGTTATTACTAATTTCTAAGGTAACTTGACGCTTTTTTTTATCATACGGTACTATATGCTCATTTCTACTTTGTTATACCGTATGATCGAATAAAAACGGCGTCAGCGATGGCTATGAAATGAAGATCGCTGTCATTTTATATGTAAATTCATATGGGAAATGTCATCGATCGTCATTTCCAAGCCAACTGGACGCCGTTTTTATTCGATCACACGGTATTTTTAGATTATGTGCTGTTTTGAAAATAATATATGATCTAAAAAATAGCGTCAAGGTATCTTGGAAATGATCATCGATAACATCCACCATGTAATTTTCATATAAAATGTCATCGGTCACCATTTCTAAGGTAAATTAACGCCGTTTTTTTTTCATCATACGGTAGTAATCACTCCGAATGTAAGTAATAGTAGTAATAGACATTTTTTGATCATATTTTTGCTGCTTTGTATGATCGAAAAAAAATGGTGTCAAGTTACCTTGGAAATGACGGTCGATATAATATACCATATAATTTTACAAAGAAAATGTCGTCGATGGTAATTTCTAAGAATACAATTTGTATTAACACTTTAATTCTGTTCTATTATAATATTTTTTGATCATATAATACTTACGCTGCGTTGTATATAATGTATGATCGAAAAAAAAACGCGCCAAGTTATCTTGGAAATTACGATCAATTAATTCTGTTCTGTTATAATATTTTTTGATCATATAATACTTACGCTGCTTTGTATATAATGTATGATCGAAAAAAAAACGCGCCAAGTTATCTTGGAAATTACGATCAATAACATTCGCCATGTAATTTTACAAATAAGTCATCGATCGTCATTTCTAAGCTAACTTGACGTTGTTTTTTTTTTCACTCATATGGTACTATGCACTCTGTATGTATTAACAATTTAATTCTGCTTTGTAATAATATTTTTTAATCATTTGTGTATGTAATACTTATTCTGCTTTGTATATAAGGTATGATCTAAAAACAGGTGTCAAGTTACCTTGGAAATAAACATTCATAACATTAAGCATTTTACAAATAATCTGTCATCGACCGTTGTTTCTAAGGTTACTTGATGCCGTTTTTTCGATCATGTGGTACTATACATGCAATTTGTATATACATTTTAAGCCTGTTCTGTTAAATTTTTTTGATCATATAATACTTGCTTATTTTATACTTACCTTATGATCGAAAAAGAAACGGTGTTGAGTTATCTTGGAAATAACTATTGATAACATCCATCATGTAATTTTCATATAAGATGTCATCGGTCACCACATTTTTTGATCATATTTTTGCTGCTTTGTATGATCGAAAAAAAATGGTGTCAAGTTATCTAAGGTAACTTTACGCCGTTTTTTTTTCATCATACGGTAGTAATCACTCCGAATGTAAGTAATAGAAGTAATGGACATTTTTTATCATATTTTTGCTGCTTTGTATGATCGAAAAAAATGGTGTCAAGTTACCTTGGTAATGACGGTCGATAAAATCTACCATATAATTTTACAAAGAAAATGTCATCGATGGTCATTTCTAAGAAAACATGACGCCTTTTTTTTAATCATTCAATTTGTATTAACACTTTAATTCTGTTCTGTTATAATATTTTTTGATCATATAATACTTACGCTGCTTTGTATATAATGTATGATCGAAAAAAAAACACGCCAAGTTATCTTGGAAATTACGATCAATAACATTCACCATGTAATTTTACAAATAAGTCATCGATCGTCATTTCTAAGCTAACTTGACGTTGTTTTTTTTTCACTCATACGGTACTATACACTCTGTATATATTAACAATTTAATTCTGCTTTGTAATAATATTTTTTAATCATTTTTGTATGTAATTCTTATTCTTCTTTGTATATAAGGTATGATCTAAAAAACAGGCGTCAAGTTACCGTGGAAATAAAGATTTATAACATTAAGCATTTTACAAATAAACTGTCATCGACCGTCGTTTCTAAGGTTACTTGACGCCGTTTTTTTCGATCATGTGGTACTATTATACATGCAATTTGTATTAACATTTTAAGCCTGTTCTGTTAAATTTTTTTGATCATATGTATAATACTTGCTTATTTTAGACTTACCTTATATGATCGAAAAAGAAACGGTGTTGAGTTATCTTGGAAATAACTATATTGATAACATTCACCATGTAATTTTCATATAAGATGTCATCGGTCGCCATTTCTAAGGTAACTTGACGCCGTTTTTTTTTTTCATCATACGGTAGTAATTACTCCAAGAATGTAAGTAATAGAAGTAATAGACATTTCTTGATCATATTTTTGCTGCTTTGTGTAATCGAAAAAAAAAATGGTGTCAAGTTACCTTAGTAATGACGGTCGATAAAATCTACCATATAATTTTACAAAGAAAATGTCATCGATGGTAATTTCTAAGAAAACATGACGCCTTTTTTTGTCATACAATTTGTATTAACACTTTAATTCTGTTCTGTTATAATATTTTTTGATCATATAATACTTACGCTGCTTTGTATATAATGTATGATCGAAAAAAAAACACGCCAAGTTATCTTGGAAATTACGATCAATAACATTCACCATGTAATTTTACAAATAAGTCATCGATCGTCATTTCTAAGCTAACTTGACGTTGTTTTTTTTCACTCATACGGTACTATACACTCTGTATATATTAACAATTTAATTCTGCTTTGTAATAATATTTTTTAATCATTTTTGTATGTAATTCTTATTCTCCTTTGTATATAAGGTGTATGATCTAAAAAACAGGCGTCAAGTTACCGTGGAAATAACGATTTATAACATTAAGCATTTTACAAATAAACTGTCATCGATCGTCGTTTCTAAGGTTACTTGACGCCGTTTTTTTCGATCATGTGGTACTATTATACATGCAATTTGTATTAACATTTTAAGCCTGTTCTGTTAAATTTTTTTGATCATATGTATAATACTTGCTTATTTTATACTTACCTTATATGAAAGAAACGGTGTTGAGTTATCTTGGAAATAACTATATTGATAACATTCACCATGTAATTTTCATATAAGATGTCATCGATTACCATTTCTAAGGTAACTTGACGCCGTTTTTTTTTTCATCATACGGTAGTAATCACTCCGAGAATGTAAGTAATTAAAGTAAGACATTTTTTGATCATATTTTTGCTGCTTTGTGTATTCGAAAACAAAATGGTGTCAAGTTACCTTAGTAATGACGGTCGATAAAATCTACCATATAATTTTACAAAGAAAATGTCATCGATCGTAATTTCTAAGGAAACATGACGCTTTTTTTCGATTCTACTGTACTGTACATGGCAATTTGTATTAACACTTTAACTCTGCTCTTTTATATTTTTTGATCATATAATGCTATAATATGTTTTATTTTTTTATTTTTGATCATATAATGATCATATTATGCTGCTTTGTTTATAACATATATGATCTAAAAAACAGCGTTAGGGTATCTTGGAAATTACGATCGATAACAACCACCATATTATTTTCATATAAGATCTCATCAGTCGCATTCTAAAGTTACTTGACACCATTTTTTTTCATCCTACCGTAGTAATCTTTCAGTATTTAATAATAAGTTTCAGCCTGCTTTGTATAAATATATTTTGATCATATAATACTTTTGCTCTTTTGTATAGTACCGTATGATCGAAAAAAACGGCGTCAAGTTTCCTTTGAAATGACTCGAATTGACAGACAGTAGCTGATAAATAACGCATTTTTGCGTAACGCATAACTTGACGCCCAGTTTTTTTTTCTACTTTATTATATTTTTTGATCAAATGTATGTATGCTGTTTTTTATATAACGTATGATTGTAAAAAAACGCCGCCAACTTACCTCGGAAATGACGATGGATAAGATACACCATATAATTATCATAATATAAGATATCATCGAGCGTCTTCTCTAAGGTAACTTGACGCCTTTTTTAGTTCATATATATTATACATTCAATATGTTCAGCGACAAGTTAGCTCGGAAATGACGATGGATAAGATCCACCATATAAGATGTCATTGTTCGTCATTTCTAAGGTTACTTCATGCCCTTTTTTAGATCATTCGCACAATTCGTTTAATATGTATTAGCAACTTCAGCCTGCACTGTTTTATTTTTTGATCATACAATGCTTAACTTACGCTGCTTTGTATATAGTCTATGATCGAAAAAAAAACGCCGTCAAGTTACCTTGGAAGTTACGTTTAATAACATCTACCATGTAATTTTACAAATATAAAGTCGTCAGTCACCATTTCTAAGGTGACCTAACGCCGTTTTTTCTTTCATCATACGGTAGTAATCACTACCTATGTAATAGAAGTAATAGAAATTTTTTGATCATATTTTTGCTGCTTTGTACCGTATGATCGAAAAAAAAATGGCATCAAGTTACCTTGGAAATGACGATTGATAACATTTACCAGAGAAATTTTACATATAAAATGTTATCACTCAATTCTAAGGTAACTTGACGCCGATTTTTTCTCTGTCATATGGTATTATTTTTATATCTTGTTTTAATCAGTCAGTAATAAAATTCTTTCTTTTTGTTTCAGATTCAGCATCATTCCACAGTCCAAACGGGCCAAGGTAACTTGACGCCTGTTTTTAGTTCCTCCCACATCGGATTATATTTTGAACTTATTTATAAATTTTTATTGTGTGTGATGTATTATTACTTTTTAATAAATGAATATTTTGATTAAGACTTGTTTTATTTGAAACTTATGTAGTATTTACCTCCTTGCTCTTATATGCTCCTGATACAAATCAGAGATTTCAATCAAATTGCACGAAATTTTTGAACTTGAGCGAAAAATTTTATTAAGTATTTACCTCCTCGCTCTTATGTACTCCTGATACAAATCCGAGAAAATTTAGCTTTTGACCAAAATCGCACAAAAATTTTTAAATCTCGTCCAAAATCGCCAATTTCTATCAGGAACGCATAAGCTTGAAGAGGTAAGGAGCAAATTTAGCACCACTCGTAAATAAAGCATTTTTCAACGATATTTCTGCTATCTCTAGCACTTCGAACTCGTTTCCAAACTTCAACCCCTAATATCTCGGAAACTATAAGGGCTAGAGAGGAACGGAGGGCGGCTTTCGATAGGGAATTCAACCCTCTATAAGGGCCCAAGACGAGGGCGCGATCGGAAACAAAAAAAATTTTTGGCGAAAAATGAGGTAAGGGGTTAACCTTCCTTCATTTTTGCCCAAAAATTTTTTTTGTCTCCGATCGCGCCCTAATTATGCACCCTTATAGAGGGTTGAAAGGCGAATCGAATGCCGAGTTCCGTTCCTCGATAGCTCTTTTAGTTTAGAAGTAATGGCAGTTTTTCGAAAAAATCTAACTGATTCTAACTCGTTGGTCAGGTACTCCAATTTTTGCCAGGTCGAAATTATTTTTGGGCGGTTTTGTCAAAAGCGGAGAAAATTTTAATTTGTATCAGGAATATATGAGTGCGAGGAGGTATTTTTCGATACCAGGAGCAGGCGTTGCATTCACCATTTTGTCAAGTATTTATTTTATTTATTTTTACCTCCTTACTCTTTATGTTCTCCTGATACAAATCTCCAAAATTTCGTCTTTTTAATCAAAATTGCGGCACCATTTTTAAGTATCAAAAATCACCGACTTTTATCAGGAGCACATAAGGGTGAAGAGGTAATAAGATAAGGCATTTATTATTATTTTGAAGATCTAAAAATTAATATTCTTTAGTAATTGTTTTCTTTTATGCCATTTTGTAACATATTTTCAAGTATACCAAGGGAAATAAAATACCAAGTATTTACTAATTCGAAATTTATTTATACTATACAATGTACAAATATAAAATAAATACAATATACAAGGTATATATAAAACATGCACGTAGTGGACCTGGATCAGTCAGATGTAGATAGAAGCTCCTGAAAAGAAAAAGAACACAAAATTAATATTTAACTTATTAACAATAATATTTTTACTACTAATACCATGTGATCGAGAAAAAAAAATGGCGTCCAAATGGCTTGAAAATGACGAACGATTATGACATTCACCACATAATTTTACCTGTAAAATGACAGCGATCTTCAGTTGATAGCCATCGCTGACGCCGTTCTTTTACAGTCACATTATATATGATTATATATGATGATGCTATTACATATTGAGTGTATCGTATATATTATGATCTAAAAAAAGACATCAAGTTACCTTAGAAATGACGCTCGATGATATCTTATATGGTGGATCTTTTCGATCGTCATTTCCGTGGTAACTTGAAGCCGTTTTTTTCTCGAATATACGTTATATACAAAACAGCATAAGTATATTATATGATCAAAAAAAGAATAACAAAGAGAAATGACTGTATTACCGTAAAATCGCAAAAAATGCGTCAAGTTACCTTAAAAATACCGGTCGATGACGTTTTATTTTTAACATTTATCTGCGAAATATGTAGATCACTTGTTATTTCAAAGGAAACTTGACGCCGTTTTTTTTCGATCATACGCTATATTACAAAGCAACGAAAGTATTATATGATCAAAATATTTTAAAACAGAGCATGCTGAAACTTCTAATAAACACGGAGTGATTACTACAGTAGGACGAAAGAAAAACGGCGTCAAGTTACCTTAGAAATGCAATCTGCGACGCCGTTTTTTTTTTCGACCATATTGTATTTTATGATTAAGATGCTATTACATATTGAGTATATTATAGTATATATGATCTAAAAAAAGACATCAAGTTACCTTAGAAATGACGCTCGATGATTATTTTATATGATAAACTGTATAGAGCCGTTTTTTTTCGATTATACATTATATACAACAGCATAAGTATCTCAATATAATCGAAAAAAAAAAAATGGCGTCCAGTTGGCTGGGAAATGACGATCGACGACATTTCCCATATAATTTTACATATAAAATGACAGCGATCTTCATTTCATAGTCATCGATGACGCCGTTTTTATTCGATCACACGGTAGAAATGACTGTATAGTAAAAAAGGCGTCAAGTTACTTTAGAAATTGATGACGTTGTATTTTTGTAAGTTTTATTTGATAAATGTAGGTCAATCGTCATTTCAAAGGTAACTTGAAGCCAATTTTTTCGATCATACGGTTACTATACAAAGTAGCAAAAGTATTATATGATCAAAATATTTTAAAACAGAGCAGGCTGAAAATTCTATTAAATACTGAGTGATTACAACCGTAGGATAAAAAATAATGGCGTCAAGTTACCTTAGAAATGCCATCTCCGACGCCGTTTTTTTTTTCGATATTGTACTTCAGCTAAAAACAATACTATTAATATACAAGGTGGCAGAGTATGTGGCCTAGGATAGCACACACTTTAAAAATATTCTAATTAATCAATATACAGGGTGTTTCAAACTTATGTTCATCCTAAAGCTTTATTTTTTCACATTAAAAACTATAATTTATTTTCTGTTCAGTGAATTTGCCATAAAATACACATTCGAAAAATACCACAATGTTACAGAGTGTTTTTTTTAATATGACTATTCTTAGATTAAATTTTATGGTCAACTTATGCAAACTTATGTGAAACAAACAATTATTACACATTAACTAACCTTTTAGTTGTTATAGTAAGTAAGCTTTTAGTTATTACACATTAACTAACCTAGTTGCATTAATCAAGGATTCCTTTAAAACTTCACTGCTGTAACTCGATACTGATTTCTAGCCACCAACTTAAGGCACCAAGCACCAACTTATAGGGCACCGTATACCAATCCCATCCAGATGAATTGTTGATAATAAAACATCTTGAACTAATCAGCTACACTTCCAGGCATAGGTACCAATGTTTCCTGAAAAATATTATTACGGTTATATTATATAAAGCATAAATCTAGTGCTGTGTTGCAAAATATACTTTTGAAAATCTTATAATAAACATAACAGGTAACATACTTATAACTTACATATTTAGTATGTTCCTCAGAACCTGGAATAAGCCTTGGAATCTCTTGCCAGAGCTCTTGCCATCCCTTCGACTGTAAGTTCAGCACCTGTATCCTTTGATGGAGAGCTTCATTCTCAATTTTTTCCATCAAAATCCAAGTAAAACTGAAAATAAACACAAATATAAACATAGAATACGTTCTGAGTGGTAAAATATATATATTCTAAAGATACTTTTTTTATAAACTACGTACATTAGATTAGCTGTTTCATATAACTTAAGTTAAATTATTATTATATATTTCTATGAATCCGTATTCCGCAAATATCATCGTTCAGTTTAAATTCTACTAAGCTAACGAAAAACATTAATTTCACATTAATTTCTTAATATAAAAAGTAAAATAAGTAGGTTATTGAAAAAAAAAAACGAATAAACGTCAAAAAAACTGCGTTCAGCGACCTCTACAATATTTTCGTGGGGAATTTTGGAACTAATTTATTAACGTAACATGTGGCGCCATCTATAAGCGAGAAACTAAAACAAAAAGTATTTCTAGGACGTGGCGCCATCTATTTGTTAAAAGCTCTAATATAATCTTGAAAACTACTGGCGCCATCTAAGTAGTAATAGCTGTACTATGTAATTAAAGATGTGTGGCGCCATCTATGTATAAATAGTTATATTATATAGCACACGTGGCGTCACCTATTGGAAAATTACCGAACTATACTTGAGTTCGATTGTTTCGACATCTAGTGAGTAAACTATAAAACAAAATCTTTTTTGTTCATTACGATTTTTTCAAATATTTTAAAGTATCCAGCATATATTTGTGTAAATTAATTTCAATTAAACATTATTTGTAATAGAAAAATAGACTATATTACCATTATTAATCTAGTAAATAGATTGTAAAGCGTTTTTAAATCTTTGCTGGGATTAAAGAATTCTGTATTTTTTCTACTATTAAATTTCAGGAAAATGTTAAATAAAACACCCAAAAACTCGCAATAAATTCGAAAGTTTAATTTAACACATTATTTAGAGTTGTTTTATAAATGAGAATGCTATTTAAACAAAATTTTTTACATAAATTAATATAATCTGCGTTTTTCTAAGAACTATCAAAATCAACAGCTGATCACACATCACACGGATTTCAGCTGGAGTTCAACGTGTCAAAGGGTGTCAACAAAATATTTGAAATTCAAGTTGAAATTGATAAGCAAATGTTTATTTAAATGTGGCAAAATTAACTCAAACGTGTACAGTTCTATTTATATAAAGAAACTTAATATCAAGTCAGGAATAAGGTATGTTTTTAAGGTATTTATTTATACTTGAATATATTTAAAATAAATTACTTTTAGGTGCCTGTCTTAAAAAACTACAGTGCCGGTCTAACAATTAACTAAATATTGTTATAAGTAACATATTTTCAAGTAAAATGAAGAAAGGTAGGTTTATTTTAGAATAATATATGTTAAATTAATATACTTTGATGGTATACTTTCTTTCACCTAAATACCTTGTTATTCAAGGTTATTAGTATCATCAATGAATGAAGAAATACCATAAAAGATTAATTATAAATTAAACTTTTCAGCAGACACAGCAAACACCTTGAAATATGTAAGCCTGCTTACATTAACCCTGCAAAATGCCGTGCTAGGATTAAGTATGAGGCATGCCAGGACCAGGGAGGGAGACATGTTCTTTTCTTCAACTGGTAGGTGGGATATCTTCAATATCAATCTCATAAATCCAATGAAATTATTTCGTAAAACCTTAATTAAATGAGATAGTGTGTGGTAATCCTCTTATCTATGAACAAACATAAGAATAGAGTAGCTTTTTTTGAATTGATTGTATATTTATTACACCGGCACTTAAATTTATTGAGAAATAATTGATAATTTTTTTTTCTAGCTGTTTTGATGTCAGAAATTGTGAAACTCGTCACATGCCTCGGGATAGTATATGTTGAAGCAGGCGGTATACGAGGTCTAATAAACACAATAGACCAACAAATCATAAAACAACCTATAGACACACTTAAAGTATGTGTCCCCTCATTCGTCTATCTCATACAAAACAACCTCCTGTATGTATCAGCCTCACATCTCGACGCAGCAACCTACCAGGTGACCTACCAACTGAAAATCCTCACAACGGCAATGTTCTCGGTGTTTATTTTGAGGAGGTCTCTTCTCAAAACACAATGGCTGTCTCTGCTAACACTTATAATCGGTGTTGTCTTGGTGCAGTTAGCTCAAAGCAGTGAGCATTCCAATTCCAAAAATGCAGAGGGACAAAATAAGTTTATCGGTTGGTATAAATGAACTACTTCCATAAAAAATACTTTAATAAAATAATATTTTAGGTTCTATGGCAGCTTTGACAGCCTGTGCCCTTTCAGGCTTTGCTGGAGTGTACTTTGAGAAAATCCTAAAGGGTAGTGATGTGACAGTTTGGATGCGTAACGTCCAGCTGTCTCTGTGTTCCATTCCTTTGGGTTGGTTATCATGTTACTTATATGACGGACAGTTAATAAGTGAAAAAGGATTTTTCTTTGGATACGACAAGTTTGTGAATTATCTGATTGTCTTGCAAGCAGGAGGAGGCCTAATCGTGGCGGTAGTTGTTAAGTATGCCGATAATATTTTAAAGGGTTTTGCCACATCTTTAGCTATAGTGATCTCTTGTATAGGCTCTATATATTTATTCGGATTTGTATTGAGTTTTCAGTTTGTTATAGGGGCAGGTTTTGTAATATTTTCCATATTTTTGTACGGTTATCAGCCGAAAAAGCCTGTAGTAGACGTGACTGAATATAAAGTATAACAATATAACAGCTCTAAGAATAAATCTCATCCATAATAAACTATGGTAAAAGTATTATATTTTAAATTAAAATGATCATGTATGTATTTTATGTTATACTATTTAATGTTAAGTTTTAAATTAGATTGAGCTGTGAATAAAGGCATTTCTCAGTATCCAAGAGATTAATTTTAAGTACTTAAATATAATTTAAATTGTAAATAAAAGTTATTTTTATTTAATATATTTTTATAAATACAAATCTGGTTTTGGTATAAATATACAAAAGATTTAAGTTTTATATGTAGTTGATTTTATTTACTCACCTTTTTTGACTACCCTTATAAATGGTTCTGTAATAAGACAATTCTACTTGGTAACACCTCTTGCCTGCACACAGGGCAGTTTTGCTGATACCTTAAACTATCTTGCAAACAGTCCCAGCAAAAAATATGTCCACAGGGCGTGGCTGTGGGAGACTTATAACTTTCTGTACACAAAACACATCCTTTTTTTGATTCACTTACATTAACATTACTAGATGAAGATGTTTTGTATTTATCCAGACTAAATTCATTGTTAAATATAGTCAGTAAGATGTTTAAAATAACATAAAACAGAGAAATTTGACCTAATAAAGAGAAGCTTCCGCTAAATGACTTGTCTTGCATCCAGGGTCTCAATATAACCTACAAGATTATTTTGATTTAACAAAACTTGAAGAAAATTATAGTAATAAATACAAACATATTTAATTCCAGTTAGTCTGTTGGCTATGTTGTAATATTTTCCACCAATATAAAACAAGGAGTGATGTATCCATTTTAGATAAACTTTTTTCTCCTTAAAGAACTGGATAAACGATAGGAGTGTTTCTTTGGCATTATTCGTTAAAGAACTTGACTGATTCACTTGCTTCTCAGCAGCTAGTAAGGCCCTGTCTAATAAGGAATCTCCTCCTATATACATGATCAACCATATCATTTGTTTCTTCAAATCAAATATCTTAAATGTGTTTTTATAACGAAAAAAAAAAAAAAACTCACAAGTTTTGTTGGGATTCTGTTTTCATTGGTTGTTCTAAGCGTACCAGCGTATTCTTCACCTAACGTTTGTAAATTGCTCAGAGATGTGAGCCAATAATACCAAACGTTCGCTATAACAGGAACGTACAAACGAATTTTGTGATAAGTTCTACTGCTCAGGTACTTAAGAAACGAATGAAGCTGGCTTTCCAGATTTTTGACGAAAGCTTCGTCTCGTTGATTACAACGAATAATATCAGCTATTTCTGCTTTATAAAACTTCATATTTATAGAAATTATAGACCCTTTAAAAACATTATTTTTCTCAATGACTTTTCTGGAAAATTCAAAACAATTTTGTGAGGTTACTTTGTCATTCACAACATTGTCTTCTTTTTTGTTTAAGGGCCTTAAGCTACCAGAACTATACGGCCCGTAGAATGCTTTGGGTCATATTCAAGCTTTTGATTATAAATTTCTCATTTTGTAAATATTTTCTATTAATTTTTAAAAATACATTCAATAACTTAGTAATTTCCATCTGGATTAAATTGATCAATTAACTTTCTCCTGTAAAATCATATTTTTTTTTTGTGAAATTATATATGATTCAAAAATTCGCTGCTAACTTCATTGACGGCAATGCCATTGAAACGGTAGCCATATTTTTTTACTCTAAATAATTATTTTAAAAATGTACAATTTATTGTTTTGTATTAAACTAGTTGATAAAAATGAATGAAGTGCTAGTGCTTCACATACCTCAGGACTCGATATAACTAGAATAAGGCAATTTAGGTAAATTACTTAATAGGAAAATCGTTATTGTTTACATAATGTCACCACAATCAGAAGCGAGTCAATGAACTTTAAAAATTTAGACAATTTTTTGAATAAACTCGACTATACAAACCTATGAGGACTGTAGAGATTGTATTTTTATGGGTAATGAGACTGTTACCATCATGGAGACCGAATCTGTAAAGTCGGAAAACAGTTCAAGATCTAGACGGTCTCGCAGTCACAGGGACAGGAATAACTTCAGGCAACATTCTCACAGAAGTACCAGGTAAATTACTCGCTTTATTCTCAATATTTTATATTATTTTACCGTTTTATTTTGTTTAGGAGCAGTAAAAGTCGAAAAAACGACGACATGGCACCATTCCAGACCGCTGTAACCTTAACTCCGGACAACAGAGATGGACAGGAAGTCATCGAAGTCCAGATCCTACCTCAAGACGACAACTGGGGTGAAAACACTACTGCCATCACAGGAAACACCTCAGAACAGTCCCAGTCAACAGAAGACGTGAGTAACTGGCCTGGTGAGCCTGACACAGGCATAGGTTTCATGTGCCAGCGCTATGTAGGCGCTGTCATAACCTACGTCCTCTCAACCGTAGCTTTCCTTAGCCCCCTTGCCATGGTAGTTTTTCCAAAACTAGGCTTCTTTCCAGCACTGTCAAACAGACTAGGACTAGCCGATGGAGACAGACTCTTAGCTTGCGGAGCTGAATGTAAAGGCCAGCTCGTTTCTTTAGCGTTTAAAATGACCATTTTAGCCATAGGAGCGTGGGCGGTGTTTTTAAGGAAGCCCCACGCCACTTTACCCAGGTTTTTCCTGTTTAGAGCTGGAGTTTTAGTGTTTGTTTTGGTCTGTACTTTCTCATATTGGTTGTTTTATATTGTTCAAGTGACTGAGACAGCTAGAGCTGCCACAACACCCGAAGAAACGGTTGATTATAAGGCTCTAGTTGCTTATGCTTTGAGTTTGACCGATACCTTACTGTTTATACACTATCTAGCAGTAGTTTTGGTTGAAATAAGGCACTTACAGCCATTGTATTATATTAAAATAGTCCGGAGCCCTGATGGGGCTAGTAAAGCCTACGGTATCGGTCAGTTAAGTATCCAAAGAGCAGCTGTATGGGTCCTGGAAAAATACTACACAGAATTTCCGATATATAACCCATATTTAGAACGAATTCCTGTATCAAAATCACGCAAAACTTCAACTAGTTTCAAGTTTTATGAGGTAGATGGTGTCAATAACACTCCAATGCAACAATCTCAATCTAGGGCTATGCTAGCTGCTCATGCTAGAAGACGGGATTCTAGCCACAATGAGCGTTTCTATGAGGAGCATGAGTATGAAAGAAGAGTTAGAAAAAGGAGGGCTAGATTAGTTACAGCAGCCGAAGAAGCCTTTACACACATCAGAAGGCTTCATCACGATCAAATCTCAGCTATACCGATGGATCCTCACGAAGCAGCTCAGGCAATATTCCCTTCTATGGCCCGCTCTTTACAAAAATACCTCAGAATCACTCGCCAACAACCTCGCCATACTGTCGACTCGATTTTAGGTCATTTAGCCCACTGTCTTAGTCACGATCTCACTCCCAGGGCTTTTTTGGAACCATTCCTCGTCACTGAACCCGTTCTGCAGAACGATAAAGAACAGAAAGGGGTTCAGACGTGGGCTCTGATTTGCGAAGAGCTTCTCACAAGGCCTATAGTGGACGGGGTGTCGTTTCAGTTGAGGCAAAACGACGTTTCGTTGTTGTGCGTCATAAAAAAATTGCCCCACTTCAACGTGACCGAGGAGGTGGTGGATCCGAAAAGTAACAAGTTTGTTTTGAGACTGAACTCCGAGACGTCGGTATGACCTTTGTACACATCCCTCGATCGACTGATTTAGTTTGTTTAAGTTATATCGGTTTAGTTTAATTTTTTTAATAGGCAGAATTCGTATTTAAAAAGAATTAGTAATTTTATAGATTTATTTTTAGAAATTTTCGTACGATCGAAAAAAAAACCTGTCGTAGTAGCCATTGAAGTAATATTCGATGATAGTTTTTGTCATATATATTTAAAAAGAAATCTTAATTTCATAGGTTCATTTTTAAAAATTTCCGTATGATCGAAAAAAATGACGTCATAGTAGCCTATGAAATAATATTGGGTGATGATTTTTCGTCGTGCCGATTGCTGTTATTTTTTAAAAATTGACCTTAGAAATTCGTATTTAAAATTAAGTAAATAAAAAGAAATGTTAATTTTATAGGTTTATTTTTCGAAATTTACGTATGATGAAAAAAAAAGATGTCGTAATAGCCTTTGATATTCGGTGATAATTTTTGTGGGACCGATTGCTGTAGTAGCCTTTGAAGTAAACAAAATTTTCACTGAATAGATAATTTTTGTCATTTATAAAGAAATCTTAATTTTATAGGTTGATTTTTAAAAATTTCCGTATGATCAAAAAAAAATTATGTCACAGTAGCCTACGAAATAATATTGGGTGATCATTTTTTGTCGTGCCGATTGCTGTTATTTTCTAAAAATCGACATAAGTAATTCATATTTAAAAAGAAATGTTAATTTTATAGATTTATTAAAAAAAAAGATGTCATGGTAGCCTTCGAATAATAATAATTCGGCTCGTAATTCTCTGTTATTTATTAAAAATTGACATAAAAAATACATATTTAAAAAGAAATGTTAATTTGATCGGTTTATTTTTTAAAATTACGTTACTGTTCATCTTCATTGTCATTTAAGGGGTTGTTACGACGGCTTTTTTTTCAATTATATTTCATACGATCAAATAAAACGACAACCCAGTTAACGTTGAAATGAAGATCCCTGCCATTTTATATTCAAAAATTTTATTCTGCATGTTAACGATCCTCATTTCCAAGCCCACTTGACGCCTTTTTTTCGATCATGCAGGTCTTGACGTATTACTGGTGGTATACTTAAAGGGGCTAAAATATTTGTACTCTGGTAAGCACATAGATCAATAATTTTTTGTTCCTAAGAATTCTGCCTTTTTATGACATAACTATTTTTATTTAACACAAAAAATATATACAAGGTGTTCAGTTAACTAAACATAGTATTATTATTTAACTCGAAAATAGAGCCATTTCTCTAAAACAAGGACTTATTTTTTTATATTTTATACACGTAAGTACTTTTTTTCACTGTTCTACTTAAGTTCTTTACATTCCTTATTTTTATCTAGTTAATATTCTAGTTAGACTACTCGAATCTAGTGTTTAAGTGTCAAAAATTATTGACATATCAATTTTGTATCCAAGAAAATGTTTAGAACGAAGTAAGATATCTTTGAAGAGATCTTTTTAGATAGGTAGTAGGACGAAATTTTTTGAAATCTATTTTAAGAATAACAATTTTTTTATTGTTGTTTGACCAAAGATACTCGGTAGATAGGTTAAAAATAAAATGGCAATAGGAATATATTTTTTCGGCCATTTCTGGCATCATTTTTATAAAGGATGCCTTAACATATTGTGCCTCAACTTAGATGTAAACTTGAACAAGAACAAAAAAATAACAAAATATCAACCCAAAAGCACAAGTTGTTATTTTTCTACAATGCACAAGAAACTAAACAATAAATAAAATATTCATATTTCTTTTTTTAAGTAATATTCATATCAATAAATATGTAATTTATTGTAATTGTATCTTTATATTTCTTAAAATAATAAAACAATTCATGTAGGGTGTTTTCTACGTAAGGTAAATTATTTAGAATTTTAGAATCAGAGTTAAAAAATGTTGCGCCTTACTTAGATTACACCCTGTATATACACAAATATTTTAAGCTGAAGTCATGTTGTGATATTACGTTTTCTGTGACGCTCAATTTTTTTCACTACTTATATACTACTGTACTTAATTTATTTTCTCAAGTAACTCATAAGAATCTTGCACAATTACTTTTAAGGAATATCTGCTAAAGCCACGTCTACACGTTACGTTTTACTTGTCAGGAAAGACGGATTAAAGAGATTAAGGAGTGTAAATAATAATTTTTAAATATCTGTAAACAATTTTGTAGAATTACTTTATTTTGTGCAACACAACATATTAGATTTTTAACTCGCTCGATACGTTTTGATTGAACAGGTAAAACGATACGTGTAGGAGGGGCTTTATAAGGAATATCTGTAAAATATAAGGTTGTAATCTTTAATACTCATGCGCTATGTACAATTTTGATGACCTTGAAGTGATTTTATAAAATTTTCGAGTGTTTTATCTTATCAATTGGGTTACTAATATTTGCGAAAAATACCTAATGATTTAAGTATGTACTTTTTTATATTTTTGTAAATAAATATATAATATCACTTAGGAATCCTTACAACGATTGAAAGACAGCTAAAATTTACTCTAAATATTCAATAAAAACAAAAAAGTATTTAAAACAGAGCCGTACTAAGATGTCTTTTGTTCGTTGTATTATTTTTTAGTAAATTTAAAAAAATAAAGGTTGTAATATGTAACTTGCGTGCAATTTGTATTGCTCTAGGTTTGTAAAAAGAGTGAATTATACAAAATATTAATAAGCATTTTTGTAACTTTTTATGAAAAAGTTTTATGGAAAAATGTGACAAATGTGTACACTGTATGATATTTGTATGGATTTTTTTAAAATAAAAAATGTATATCGTATTATTTTTGTTTCAATATTTTCTTCCTGCAACAGTATGTTTTTTATTTTTTTTTTGATTTTTAATTTATGAAAAAGATAAAATGTAAAGAAATACCAAGCCTGGCTTTTTTCACTACTTATATACTAGGTACTGTACTTAATTTATTTTCTCAAAACTTTTCTCTACTAAAACACAGACTAAAATTTTATTTTTTACACAAAACATGTAAAGCTTTGCATTAGATTTGTTAATATCATGCAAAAAATAATTTTTAAAACGGTAAAAAATTTCAAAGTTAAAAAAAACCGTTAAACCTTACCGTTTTTGAGATATTTTCAATTTTGTGAAATTGCAGTAAACATTTTAAGGCTTCATTTCTCCGAGGGTATCAAAGTTTTTAATACTAAATATTTACTGAAGTTTATTTATTGATCAGTTATTGTGTTGCAATAATAAAAATAATACTACCTCATACAGACTGTCTAAAAATTTATTTTAAATAATTTCTAACTTTAAACGGCAGTAACTTGTTTAATTTAAATGAAACATCCTGTATATTTTAGGAGAATCAGATGCAAAATTTAATTGTCTATCAAATTGTATTGTACCATTATTTACCTATCCCTTCAAGTTTTCGTAGAAAGTACATTTTCTTATAATTTAGACCTCATTTATCAATATACCCATGGAATATTGACATTTTAGATTGTTTGAATGATATGGATGAAATCATGGAGATCTTAATAGTCAAGCAATGGAAGACTCCATTCGTAACCTGGAATGGGAATACTAAAACGGCCTAAGACACTCGAATAAATTACTCAGAACTTTAGTTAGGGGTTGAATGGGCTAAGTTCGTCTCTGAATCAAAATTTTGCAATATTAAAAACCCCCTTTCCTGTTACCTATTTACGAAAACTTCTCAAATCCCAAAAGCAAATAGAATAAATCATATTTCCCGTTCCTATCGTTTTGTATCTTACTGATAACACAGAAATAATGAACAAACACACTTGCCAGATATATCTTTATTAAATTATAGCTATTTATTTTATTTACGATAAGTACTTACACCCAAACCACCGCGTCTATGTCCTTAAAGTACGAAAAATGTTTATTCGCTATGGAATTTTAGTTTTTCTTCTGGTTTTCCACCGGTCATCCAGCCTGGAACCGCTGTGCTCAAGTGGAAAATTCAGAGACAAATGTTTGTGCAAGAAAATCATCAATGAAGACACCAAGCTACCCAGTGCAATGGCCGAATGCACAGCTCTATCCCTCAAGATGTTCCCCAGCTCAGAACAGTTCCCCAGCAACCTAACTCTGAGCATCCTGGATCTGAGTTTGAACGAAATAGACACTTTGGATCCTTCAATTGTTGATGCACCGACAACATTAAGACGCCTAGTGTTATCTTACAACAAAATCAACTACATCAACACGAATTTTTTCGTTAAAATGACTGACTTAAGATACCTGGATCTCAGTCATAACAACATAAAATCTCTGGATAATAGCAATGTTTTTTCGTCTAACGCAAACTTGGTGCATCTGGAATTGAGTTTTAATCAGTTAATAGAGCTACCTCAAGGGATTTTTCAATCTCTTCCCTTGAAATACCTGGATATAGGGTACAATAATTTCGGAAACTTTATGACAAATGGTTCAAAGGACATTCTGGATAGTTATTTGGGAGTTAATACATATTTAACGCATTTAAAATTGAATAATCTGTCTTTGAAAGAGCTCCATCCAGATTATTTTACACAATACACTACTTTAACACATCTGGAGATCATGGACAATGGTTTTGAAGTAATTCCTTCGGTACCATACTCAGTAGAATACCTGGATGTATCTGGAAATAATCTAACATATTTATCAGCGCGTCATTTGAACTACCACTCTCTTAAAGTGCTGAGAGCTAGCAGAATGCCAAGCCTCGCATCCATTCATCACTATGCTTTCTACAACTTACAAGCTCTGGAAAAGCTTGTTATAACTGACTGTCCAAATTTAAAGGAGTTTACTGAGTTGGCTTTTGGACTGGCATCAAAAACCAAAGATATTCACCCCAAAAGTTTGATTCTAGCTAGAAATGGACTGACAACTCTCAATTCGACTTACAGGTTTATGTTTCGGCATATGGAACACGTGAATTTGCTGTACAATCCTTGGTACTGTGATTGTGAGATCCTGTGGTTGCAGGAATTTGATAATGAGTTGTTCGACGGTAAACAAATCAGGTAAAATATCAAAATACTTATTTAGCTTTAAAAATACAACTTAAACAACTTAAAATCTCTTTAAGGTGTGCTTCACCGCAAGATTTGAGAAGCAGGAAGATTCTGGAGCTAAAAGACGAAGATTTGGTTCACTGTCATCCAGAAATCTATGGAAAACATTCACATAAAGTCCTGATAGTGGGATTGATGGGCGTGATTATAGTTTTGGCAGCGTTTATACTGTTTCTTATTAGATATCCGGGATGGTTAAACCCCAGAAGAATCGGAGTAGGCCCTGAGTCACCCTACAGTCCCGCTCCCCAGGAAGATAATCATATTTAAAAATTATTTAATTTTTTTGAAAATATAATTTTTTTGTACTCGTGTATATGCCGGATAGCCTAAAAATACAGGGCACAGACTACAGACAATTTAATCTTTACTGTATCGATTATAATTATTATTTTTAATATGCTAAACGCTCTAAAATTTGGTACATCCTGTATAAAATATAGCTCGTAATTTTATTACTTTTATAATACTACATATTTAATTAAGATTAGTTATTAAATAATTTTTATTTATTAAATGTTATGGAATGGCCTAAATTAACTGCATTTTTAATGGGAGTTAATAAAGAAGAATATTATTATTTATTATAGTTAAATTTACTTTTTAAATAAATTCCTTCACCATTTTGTCAAGTAATAATTTTAAATCCCTAAAAATCACACTGTAATGTACGAATATTACACTTTAGTAAAAGAAATATTATGTTTTTATAATCATTTATTATTATTGGTTACTGACTAATGTACAGGGTGGCTCGAATTCGACGCTCATCATTGGGATTTCTGAAACCGTAAGAGATACAGGATCGGTTAAATGGAGGCAAAGTTCCGCAATTTGATGCTCAATTTTTATGCATTTTTGCCGTATTGCATTTTTATTTTTTATTTTTTTTTGCTTAAAATATTCTGGTGATGGAATTTTCTGTACGAAACGTCGGCAAATATCAAAGTGACTATATACCGGGTGTTGCATCGTCGAGCGGGACATAGGAAATCCCATGTAAATTTTAATGGGGTCAATTATATTGGCTTCCCTAATTATTTTAGAGAATAATTCTATTTAGGTTTATTGAAGAGCACTAAAACCTACATTCAAAAGAATAACTTTAGATATTTTTGATTAGCTCGTTTACGAGTTATCGCCGATTTCTTTTTAAATATTTCTCCTTTCTTATGGACCTGTATTTACTTATAAGCACCAGTCAAGGTAAAAGATAACTGTCAAATGAAGTTGTCATTTAATAGTACCTAAATTAATAAGTTATTGAATATTGTAATAATACTATAATTATCCTTGTAATTGATTAATTTATTTTACTTTAATTCATATTAATTTGTATTTATAAATACATCTTTAAGATTTCCGATGTAGGAATGAGTTTTCAATAATAATAAAGCACTAAATAGGTAAATTTCTGAAATGACAACTTCATTTGACAGTTATCTTTGACCTTGACTGGTGCTCATAAGTAAATACAGGGACATAAGAAAGGAGAAATATTTAAAAAGAAATCGGCGATAACTCGTAAACGAGCTAATCAAAAATATTTAAAGTTATTCTTTTGAATGTGGGTTTTAGTGCTCTTCAATAAACCTAAATAGAATTCTTCTCTAAAATAATTAGGGAAGCCAATAATTGACCCCATTAAAATTTACATGGGATTTCCTATGTCCCGTCCGACGATGCAACACCCGGTATAGTGTTTTAAGAGTGATGAAAGGATTTTATTAAATTGAAAAAAAAAAATCAGGTCCGTATTTAAAAAAAAATTAAGTTGATGATTTGGTTTGGTTTGGTTCAATTTTCAAAAAAAAATAGAAAACTGAAAAAAAAAACTTTTAGTAGTAGTCGATTTTTTTGACTCACCCTAATATACATAATATATATCATTATCTACCACATTAAAAAAAATATTAAAAATATAGTAGTTATAATACATATTTACTGTAAATTTTATCACAATAAACTGCATACAACAATTAAAAGAAAAAAAACACCCCTAGCTTGTTCAAAACATAAATAGTAATACAACACTAAAACAACAAGCCTTAAAATTGTTTTAAGCTCTTCCTCACTCTAGGGGAGACCCAAAACTATATCCCCACACCCCTACACATACCGTGTATTACAACTAAATCCCCCTGTATACACAAACCGTCAAAAAATCATCTCCCCATCTCAAATCCGCCCAACAACCAACGCTAAAAGATTACATCGTGTCCCAGGATTAAATCTAATGCTTTTTAAAGAGAAAGCAAACACACATCTCCCCTAATTTCTATTCTGCGCTGCCTCGCAGTTTTAAGTCGCGTCTCAAAATACCAGGGCTTCCCCTAGTTTTTTTTCTTTTTAGTAAGTTTCGTGAGAGGGGATGTGTGTTTGTTATGTTACAATTACTCTATCGACACCTTGTCTAGGGCTGTTGTCAGTCGATATACAGGGGTAGTAGTTTGATTGGGGCTTAAAGTCGCCGTTGTAGGGGATTGGTGACAGCGGTAATAAACCGTGAAATCGGGAAGTCTTGACCGGGACGTGTTAAATGTTGTTGTTACCCGGGGTTACTCTATTAATTAAAATCATATTGGTTGTGGTTGTTTGGAGGTGATAGGCAATGTTTTACTCGATAGAAAATTGTCAACTCCGTGGTTGCCGTCAACTCTGTGGAGTAAATATTCGATGCTCCGCACCATATGATTTACCTGAACAGAAACGTAGACATTAGCAAATTCACAAACCTTATTGCATTTTTAAAAAGAAAATTCCGGATATCAGACAAAGAAATCAAAAGTATTTACAAAACTGGAAATAGAACGCTTTATGAAAGAAGCCAATGACAAAGAATTCCTGTTAGCTAAAGTTGTCTTAATCGTTGGAGGATTTGGAGTATGTAGTAGGAAGAAATCACTTTTTGACCGTAGATGCCATTAAACATTGTCAGTCATTTATTAGTGTGAAAATTTCGAATACAAAAACTCATTTTCCAAGAGTGTTTGCGATTATTAAAGGACCAATAGATGGTATCAATTTCTTACATGTATTTCGTAAGTACGCAAAACTTCGACCACTCAATGTGACACATCAAGGTGCGTATTCATTATCCGAACGAACGAACGAACGAACGAATGAAAGTGCGGTATATTTAGACGGGGACCGAACGCATGCGGCCGTTCGTTCGGTCGTGCGCTCGACCATCCGCTTCGAGTCGGTACATCAAAGGCGTTCGCCTGCGTGCGCTTTCAGATTTAAGGTGCGTATTCATTATCAGAACGATCCGAACGAACGAACGAACGAACGAACGAATGAAAGTGCGGTATATTTAGACGGGGACCGAACGCATGCGGCCGTTCGTTCGGTCGTGCGCTCGACCATCCGCTTCGAGTCGGTACATCAAAGGCGTTCGCCTGCGTGCGCTTTCAGATTTAAGGTGCGCATTCATTATCCGAACGAACGAACGAACGAACGAACGAATGAAAGTGCGGTATATTTAGACGGGGACCGAACGCATGCGGCCGTTCGATCGGTCGTGCGCTCGACCATCCGCTTCGAGTCGGTACATCAAAGGCGTTCGCCTGCGTGCGCTTTCAGATTTAAGGTGCGCATTCATTATCCGAACGAACGAACGAACGAACGAACGAATGAAAGTGCGGTATATTTAGACGGGGACCGAACGCATGCGGCCGTTCGATCGGTCGTGCGCTCGACCATCCGCTTCGAGTCGGTACATCAAAGGCGTTCGCCTGCGTGCGCTTTCAGATTTAAGGTGCGCATTCATTATCCGAACGAACGAACGAACGAACGAACGAATGAAAGTGCGGTATATTTAGACGGGGACCGAACGCATGCGGCCGTTCGATCGGTCGTGCGCTCGACCATCCGCTTCGAGTCGGTACATCAAAGGCGTTCGCCTGCGTGCGCTTTCAGATTTAAGGTGCGCATTCATTACCGAACGAACGAACGAACGAATGAAAGTGCGGTATATTTAGACGGGGACCGAACGCATGCGGCCGTTCGTTCGGTCATGCGCTCGACACATAAAAGCTGGTCGGTACATCAAGGCGTTCGCCGCCTGCGTGCGCTTTCCAGATTTAAGAGTGCGTATTCTTATCAGAACGAACTTGAACGGTGAACAGACGAACGAATGAAAGTGCGGTATATTTAGACGAGGGACGGAACGAATGCGGCCGTTCTGGATTCGGTCGTGCGCTCGACCATCCGCTTCGAGTCGGTACACATCAAAGGCGTTCGCCTGCGTGCGCTTTCAGATTTAGGTGCGTATTCATTATCCGAACGAACGAACGAACGAATGAAAGTGCGGTATATTTAGACGGGGACCGAACGCATGCGGCCGTTCGTTCGTTCGTGCGCTCGACCATCCGCTTCGAGTCGGTACATCAAAGGCGTTTAGACGTCATGGTACAAAGAATACAAGGTATGCTCGATAGCGGCTCCAATTTCGTTCAGTTCGCGCATACCACCTGTGACGTCACTAGGAAAATAATGAATAAATAAAAAATAAAGAAAGTTGACAGGAGATCTGCATTTTTGAGGTTATGGTTAAGAATTGTTTATTTTTAAGACTTTTTAGTTCGTTTAATTTAATAACTACTAAAACCAGCAGTTCCAAAAATATATTTAAAAATAATAATTATCTATTAACATGGATTTGGACGATAATAGGTAAAAATACTAAATTTATTTCTATATTCGGTATAAAATTGTTTATTAGGTTTTTATTTTGCGATGTTATGGTAAATAATTTTCATTTTCATTGCCTCTGAATTCACATGAGGACAGAGTTGAGGATATCTATGGAAAAGTAACCACAAGAGGAATTGTTACATCATTTAAAAAATATTGGGAAGTTTATTGTTTCCCATCGAAAAGTAGAAAATGCCAATGCAGATGAACGTATTGTAATTGTGATAGAAGTAATTCTAAGGGTGAAGTTTATTATAATTAGTGGAAGTAATACCAAGGGTGAAGTTTATTATAATTAGTGACCTCTGCTTCTTTTTATATGTAGAAGTTTCTGGTTTTGAGAATAAATCGGTTGAACGACACCCAAAATTTAAAGGAAGTGTTTGCATACCCAGAATATGCCCATCAAGGATTATATAGCTCAAATTTCCTTTAATGGTAGGCAATTATTCAATGCAAATTAACTTTTTCAGTGACTGAAATATAAAAAATAAATAGTTTACAATATGGTATATCACTAAAAATATATTACTTTTAGGTACAATTAGAGCCCGATACATTTCAAAAAGTAGAATATTATTTTATATTAAATGAGGTATTGTACTAACAATCAATTTATATTAATAACGGAGATTAAAAAATAACAGAATAAATAGTTCTTTTTTTCATACTACAAAAATAAACTATAGAATACAACAGTATTCAAAAAAATAAATAAAAAGTTATGTCCCGGCCGAGATTCGAACTCCGGTCTCTCGCTTCCTAGCCCGACTCCTTACGCACTGCTCCACAGTAACTTGCTTAGCGATAATTCAATGACGGTATATAAACAAAAAAAAAAACAGGTTTATAACAATATCTTGACATTTGATTTGAACTGGCGCGCGAATGAAGAGAAATGCGTGCGGTCTTCTCAGTACGGATTTCTCATCATTGCGTTCCCCGTCCACTAGCAATTCGTTCGTTCGTTCGTCTGTGAATGTGAATACGCACCTTCAGCGATTTTTCTTGACGTATCGCAAAAATCAATGCTGTACCCTGCCAGTTGGAATCAATACAATTGGGGGTATACCAAAAAAGAGAGCGGAATTTCTTGGACTCTCCAACGCCATTGAATACACAGTGCCGGACTTAGGCCTAGGCCAACTAGGCCCGGGCCTGGGGCGGCAGATTTTTAGGGGCGGCAAATTTTGAGCATACCAAAATATTTATCTTTTTATTTAACTTTTATTTGTTCATAAAATATTTCGAATATTGCCTTAGCCGATTACATATTTGATGGCTGGCTTCTCTAAATTGCGTCAGCTTACAACACCTGATCTCCGAGACCGCCGCAGCGTGGCCCTTCTTTGAAAAACAAAGCTGGAGCAATATTGCGAATGTTGCATCATTCTTATAAGTTTAGTCAGTTTAGATCGACTTTCGAACCAGGTGGATGACACTTCTTATGGGAGAACTGGCAATGGTTGAAAACTTGACTACAAGCGATTTTCTAGGAATCTTCCTTACCGATAAATTATTGACAAGAGTGACAGATAAAACCTTGACGTTCTTTCAGTTTTCCAGTTCATCTCTTTTTCTTTCTAAAGTGTGCGTTGAAAGGAGACAAAAACAATTTTTGGTGACCCATAATTTGTTATTCGAACACCACTTTTCTCCTTGTCGGGTCGTTGACGTTGACTTGTCGCCATTTTATTTCTTTTGTTTACACGCTGCAGTTTGCTTTGTAAATTGAATACATAAATTATTTAGGCAAATATAGGTTTTTGATAAAACTCCTTGGACTAACGTGTAGGTAAGTGTTGATAAATAAGTTTTTTTTCATCTTAACATGCTCATTGTCATTCTCCTGATTTAGGTGACAGAAAAGGATCATCAAATGAAATTGAATTTTATATTTTTTCATCCCAGGACCGATAATAAAATATATATTTTATGGATACCTTCCTAAATATCAACGAGATGAGCCATCGGAAGAAAGGGACCATAGTACAAAACAGAAAGGTGATCTTTTTTCTTTCCACTTAGGATATTGAAATTATTATATACTGTAGTCGTGTTTGGCATTATGCTCTTAGAAATATAGGTAAACAAAGAAGAACAGATATAAAGCATCCCAGAGGAAAAGAGAGGCAATACCTGTACTCTCTCTCTGATATTTGTGAAAGTTACGGCAAAGTATTGTTGTAAATGTCATCTTTTTAATCGACCTGAAAACTTCGAGCAAAAAGATGACACTTTCAACAAAACCCTGACAGATATCAGAGACGATACAGGTTTTTCCTCTCTTTTTCCCTGGAATACTTTTAATTTATTATTCTTTGTTTATCTAGATTTCTCAGAGCACTATGAACGAACTCAGCTTGTATGTTTGAAATAATCGTCCAGTTGGCTTCAAAATGATGATCGATGACATTTCCTATATAATTTTACTTTCAAAATTATGATATATATCGTCATTTCTAAGCCATCTATGACGCCATTTTTTTCAGTTTTGTTATAATTAATTTTGTCTCTTGATCTACTTGTAACATTATTTTTTAATTTTATTAATTTATTGTGGTGAAATTAATTTCTGTTGTATATTTGATATTGATATTAAACATATTTTTAAAAAATGGTGTATTTTTTGTGTTTTTATCTATGTCATAATTAAAAATAAATGAAGAATTAAAAATTTTTATTTTTTTAAACTTCCCGCCATGCGTGACAATCTAGTCCGTAGTTCCTACAAGCGATATTGGGGGCGCTAGTAGCAGTAGACTTGTCAACAGTGTCAAATTTAAACGTCAATTTCACTTTCCAATATTTAGCAAGGCGCTCGCACTTCTCCTTGTGTATGTGTTTTGTGTTTCGAACTGTTCACGTACTTTTAAGCGGAATAAAACGTATTTTACAGGAATATAGTGGTTTAATTTAAGTAAAAAGACTAATTATCTGTCCTTAATCTAACATCAGAAGTGAGAGTATGCCCCAGTGTGCCCAAAAGTAGTGAAAAGTGAAGTTTTTGAACATTAAGACAGTATTGCGTAACATGACGAAATGTGCCAGTTAGCACTAGTGCCTAAAAGAATGTCATTTCGAATCTCAAATAAATATCAAAAACTGTCAATTTTGAAACGCCTTCACAAAAAACTATTTAAAATATCGTTTTGAAAGTTTATAATTTACCTGAGCAAGCCAAAGGAAAGAGTTGGGAAATCCCAAGCTAAATACGTATCCATTAGAGCACATTAAGTGTCTGAAATATTTAGACAGAGATGACCACACCTGCGTTGTCTCTGGATTAACGATAATACCAGAAGATATTAAAACGTGGGCCCGAGACATGACCGGGTGCCAAAGCTCAGGCTTAGGGTTCTTAAATTTTCTAATGAGACCCTTAAAATCATCGGTCGTAGGAATTTTTGAGTTTATCTTAGTATAATTCCTTTTGTTCAAATTGAATTTTACGGTTTATATATTTGAATTGTGCCCTCCAATCTATTTTTTTTTAATATGCAGAAGATAGTAGCACCACAGACATGTACAGTATTGTACAGAGTGTCCCATTTTCATGTGTTTTAGCGGGTTTCTCGTTTAGGAGTCCTGAAGTCAGTCTTACTGTTTAAAATAAACATTTATAAATGTTTACAATGTCAAAGAATAAAAAAATAAAAATAAGATTTAAAAATATCTAGTAAGTTTATACTAAATATAGTAATAGCAAACATTAGACCAGTGTTTACAAGATCAAATTCGATTATCAAAATATAAGTCATTTACGGCGTAGAAAGCCTTGTCTAGTAAATAAGAGTTCAATGCTTTGCGAAATGAAGAAAATGATGTTATGGATTTGATTTCAAATGGCAGGTGATTGTGCATTTTTTTCGAGTTGTATAATATTAACTCTAACTCTGAGCGTGGGGTAGGTAAATAAAGATCTTGCTCCGCGTTCCTGATTGGATAAGTGTGAGATGGCCTTTCTTGAGAAGCTGATACATGCTTACGTATTAGGCAAACGGATTCAAATATAAATAAGGAAGAAGGAGTTAATATTTTTAATTTTTTAAAAAAGTCCTGGCAATGAGTTCTGCTGTTTAGTCCCAGTGAATATCGAACAGCTTGAAAATGCGGTCAAATTGAGTCGCACAACACGTACCCCAGAATGGAAGGGCATATCTGAGATGTGATTCAAAAAGTGCATAATAAACAGTTCTAGCCACTGACAAGTTAAGCTCCTTAGAAACAGATCTTAATGCAAAACAGGCAGAGTTTAATTTTTTCGACAAAGCGTCGATATGCACGTCCCATTTTAGAGGATTGTCTACAACAAGCCCTAAGAATTTTACAGATTTTACGACGTTAATGGTGATGTTGTTAAGTACAAAAGGGTGCAGCGAGTTTTTATACGACAAAGCTTTAGTTTTAGAAATGTTGGAAGATTCGAATCGCGGCAAGATTTAATGGTGATTAAGTCATTTGATATAATCCTATGAAGTGCCGTGACGTTCTTGTTGCTCCAAGTGAAGCTAGTGTCGTCATTAAGAGACCTAGAGGAAGGCCAAGCCTAAGATGGGACCATGATATGTATTTGGAAATGATCGAATAAAAAAAACAAAGTTTGAGTTTTTTTATTTAGAAAATGACAGCTCCCAGCGAGTTACGCCACTGGATTCTACGTGGAAAACTCTACGGAACGCAGTTTTTACCACTTCCATAAATTATAAGATAACAATGTGATAATGGTCGAAAAATGCATTTTTTACAACATTTAGGACAAATCTGTGTAAAAACCGCTCTTAAACAAGAAACCCCGTAAAACGCACGAAGATGGGACACACTGTACAGTAAAAGTTGTCTATTTTATTTGCCTGAAATATTACTTCACATTTTTAACTGAATAATAAGAAACTTTTTGAACAAAACGTTTTTTTTTTGAAGAGTTCTTATCTCAGGCACTTAATTCGAAATTACTATTTTCTGTTTAATTTTGTACTTTACGAAAACAATTTTACAGAAAAAAAAACAATAAGATAAACCACACATTAGCCACAGAAACAATTCGTAGCAATCTGTGCATCAAATCTCACCAAAAAAAAAGATTCCTACATCAATTAAAATCCGTTTTACACGTTGTAAAAGCTGTCGAAATCGTCTTCCGTTTCGGAAAACCTTTTCTGACAATCGTATCGGCAACCATCTCGTCCGCCTAATGCCATTCTTTGTCCTGTCACCAGTTTTGTACCTCTTTAACCCCGAAAGATGAATAGATAAGCTATGCGATTTGTATCTGGTGGTTCTTTCACGTCTAATGATGTTCTTCCCCGTAATTTATAACGCCAAACAAATGTAAGAGAGGTGAAAAATCGTGACAAATTTGTTTGAAAATGGTAGGTAATGTTTGAAGTTTGCTCGTTTTTAACTCAAATTTATTAAGGTGATATTATGACTTACAGAGAAATGATGTAAAAATGTTTCCACAGCTTAGGGAGTGACAAATGGATCACCTGGAATGGAGAAGCAGGCAAAGACAGGAGTCCGAAAAGGAAGATCTAGGACTGGAGACTTGTAAACATCAGCAGGAATCTGAAATCAAAAAAATAAACACTCAAAAAACATATATAAAAATAAAAAACTACAATATTGTATTTGGATTTTTATGAACATATGACACACAATTGTATAGATATTATTATAGCTGGAGCAATATTGCGAATGTTGCATCATTCTTATAAGTTTAGTCAGTTTAGATCGACTTTCGAACTGTTCACGTACTTTTAAGCGGAATAAAACGTATTTTAGAGGAATATAGTGGTTTAATTTAAGTAAAAAGACTAATTATCTGTCCCTAATCTAACATCAGAAGTGAGAGTATGCCCCAGTGTGCCCAAAAGTAGTGAAAAGTGAAGTTTTTGAACATTAAGACAGTATTGCGTAACATGACGAAATGTGCCAGTTAGCGCTAGTGCCTAAAAGAATGTCATTTCGAATCTCAAATAAATATCAAAAACTATTAAGTTAAGTTATTAATATTAAGTTATTATTCTTCCCCAACTCAGTTTACAATAGTACCTAGTACCAGCAAATTGTCTCAAAAAAATATAGTTGGTAGTGCTACAATTTGTAATAATTGATTTTCATCTAAATTTCAAAGTACAATATGAATATTCTCTGACACAAATTGTGAGAATTACCATCACACCTTGTTCACTATTTTTGAATAAAATCAAGCATATTTAAATATACGAAATAAAATAAATGTACTGATTTCTTTCGAAAATCGACAACTATGAAAATATGAACCCTTCCTGGACACAAACGGTACATCGTGAGACAGGAAATTGTAGAGAAAAACAAGCCCTATAACATAGGATACAACATTTTAATGAACAGAGCTTGCCATTAAATCAATAAAATGAAAACTATACGAAATAAAATAAATGTACTGATTTCTTTCGAAAATCGACAACTATGAAAATATGAACCCTTCCTGGACACAAACGGTACATTGTGAGATAGGAAATTGTAGAGAGAAACAAGCCCTATAACATAGGATACCACATTTTAATGAACAGAGCTTTCCATTAAATCAATAAAATGAAAAATACATTGATAATTTCGATTCTAAATATCTCGAGAACCCTTACTCGTAGTGATTTTTAACAATAGACCCTTTTTACGTAAAAACATCGTAAATGTATATTTTTTATTCACTTCAAAATAGTTAAAACCTATGTAGGTGGCGCCCCCTACAAATAGGAGTCATATTGACCTCAAAATTCTTTCTAATCTTTCTCATGTTAAAAAACTCCCAGACACCAATTTTCATCCAAATATTGACGTTAATTCAGAAATTATTTTGAAAAAATCGAAATAAAGATGAAACTTTTACACCCTGTATCTCCGAAACTAGGCATTTTTGGACATAGAATTATACGAACTTAATAGTAGAACATAATAGAACTAACTACTACTGGCGGTAAGCACCATTAAAAAATAAAGAAGAGTACGGACCAAGTAAATGACGTCTAGAGGTTGACCTCGCCAAAATTATTATCGATTGTCCTCGGCCGTCTGTGATGCCGTTTTTTTTCGATCGTATGGTATAAGTAAGGGTATAAGTTCCTTGCCCCTCTCTAATGTCGTATTGTATCGAAACAGCAGAAGCATAAAATCGACGATTTTCTTTTTCATCGATTCGCATCGTGTTACCTACTTGCCAATCAAATTCGGCAACAAAAGAGCATCGGGGGCACAGACTATACAGGTCCTGCACGAAATCAGAGCCGGCCCTGTGTAATGAGCCATTAATTAAATGTGTATAGATTTCACAGGTTTGTAATTTTAAACTGCCTTTAAGTATCGCTATCGTTTTTGGAGGGCAATTTTCTTAATTTTCTTTGACTCTAAAGGCTTCTAAATAAATATCTCTATTTACGAAAATATTATAACTTTTTTCCAAGAATAATTAATGTTCTTAAAAATAAACAAAATATATTATTTTTATTTAATCTTTCGAGGACTTTAATAAACTTCTTCGGAAAGCATTTTAGTGCATATGTTCATAGGAACTTTTTGTTTTATTTTTAACTGCACAATCACCCACCAAAGTTAGATATACTATCTTTTGACACTCTGTATAACGCAATATCATACTTCATCAGCTAATTGTACTTATACAGGGTGTCCCAGAAATAAGTGCAAATGTTTTAAGGGGTGGTAGATCTCGATAAAAGAAACATATTTTCTCTTTATCGTTTTTCAAATAAGTCCAAAATAACGGAGCTATTTTACTTTGAAAATTTCCAAAAAAAAAATATTTTTTGCTAAAATTTTGAGAACCACTGGATCTTTTCTGGATTTTCTTTCTTGTAAATTTAATCTAATACCCATGTTGCCATATTATCAAGAAATTATGTTTTTGATAAAAACAAAAAAAAAATTTCGAATTTTCAAAATTTTTTTTCGCGAAAAAAACCTCATAGGCGTGTTTCTGGGGTTGAACTATACTACCAGTTAAAATATCTGCACTTATTTTTGGGACACCCTGTATTGTAGATTGTATGTGAGGAGGAAACTTAGATTTACAGCAAAATAACGAAGATACAGAATAAAAAACAGTATCTTCAATGTGATCGGTATAACAAAGCAACTTTTACTCTTAATTTCTGGAGCCGTCTCAGATACTGGCTTTTCTTAAAGCCCTGAGACTGTATGATGAGTTATAACTCGTTATAACTCAAGAAAGGGGAACACACAATAGATCTATAAGGTCGCGGTGATTAACTCCCCTTCTAAACATTCTACATTCTACATTCTACTCTTAATTTCTCACAAAAACATTTTTTTAATATACTGTGTTTTTCATTGGGACAGCCAATTTTTTTATATTATTTTTTCTCTGCATTGTTTATATCGTCGCACTGACAAAAGTTAATATCTCTGTACAACCCCGACAACTAAAACGCTTCGAAAATACACCGCTAGGAGGCCTTTTACCACCTAATCGCCTTAAATAAACGGTGAAGAATGGAAAAAACACGCAAACAGCACCACCGCAGCCGAGATCCCCGTCCCCCTGTATCTGGGGGCCGTTAATCCCTCTCCGTGGGGTGCTGAAAGCGGATTTGGGTGTCGGTGATTGACACCTCTGCTGCCTGATGCGATGGCCACATCAGATTTGCAGCCAGAGCTGGGTGTATTGTCCACCAATCTATTCCTACCTACGTATATTATGTATCGAGTTTCAGATTCTGGTTTTACTTACCGCAGAGAAAATGTATACATTTTTATTTCATGGTTTGGTATTCAATACTACGACGTTTTCAGTTCTAGGTTCCAGCTAACAACTCTTTATTTTGGATATTTTTATATCTACAAGGTTGCTCACTACATACGACACGGAGTATTGTAGCTAAACGATTACATTTTTACAAATTGTAAGTTTTGGGTTCGTCGAAGGACTATTAGAGCTACAATTAAAAAATATTTTTGCTAAAAGTTAAAAAAAAAGTTAAAAAAAGTTATATTTTTTAAATGGAACACCTCGTATATTATTACATTTTCAGTTTCTACCATTAAAATAAATGTAAATTTGATTAAGGTTTACGGTATTTTAATCTTACCGTTTTTGAAATATTTAGGTTTTTGTCAAAATACAGTAATAATTTTAATGCTTTATTTTTCCAAGGGTATCAAAGTTTTTTAAACCGAATATTGTATTAAAGTATTTCTATTTACTAAATTTTGTGTTGCACTAATATAAAATTATACTACCTTATACAGAGTCTCTAAAAATTATTTTAAATAATTACTAGTTTTAAACGGCAATAACTTGTTTAATTTAAACGGAACACTCTATATATTTTATGAGAATGAGATGCACAATTTAATTGTCTATCAAATTGTATTATACCATTTCTTACCTATCTCTTCAAGTTTTCGTAGAAAATGCATTTTATTATAATTTAGACCTCTTTTATCAATATACCCATGGAATATTGACATTTTAGATTATTTTTAAAGATGTAACAAATTTTTAAAGCAATTATACTACCTTTATATAAATTATTTATTTATTTACATAAAGGTAGTATAATTTTTTTATTATAAATAATATTTTAAATAATTACTAGTTTTAAACGGCAATAACTTTTTTAATTTAAATGGAACACCCTATATATTTTATGAGAATCAAATGCACAATTTAATTGTCTATCAAATTGTATTATACCATTTTTTACCTATCTCTTCAAGTTTTCCTAGAAAATGCATTTTATTATAATTTAGACCTCATTTATCAATATACCCATGGAATATTGACATTTTAGATTATTTTTAAAGATGTAACAAATTTTTAAAGCATACAGATACTAATATTGTCAATATAGTGCGTTTATTTCATTAAAAAATATAAAAAAACTGTTTAAATATTTGTTAAAGAGGACCAATTAATATGATTCCAGTGTTCAAACTACATTAATTGACTGTTTGCGTTGATTAATAATAATTGCTCCGAATACTAAAAAACTGAATTTGGTAGTAAAAAAGTACAGAATTACCTCCTAAATACTAGCATGTCATTAGGGAACACTCTGTATAGCTGCATTACTAGATCTAGACGACGATATATTAAAATATTTTAGAACGCATCTAAGTTTACTATTTTTCCAAGATTTATTCTTTTTTTATGTTTAAAAATGTTGTAATTATCTTATAAGTACAAGAAACCTTTATCCTTTAGCTTTAGTAACTTAAAGAAGCACACAAAAGCTCTGTTTGGTTAAACATCTCGTACAAACAACAGTCAGGATCCACTAGAGCACTCTAAAAAAGGGTACCCGGCGTCTTACTTACGCCCTCCCGACGCCAGGAGAGTCTTCTGGGGCCCCACATGGCCCCGAAAATGTTTCGGTTTTAAGTTTCAGCCCCATATTCTTATATTCTTCGGCGGGGTGAAACATAATGCCCGCGTTAGTACGCTTTTTTGAGTTTCAGGCTTCGCTGGACCACTAAAATCGTGACGTCGTTGTTGTTTTCCGCTATTTTCGTCCGATCCGGTGTCTGGTATACCGGGTGTATCGAGT